TTGCTAAGATAAGTGATTTTAAGTATCCTTGTAAAATGTAAAACTTTAGTTTGTAGTGCTGTTCTTTTTCTGTATTTAGGATATATTTGAAGTAGGACATCCAGGGAGACAATTCTCGATTGTCAAATATGCTAAATATCAGGAAAATCTGTGCAAAGCATTCACAGTAAAATTGATTGAACAAGGTACAGCTCAATTAGCTTTTACAACTTTGCAACCTTTGTCCTTGGTGTGATTGTATTGAGCCACTCTTTTTATTTACACTATAGAATTATATATGGCATGATGTCTTCTCTCATGCAACTAGTATATCTAATCTCCATTTTCAAATGAGTAAATAAATCCTATTAGAAACCAGGAATTGTTATTATCTATCCACCAAAGAGAATGATCATGACTGTACAAATGCACAGTGAGAAATAGGTATTGAGGGGTTTATCCACTAACTAGTTAATTGGAATATAAAATTTTCTAAACCTGTCTTAACGTAGCCAAGTTGAAAAATGTACCAAATCTACTATATTCAAAATGTGAGCAATCTATCTACATTTTGTAGCTTATGTTTTCAATTCACCATGTTTCACTGCTTAAACCTCTTAATCTCAAAGCTGCTTTTTCACAGATTGGTGTCTTAATAATTGATTGCCAATATACTTATAGAATATAAAAAGAATAATTACATGTAGTCACAATGACATACCATCTTAGTGACACTTTGTGCATCTATAATACTTTGTGAAAAGTCAGTCTTAGTTTTTGAATTCAGATGTTTGTCGTTCATTGCCTATGCAGTGCATTTGACGGCTGAAAATCTGAGAGTTGGTATTGTGTTGTGAGTTGTATTAATAGAGACAGAAGCTATCATAGAGCAAAAATGATTGCCGCCTGACAATTCAATATATAATGTGCACATCTTTTTATTCAATCTGTGAGCAGGATGGAAGGAAAAAAAACACTTGTAGTAGTATATTTAAAGGAACACTATAGTCACCTATAGTGAGGGGGGGCACTATGGGACAAGGAGAGGGGGGGCACTATGGGACAAGGGGAGGGGGGAGAGGGTGGGACACTATGGGACAAGGGGAGGGTGGGACACTATGGAACAAGGGGAGGGGGGACACTATGGGACAAGGGGAGGGGGGACACTATGGGAGGGAAGGTGCACTATGGGACGGGGGGGGGACACTATGAGATGAGAACACTATTGGACAAGGGGAGGAGGGGTTAAAGAACACTATGGGACAGGGGAAGAGGGGTTAAAATAACTATGGGACAGGGGAGGGGGTTAAAGATCATTATGGGACAGGAGAGGGGAGTGGGTGGTAAAGAACAAAAAATTCCTCAAAAAAAATATTCTGAACAAACTGTCCCATAGTAAGAAACACTATGGAACAGTTCAGAAATTTTTTTCTGGGTTTCCTCCTCTAAAAACTAGGTGCGTCTTATGGTGAGGTGCGTCTTATGGAGCGAAAAATACGGTAAATCACTTTGTTTCTGTTTATGCAGCCCTAGCCACACCTCCCCTGGCTATGATTGACAGAGCCTGTATGAAAAAAAAACTGGTTTCACTTTCAAACAGATGTAATTTACCTTAAATAATTGTATCTCAATCTCTAAATTGAACTTTAATCACATACAGGAGGCTCTTGCAGGGTCTAGCAAGCTATTAACATAGCAGGGGATAAGAAAATCTTAATTAAACAGAACTTGCAATAAAGAAAGCCTAAATAGGGCTCTCTTTACAGGAAGTGTTTATGGAAGGCTGTGCAAGTCATAATGCAGGGAGGTGTGACTAGGGTTCATAAACAAGGGGATTTAATGCCTAAATGGCAGAGGATTGAGCAGTGAGGCTGCAGGGGCATGTTCTATACACCAAAACGGCTTCATTAAAGTTGTTCAGGAAAATTTTAGTTTTTTGCTTTTTTCACACAAAAACAAATATGAATGCTAACTTTGGCCAGTGTTTGTGACTAAGTGGCTACTACAAACAACTGGACATACCCCACTTGCAATACCTTGGGTTGTCTACTTTTGCAAATGGTATGCCATCATGGGGGTAAATCTCATTCCTGGGCTACCACACGGTCTCAAAGGCAACATAACCAACCTGGCGAATTTCAATTTGAAAAAACTGAAAAATAGAATGTGCTATATTTGAACCTTTAACTTTCCAAAAAACCATAAAAACTGTTAATGGGGGGGTACTGTTGTACTCGTGAGACTTTGCTGAATCCAAATATGTGCTTTTTTTGCAGTTAAAGCTAACGGTATTATGACATTTACAGCTAAAATGTCTACAAATTTTTTTAAAAATCTTAATTTCTCAAATTTTTTTTAATTTTATTCATAATAAATTATGTTTCAAATATGAATAGTTCATGAAAAATGAAAGCCCAGTTTCTCCTGAACAAAATTATATATAATAAGTGTGGGTGCACTTAATATGAATGAGGTGATTTACGGTTGTACAGACATATAGCGCAAATTCCAGTTTTTGTTTACATTTTGTTTTGATCAGAACGTGTACTATTGACTCCGTCCTGAAGGGGTTAAATAAGGTGATAAATCTTGGTATATATTAATAGTTTTGAATCTTTCTTCTTTGATTTCCTTTATTTTACATGCTTGTGAGACCTGTTTTAGTTGATAGGAGAAAAAACATACCACGGTGTCTCTCGGTATAGATTAGGGTATATTTTGTGGTTTCTTCACTCTGTACATGTTGTCAATCACCATATATTGATTTCCCAGGTTGATGTCTAAGGCAGTTAAAAAATCCAATAGAAATTGTCTCATTTTATCATGAGTGACAGTCTCGGGAATATTTCTTATTAGAATATTCTTCATTCTGTGTCTGTCTTCCATTATATTTATTTTCTGTTCTAGTGCTCTCATTTCCATTTCAATTTTTTCTTGCGCTTCTGAGACCATCTTGTACAGAAATTCCATCTGATCATATTTTTCTTCCATCTTTGTTAATTTCATTGCTAATTCTTCTATTTGTTGTTTTAGTTGGTTTGAAATTATTTGAATCTTTTTTTTTTTAAATTTCCATTTGACTTTCTAGATTGATTTTAATAAATTCTTGTAAGTCAGATATATAATTTCTCCTATTTTCCATTATTGATTCTTCCATAGACGAGCTATCTACACCAGATTTGTCTGATTGAGGAGGAAAAAATGCTGACACACCTGTCTCTTGTTTATTGTCCTTTTTTATATCTTTTTTTTCTTCTGCATTTTAGCAGTAGCCACATTATCACTAATTTCTTAATTCAATTTCTTTTGTCTTTCTTTCTTTTTTAATCACTGATAATCACCACCACCTTTCAATATTCATTAAGTTGTTGTTGAGTAGATGGTTCACTTTATCCTTTTTATAATTTAGAGAGTATAATAAAGCTAACTGAAAACCATATAGAAAACCTTATAGAATGATCTAAGGTATTTTATTTCTTCTTTTTCTTCCCTTTTTCTCTTCCTTGCCTTTTTTCTATACCCAAATTTCATCAGCCAAACCACCACAATCTTACACAATAACTATATTATCACTGTTTTAATCAATTATCTTTTTCTTTTTCCTTCTTTTTGCTCACAGATAATCTCCACCACCATCAAGATAATTGTTGTTTGTCTGGTATACTTGGTGGTTGAGCAACATAGTAGGAATAGGCAGGAGCAGACCGGTTTTGAACTAAAATATTTGTGTTTTTCTTCAGCCATATTTATTATTTTATTTATATTTAGTTAATCTCACCTTAAAGCAATATATAGGAAATTTTCAGTTGTTTAGCCAATATTTCACTGGGTATATGTACAGTTCACCATAATAAATGAGGCTTAGTGTCTCCTTATTAGTACATTACCATACTATCGTTGGCTTTCTGTGTACTTTTTCTGCTGGATCGGAACAGCCGTTTTACTAGAAGCCGTTTAGCTGGAAATCTGTGCCACCTTGCTTTACATGTTTCTCCCATCAACTTAGCCACCACGCTCTCTTCAATGCCTCCTTTTGTTTTCATATTTCCATTTCATCTTATGGGATCTCTGTTGATGTTATATATTTTTTTAGCTTGCTATCAGTTTTCGCCGCCGTCTCCTCTCCCAAGGACACCGCTACCATGCGGTTACATACAGCCGCCAGTCCGTCAGCTCAGCAGGCCCCACCTCTTCACGTCACTAGCATCATCCACTCGAAAAAAAAAAAAAAGACTTCTCCCTCATTCTTCTTTCATATGCTTTTCCCACCCACCGCAGGGGAAAACTGATCTAACCAATCAAAATTCCTTTAACACATGTGCAGTTGGAACATCTCTTCACCTTGCATCATCCTGACATAGGAGAAGGGGAGTCTGATTAGTGTGATCATACTGAGTGGGCTCTGATGTCATTTTTCTCTCTCAATGAAGCCATGTTTCTGTCATTAGTTGACTGGTCTGAAACTGAGCTGGATTGTGCCCTAGCTGAGAGGTGTGCCCAATAATGCAATCTGACCAAGTTTATAGTAAGTTTATAAACATTTAATACATACTTTTCAAAGTGTTGCTTGCTTTAGTTTGGTTTATATATTTGTTTAAAAGTGTTTGCTTGTTGTTCAAGCAACTCTGGCCAGTGTGTGTGACTAAGTGGCTACTAAAAAAAGACTGGACATACCCCATATTGAATACCCTGGGATGTCTACTTTAAAAAAATATGTACATGTGAGGTATGATTCAGAGATTTGACCGATAACAGTGTTACAATGTCACTATTGATACATTTTAAAAATATATATTTTGAAACAGCAATTTCCTACTTGTACTTATAGCCCTATAACTTGCAAAAAGGCATGTAAACACTGGGTGTTTTTAAACTCAGGACAAAATGTTAAATCTATTTAGCAGTTTTTGTCATTAGCTTTGTAGATAAGTTAAATATTTTTCAAGTAAAAGTCCAAAAACATTTTTTTTTTTTAATTTTTCACCATATATATTTATTTATTTGTAAAGTAAAATATATGACATGATACAAATAATGGTATGTAAAGAAAGCCCTTCTTGTCCGGAAAAAACATATATATAATTTGTATGGGAACAGTAAATGAGAGAGAGGAAAGTTACAGCTGAAAACATGCACCACAAAAGTGTTAAAACAGCCCTGGTCCTTAACATACAACATGGCCAAAACAGTTCAGTCCTTAAGGGCTTAAAAAAAATTGGGAGGTGATGTATGTCCATTTAGACAGAGGCAGTCTTTTATAGACATTGACAAAGTTACATTGTGACTCAAACATTCTCCCTCCAAATTGTCTCAATGAGCTCAGTAAAGCTCTAACACCACAAGCACAATTTAGAATTTTTTGGCATACACTGTTTCATTATGTTTACCTGATTTATGATGTACTATTTAGAAAATGTTAGCCTGTACTGTTAACTTGCAAAATATCGGATTCCATTGCATGTATATACTATAAAACACAAAATATATATAAAACAATATAAATAAGATAAAAGGGCAGTGTCAGCAAACTGTTAAAAAAAAACAGGGATGACCAAAAGGTAGATCAATGCTAAAATAAATTCCCATGATGCTTTGCTTTTTTAAGGTTGGCAAAGCTTCAGTCAGATGTTTCTTCGACAAAATCTTTTATTTAACCTTTTGGCCAATCCTGTTTTAGAGGGTATAAATCAGCAGGTAGTACATGGTAAAAAAAATAAAAATTGGAAATGTTGACAGGTAATAGCAAATAGTGAAATTGTGGATCCGTACCATCAGATTTAGAATATAACAGTGTTTGAGATTATTTTTCTGTCAGCTTTTACGGCCTAACATTAGCATGTTCTGTTTTCAACTGACCACAATTCAAAGCTTAGAAAAAATAACAATCCAGAAAAAAAATAAAAATGATGTTTCAATGCAATGACACTCCCCTGAAATAAGTTCTCACCACTGGTGCACAAATAGAGTGCCTCTGCAAATATTTATCTAGTATGACTGAATTATAAGTTTCCTTAAAAGCTTTTATGTAATTTACCAGTATCATAAATGTGATTCCAGTACTCATTGTTCAATGGTGATTCCACTGGGACTGCCAACATTTTACTTTGTGATCACGTGGTAACTAACTGCAATATGAACATTTGGGTTTAGCCCTTTCCAGCCCTAGTGCTGGCAAGTGGCGTACACACAATCTATGGGGCCCCGGTGTAAAACCTCTTCCTCCCCACTCCCTCCCCCCGACAGATTCAAACTCATATACATACATAGAAACACACACATACATACATACAAACAGGCAGGCACACATACAGACAGACACACACACGACATACATATATACATACAGACAGGCACACACACAATGTTTAAGTCACCCTCCTGTTTCTTACCTTTTAGGTGCAGGAGGGTGACTTTCCCTGGGGTCCAGTGGTGGCTGGGAGTCAGAGTACCCACTCTGATGCCCTCTGCCTCCTCCCACGCGGACTCTGTGTGTTAGCTGGGAGGAGTGATGGGCAGTCACTTCCTCCCAGCGTGTGATGTCATCACAGGGGGCCCGATCACGCTGCTAAAGCACCCAGCGCTGACCATGCCTTCTGACAATCCATCTCCATCGGGTGGCCCTGAAAGCATGGGCCACCAGATAGACACCTTGGACGGCGCCCCCGGCGGTTTACCGTGCGGGCCGGGGCCGCAAAAGATGGGAGGGTACCCTGTCGCAGGGGTCCGGGCCTGGTTGCAGCTGCCACCCCTGCGACCGCGGTATGTGCGCCACTGGTGCTGGCATTACTGTGGCCAACAGGAGTTGGCCATCCGTATGCCTTACATTTAGATTCAATTTGAAGCTAAAGGGAACCCTCATAACCCATATTTTTAATAGTATGCTTACTTGGGTGTGATGGTGTGTGCAAAGGACATTCAATGTAGAACTCCATACATCTCTACCTGGTGCCTCCATCTTAGCTCCTTGTCAATTACGATTACAGAGAGGTGGAATGAAACAATATTTGTTTCTCTTCCTCAGTGTGCCCTGTCTGCAACTGGAGTGAACTTGATTATGACATAATTTGCTAAATAAAAAAACAAACAAACAGGGCATCACACAAAAAGGTTATCACAATTTATAGGTGATTTGCAATATTTTATTGCACATTTCCTATTCTCTGTATGTTTTTTTTCTCTGCTGACTGCCAGGTGCAAAGGACAAGGTTTATAACAATGATTGACAGGGAGCTAACATGGAGACGACTAGTTAAAGGATCAAGATGTGTTAATGTCTGCATTTTATTTTTCAAGCCTCACAAAACACAAATTTGTGTGGGTGTGGGGTTAAATATCATGCCATAGGAATTTAAGCAAGTTTATTATCTGGTAAATGAACCAGAATTCTGAAGAGAAGCAGCACCTTTTGACGGGAAAATAGAGGTCAGACATTTCAGAGTTCAGAGCAGGCAGTGCAGGTTCAGTAAAAAAATCCAAAGATCAGCGAAGTCAGGTACCAAAAAATAAAATCAAACAGCAAGCAGAGTGCAAAACAGCCAGAATCATCTGCATGTGACAGCACTGGCTTAATAACAGAGAGCTGCTTTTAAATGAGAAGGTGTGTGGAGCTCAGGTCCCATGTGTTTTATTTGTACGTCCAGTGTTGGTTAACGTCTACAATCTGCCTGTTTTGTCTGTGCATCACTATGTCACCAAAAGGCAGAGTTGGAAACCCACCACAGCTGAGATTTGGTTGCCGGATGCCAGGAACACAAAAGTGTTACAAATGTCAACCTCATGAGTTCTAAATATTCCTAATTTAGCATTTATGTTGGAAATGAAAAATAACTTACAACAGTATTGTTTGGGACCAGTTTTATTTTACGGTTTTATTTATTTTATTTCTACAATAAAAAGCTTTTCAGGTTACCAACTATTCAGAGTCCTGGTTGGTTCCTGACTAACAGTGGTGGCTACAGATCTGAGAAGGGGATTATAGCCCCCCCAACTACATCGGAGCTCTTTTAATTTTATACTCTTGTGAGTGCTATCTATCGCAGTGAGTGCGGTTTTTGTTTTACCTTATTGTATTACATTATGTTTTGTTTATGTATTTTCTTTTAGACTATATCAGGTTTATTAGATTTTGTGTTGTATATATTTATGGTTGTGTCAAGATTACTACCTGGGAAGTGATCTGTGGAAAGCTTGCACATTTTTTCACTGTTTATTTTTATTTTTTGTATCACTGGTTCACAGATTAGTATTAAGTGTCTTATACCATCATAGACTATTTTAGTGCCTAAACATTAAAGACTATTTTTTTTAACAATTGTAACTCTATACCCCTATTTTTTGTTATTTATTTTACGTATGGTTTTTTAGAGAGTTAGCATCTGAGCAAGACTTTGGTTCTTTCTCTCAATGTACCCGCTTTAAGAATTTTTACTCTTCATCTGTGGATAGCTGTTTATATTATAAATTTTGACATATTTCATATTGTGGTGGAGGTCAAAGGTTGTCGTTTTTGTAACAATATTTCCTGTAAGCAGACTACTTAAAATGTAAAATGGACATACGTATTTAAAAAAAATAAAAAATAAATAAATTCCGCTTCATAGGCAAAATGAAATGTACATTATAAATCTGAGGAGACACAGAACAAAACACAAAATAGTTTTTGAAGAAATGTAATCAAATATGTTCAGAAAATTCAAAACAAATGACATAAATTAAAACAGAACTTCTAATGTACAATTTAAGCTAAGTGGATACAAACAGTACCAATCCCAAGAAAAATATCCAATTTCTTGCGCCTCATAAATAAAATTAAAAGCTTAGACTATGTAGTGATTGAGGATTGTTTTTTTTTTTTTTTGTAACATTTATGCAAAGCATGCTAAGGTATCAAATGTTTGGCAAAACATTCTGACATTAATTTTACAATCAGATGAAATAGAAAATGTTAGAATGCAAAAAAATACATCAAACGAATGTACCAGATATCTGCATGTTTCTTGCAAATGTTATAAAACATCCACCTCTGTGATTAGCATTTTATATGTAGAAATTGCATCGTGAATTTGTTTGTAAGAGTCAATAAGTTATTTTTATTTTATCTAATCAATTAACAATAGAAAAATCCTGCCTCTGGTCTACAGATGATAGTGACATTCTCAAAGTAACAATTTATTTTTAATCTACTAAAAAAGGCTATTTTAATTGGTTTTATTTTTTTAAGGCACAGAGAGAGAGAGAGAGATGTGTGTGTGTGTGTGTGTTTTCAGCGTTCTCACTAATATTACTAACTGTTTGAAATGCCACTGCCGATTCTTCACTGTTCCCTACTGTTATAAACCGTTCTCTAGCTGTTAGTGAGCTAGAATATCCATAAACCTTTCCAGAAAACTTAGTGGTGGATAAGTGAGTTCTAGGTGATCTATATTGGACAAACCCTTGCCTAATCTTTGGTTATTCACCTCTTGGGGGTCAATTACAGCTGGTGGACCATGGTTTCTAATTCCCTACAAAGTAACAAAAAGTGTGTCATACTCAAGAGTTGTTATGAAGATCTTGACTAAATTGAAAGTGCAGTGTACAATCACACCAAAATACATTCTTAAATATGTATATATATACACTGTGTTCAGTCAATTTTACTGTAATTCATTCTAAATCATTAAAAGCACTAAATTTTTCATTGTTTCCACTTTCCAAGTATATTATAGAAGTAAAATATGTGTCCATCTAATTTACATTTTTGTGTGTTCTTGACAAGGTAGAGAAATGAGACTAGACAATATCATAGCAATGTTTAAGAGAATTATGTCACATACGTCACTTTGTCCTATTCCAGTTTATACTAGAAGTAGGACATGGCTTTTGCCTATTTCTTAAACCATTAAATACAATTACATATTAAAGCACTGTGTTACTTGAGTGATCCAATTAAATTGGACTCATGGCTTTTATCTGGAACAATAGTTCTCCTACAAAGAATACTACATGGGTAAAGCAAAAACAAATTAAATTTGTCTGAAACCAGTCGATTAGATGTTACCAGTTTCTAAAATAAGTTAAGTAATTAAAAACCGAGTCATTAAACAAGAAGGAAAGCAAGTTTATATTACCTCACAAATGGAAGTGTAAGATCTGCATGATTACCTAACCCAATTAAACCTAAAAAGTTAGTCTCTTGAAATATTAATGGGAATATTTAGATTTTCAACTGCTCTGAATGTATTTAATGTTATTTAATCTGTAAAGATACATTTATTACAACAGACCCCGTCCTGTACATATATTTTTTACTATAAAATTGCACTGCAGTTTTTTTTGTTTGTTTTTTTTAAAAGCCTACATTCACTAAAAATAATCTCACACATTCTAGTTAATGATTTAAAAATAGTCAAATGAATGTTACATTTTTCTATAATTAAGTCTTTTTTAAAGCTGGAAATAAAGCTGCAAGGTGTTTTGTGGATAAAAGAAATCTCTTGAATAAAAGGGATTGAGATTTGTCTTCAAGTTTTGCTGGAGCGTGCATTTTCTACTTCATCTGGTCCCATAGACAGTGGCCCTTTCTTTAAAGGCATTGTTCAGTCAGTTGACTGAGAACAATTCATGTTTCTCACAAGTGTTTGAAATAGTTTATTTTTTTAGATTTGGATCGCTGTTGTCGTCTCCTTCTTGGACAAATTTTTTATTATCCATTGCTTTACGATCTAAAATGTGAAGACAAATGAAATTATTGTTCGCAAGTACTAATTGTACTGTATGGATGAGCACTCATTGCCTTGAATATTGTTAACCATGTTAATGTATTGTATGATCTACACCTAGGATTCACCAACCTTTGGTACACAGGTGACAGTATCAACATATCCACCATTTGTCACCCCCATAGGACATTCTATAAACTGGCAATTGTGCAGAACTGACAAGTTGATACGCAGATTTTTTTTATTATTTATTTATTTATTTTAAAGCTATCTGCTATTTTGGCTTTAAATTGGCAATTCCCATGTCAATTTTCTACAGTTCCTAGTTTAGAAGATAACCCTGTCAGAGTCTTCAATAACATATTTTGTGTCCACACAGCAAAAAGGGAAACTACGGTGCTAGCAAAACAAAGTTGTTTAAAATCCCTTCTGTCACTTACCTGATTCCATTGCCGATGTCTCTTAGTGCTGATCAGGTTCTGCATCCGCTCGTGTTAGTATTTCCCCCATAGGAAAGCATGTATAATGTTTTCCAATGTGGTTTTACATGACGCTGGATGTCCTCGTGCATATCACGAGGACGTCTTTCAACAGTTAGACGATCAAAAATTGCCTACCCACCCAAAAGTCTGGATGGTTATTCACTAGAGTTATTAAAAACTGCAATAATTACCTTTGCAGTGTTAAGGGATCTGGGTCTATGCACCCAAACCACTTCAATGAGCTAAAGTTGTCTGGGTGCCTATAGTGTCCCTTTAACAATTAAATACCAGCCCACTTGTGACGTAAATTAGTACAAGATCAAAGGCAAGATGTATTATCTGTAAGATGGTTAACAATAGGTCTTAGTTTTATTCCACAGTAAAGAAAGTTGTAAAAAAAAAAAAAAAAAAGTATTAAAGTATTAAAGAACATTGTAATTCAAATAGCCGACATTTTTTTATCCCTTGGATAAGGTAATTGCAAGCATGGAGTCACAGTCATCAATCACCAGTTTAGCAACCAAAATGGAAACTAGCACACGTACTGGCTGATCAGCAAGCCCTCGAGCTAAGCAAAAGATGTAAGAGACATGGCAAACCTACCGATTAAGTTCTGATTGTTTTCCAGTTGTGCTTGCTTGTCTGCCTCTGGCTCAGCTACATTGCCCTCATCTCCATTATAATCATTCTGTGCATCTTTACCATCATTGTTTCCAATCTGGTTTGGTTCTGTGGAAAAACAAAACAAAAAAAACTATACTTAGCAAATGTTGCAATTTTGTTGGTTTAGTCAGCATTCACTGTTTGGAATTTATACTTGAAAATGGAGAGAATGACTGTTGGTAAATTAAACAAAATATAATGTAGGTGATAAAGGTACAGATAAGCCTGGCATGGGTGGATTGTAATAATACACCTGTGCCAAAGGAAACACTAGCACACACATCTACCTTAAACAGAAAGCCAAAAAAAAGGCAACAGAAATGATAAATACCAGGCAGAACAAATTCTTGATTTGCAGAGACTTGGAAGGTTGAGGGAGTCACAACACTTTACTGATTTGGACATTAATAGAGGTGTATCATTTGGAATAAAGATATTTATTTTGCTACCACGTTGGTACATTTAATATCCGGACATTTGTGGATATATTTGGGGCTTTAACTTTTGGTTTGTTCTTCAGGATGTCTAACACTTTTGAAAAGTCCTCATCTTAAGACGTCTGCTGGTATTGACTGATTGATGGATTAGACATCACAAAGTCACCAATAGGTAATATTATATCACAAAATACATATAGTTTTGTTGCAGATCATATATTATCCAGGCTTAAAGGAACACTATCGCATTACAAACAAACACAAATTTGTATTACATTCTCTCCCACACCAGGCTGCTCTCTAAGTAGTCATCCTGCTTCCTTGCCTCCACCCATCTTCAGATATGAGACCAACTGATTGAAACAGCCAAGACGCCTCTAGTGATGATCAGATTGACAGCCACTAGAGACATTTAACCCCTTAACGCCACAGCTTCAGAAGTAAAAGGTCAGCATCATGTGTCCTTAAGAGGTTAAACCTTGCAATGTAAACATTACCATTTCTGCAGCAATGTTTTTACTTAAAGGGTGCAACTATAGAGGCATGGCATCCAGATCACCTCATTGAGATTAAGTGGTTTGGGTTCCTATAGTGTCTCTTTAATTCCCAAAATAAAAGCAGATTTTTAAATAATGTTCTTTTGATTTAGATATTAAACCTCAATGCTTACCTACAAGTACTATACGTGAAAATAGTTCTCAAAATATTTGTTTAGATTATTTTCTTTTTTATCTTCTGAACAGCATAAAAAAACTCCTACATAGAAGTACTTGAGAGTCTGCTTTTGTAGACAACAAAGTCATAAGAAACCCATGTTCTAAGCACATTTTCAGAAAAAACAACAACACAGAATGCCTACAAAAGCCCTGATAATTACTTTGGTAAAAGGTTCTAAGTTAGTTACTACACATATGTTTCAAGTGTCAAACAACATATATGCCCACCTTTATCTTCTGACTGATCTTCCATATTTAGCAGTTCCTCTCGTTCCACTTCCACATTTTGTGCTTCTTTTTGCGCTGCCTTGTTTTGGACATCTTTCTTTAGCTCCTCATTATACTCCTTTTCTGCGTCTAGTGCTTCTTCCAACGTATCCTCATTTTCAACTGCTACACCTTCTACTTTATTCTCCTTATTTTGCAGGGGTGCATCTTCTGCCTTATTTTTCTCATTTTGTACTGGAGCGTTTTGTGCCTGATCCTCTTGTACTTCATTCTCTTTGTTTTGCTTGGGATCTTCATGGATTGGGGCATGGTTTTTATTGGAGAGGTCAAGGATTCCTTTTCCTGCAATTCCGTTTTCTGTAAATAAAGGAATTCAGTTACACTGCCGTTACTGGCAGGGCCACCCATAGCATTTGTGGAGTCTGTGGTAAGAAATATTTGTAAAGGTGCACTGGTAGTTTATCTATTAGAGAGTATTTCATGCAATTCTGTTTTTATTTTTTTAAACACTGTACTTTAAAGGTACACCACAGGCACCCAGACCACACCAGCTCATTGAAGTAGTCTGGGTGCAATGTTCCTGTCTCCCTTAGTTCTGCAATGTAAATAATTACAAATAATTACATTGCAGGACTAAGACCTCCTCTAGTGACTGTCAGACAGCCACTAGAGGCACTTCCTGCTTTCTAGGCGACCTTTGGTCGCCTAACTGTAGCTGGATGTCCTCACGCTCTGCATGAGGACATCCAGCATAGTTAAATCCCCATAGGAAAGCATTAGAACAGTGCTTTCCTATATAGTGGACCTAAAGCACTCTCCGCACTGACACATTGTGCCCCCCCCACCTCTTTCAGATGGGTGAGTTAAAAAAGGGTTTATTAACCCTTTACATGCCGGGGGCTCAGAGGGAGCTATAGTTAGTGTAAGGAATACAACTTTGCATTCTTTACACTACAGAATCCCTTTAAGAAAATATATAAAAAGCACACATCTACACTACATTCTGAGACAAGCCATTTGCAGCTGAAATGATGAATTATATATTTATACAGTCAGATGCAGACTAACACGGATTAATACGCACAGGCTCACACAAACTGAGAACTTCATCTGCTGGCCTGGATCCTTGATGGTCCAGCAGCTGGAGCATGAGCTGTATTTATTCCATACACCCACTATGCATTTCAGTTTCACTACTTCCTCAGCACAGAGATGTGACATCATATGTCATAATTTGGTAAATGGTCTCATATTGCATTAATGGACGTCTATGACCATGGTTAGAGGCTTGAGCAGTGGGTGAACATGCGCCACACTTCCTGTGCCCCAGATCCCAGACAGCTCTGTCCTTTGCACCTGGTAGTGAGCATAGAGAAAACATACAGACAAGAGGAGAAATGATGTAAGGATTCAATGTTTGCCCTGGCTCTGCCTTTTCTAAACTGGTTTATAATGTAATATGCTCTATCTTTAATGTAAGTTTAAAGAAAATAACAGAACATCTCAATAACATTCTTTGAACTGTTGCGAACTCCTACTCAGTGAGCTTTCAAATCAGAAAATTGCTCAACCAATGCTGATGCTCCCATATGTATTATTTGGAGATGCTGTACAGCTGTCAGGTCTCTACGTCAACAAGCTGAGAGCCGAACTACAAACTTCTACAACCTTCATGCCCGTAGTATTATATCAGCATGTTGTCAAACAGATGTGTCAGAAAAGGTGTGGGATTTTGGAGAATAACATATTAAAATGAAAAAAAAAAAATTAAGAAAATCTATACAAAAATGACACCCAAAATAATAATCAGCATCTAACACACAATTACATTAGTGAGTGCCAGGACTGTGCCTTTAATTGACACCCAGACAAAAACAAGAGGAACCTGCTTCAAAAAAAGTAATATCTTAAATAACTTTTACACAAGGAAATAGAATTGGAACATACCATCACTGTTTGGAGGCTCAACTTTGACATCCTCTACTTGTTTATTGACATCGTGAATTGCATTGTCTTCAATTTCCTGTGGGATCGCCTTTATATTGTTGTCTTTTTTGTCAACATCTGGATTTGGGATTGTTGGCTGGGTGAAAATGTAAAACAACATAAAATGCGCCCAATGTACATTAAACAAACCCATATTATAGACATATTGTATCCTGAGACAGAGTTGAACAACTCTCATTTGTGTATCTGAGAGTTTTGACATTTCACCTGCCTGGAAATTAATACTTAAAATTGTACTCAAATGGAACATTCTAATTTCAGCAATGAAAGTGTTAAAATCAAACTAACATTTATTAGAACCCCTGAAGAATCTCCTCACTCCAGCTCCGATCCACCTGTTGTGAAGTCATCATTACCGATGACTTTTGTCCTAACAGATGCTCCTCGTGGGTAAAAATACTTCATTGTAATTCACAAACAATACATCTCTAGGAGAAGCATAGAAACCAATTGTTCTTTGTGAGAAGCATTCACTTCTGCTCTGAATTATAGTGCAAACTTGGCAAGGTAGGACATTGTTTGCTTGACAACACTAAGGGGGATTTATAAAAGTGTGGATTTCTCTTGAAATTGGCGCACTTATGAAATGAGCCTGCAGGAGCATCTGATTAACCCCTAAAGTACTTCAGTATGCTGAAGAGCATTAGGAGACTTTGAACTGAATTGAACTTTTATATTAATACTCTTAACAATATGAATAGTCACACCTAGGCTAACACGTAATTGTTTACAAGTTATATTGAGTACAGAAGTGTTTTGCTGGTCACTGTGAAAACAGGCTTTAAAAATCGATTTCTACAAATTTCTCAAATATCATCTGCACATCATTTTGCCACTGTGACATCACCATGAACATTCTATTTCAGTTTTAAGACAAGTCGTGGTTCAAGTGTGATGAAGGATTAATCGAGAAGAAAGCAGTAATAGGACACATTTCCATCATTTAGCAAGGAGGCAGTAGCCAAGATTGAGAAGGGCGTATCAAAGCACAGAGATAAAACGTGGAAGAGATGAAGATAATGTATATAATAAATTAAACTAATGTGAGAGAGCTTCCAATATAAAACGTTTCAACGTTCCTTTGATGAAGTACATGAATAGTCCCATGTATATTTTCCTGTTTAATTATTAGCATTTTCACATTAAAGTTTTTAACTGGACTTATTTTGCATGTTCTCTGTGTGTTTATGATGAATTACACACAATTTTGTCTGCACTTTCCATCAGTGTTGTGAGAACATATTTTTATCCGTGTCTGCTCTTTCAAAGGTTGTTTAGGGATGACTTTACAGAACGTCATCACTGAAGTACGCAGCTATTACATAACACAGATTAGGTCTATTTTCGGCCAACTGGTTGTTTTTTTTTTTTTTTTTCTCATTCTTTATTTATTCCAAGGCAAGACACCACATGAAATCATACATTACAACAGGGTTATAAATAGTATTCTGAAGACATATCCAAGTTCGCACGAGGTGAACAAGCGTGCGTTTTTATAGAAACAAACTTCAACATAGTGCAGTAGACTGTTGTGTGTCAACTGCAGTAGTCAGTATATCAGTGGTGCCCCGCCAGGTTTTTTGATAAAGGGTAAAACAGTGAGAAACTGACCAACCAATGTGAGCAGGACCCTAACATCCAGTGCCTAGGTTTGTCGACCTATATAGTGCTCTGGTGAGATCGTAGCAATCGAGATAACTAGCTCAGCTTTTAGCGTTACCAGTTTAATGTTAATACCTCCGGTGACTCATCATATGAAAGGTAATGCCCTTGCATTTGTTATGGTCGAAATGTAAGTGTCGGTCAGAATAGAGAAGAATGAAGTGTTAGGAGTGATAGAAGTAGACAAAACCTTAAGGGGGGGAGGGGGAGGGAGCCATGAACCCCAAAATGGGAGAAAAGGAAACCCCCCGGGACCACCTTCCCAAACAATAGCCCCCTCTGAGAACCTGACCGCCCGGAGCCACGGACATCCAATCCAGTGCATCATAACAGGAGCCGACGTCGTCACTGGCCCGCCTTGAACCAGTCGCGAGGTAGAGGACTCAGGACTCCCACCGGTGCAGCCTGAACTGCCAGATCCTCCGGAACTGGTATGCCCAGCTCCTTCAAAAAGGGTACCGGATAATGGCATGTTGCTGAAGCAGTTCGGTGACAGGGCGCCACTTGCGCCGCCTCTGCAGCGTAGCCGGTGTTAGGTCCTGGTACAGGGCACGTTCTGCCCCTTTATATACAATTATGTCATTTCTGCCACGTTTCATTATGGCCTCCTTTGTTTGGCAGTATAAGAACCGGATAATCACGTCTCTCGGCCGCCTGTCATCCATTGGCCGGGCTCGGAGCGCCCTATGGGCCCGTTCAGTGTGCCAGAGATGTTCCGGTATATCGGGGAGAAGCGGCCTAAATATGCTCAGCACCACCTTTATAAGAGACCCTTCCCCCTCCTGCTCCGGTAGGCAGCGGAGGCGTAAGTTGTTTCGCCACGATCTGTTGCTGAGGTCATCAATTGCGGATTCGGCGTGTAATAATTGGGACGTCAAGTGGTTTATTTGCGCTGCAGCTTCATTGTGGGCCACTACCGTGGACTCCACCCGCTATTCCAGAGTTGCCGTCCTGACCCCCAAGGCCTGTATTTCCGTTTTGACCTCAGCAGTGTTTCTGGCGATCTCCGTGGCCAGTTAGGTGCGCACTTCAGCTAGCTTAGACAGTATCTGGCTGGTATTGGTCTCCGGAACACCCGTGGAGATACCGCTCCCCGGACTTGAGGGTGAGCGTGGTGTCCGCGGGCCGTCTCGTCCGCCATCTTGTGTGCTCAGTTGCATGGCGCGGGAGGGCGCAAACAGCTCCGTCACCGTGGTACCTGGTTCTGTCGATTTTTTGGCCTGTTTTCTCAGGGCCCGTTTATCCATCTTGGTTCTCCTGTAAATATCTTCAGATTTGCTGGTGTTTCTCGGCTGTTGTAGGCTGTTGGCACCGTGGTCTCAGCAGAGCTCTATCCGGACACGTCCAGCTTGCTCAGCCGCAGACCGCGCCCCTCGGCCAACTGGTTGTTTAAGTGCTTTTCAGATTCATTATTTCTAAACCAGTGGTGTATCCTGGTTTTGTGCTGCCCTAGGCAGGACAAAACTCAGGCACCCCCTCCCCCGCACCACCCCCACCCAACCCTTCCCCCCTACCCCACCTTCTAAATACACACACACAGTCAGACACACACACACAGTCAAACACAGACACACAGTCAGACACAAACACACACAATCACTCACATTAACACTTTTTTTAATTTAACACCTTTGGGAATGCTGGGTGGGGGGGTCCTCTCTCTTCCTGGTGGTCCAGTGGCTGCCGGTCGGGCTGATGGGCTGGCTACTGGGCGCGCAGGGGAGCTCTTCCTCTGAGCGGTGTGCTCCGCTCCCTCGTGCGCCGCAGAGTGAGGCTGGGAGGCGGAATATGATGTCATATTCCGGCTCCCAACCTCACTCTGCGGCGCGCGAGGGTGCTGAGCAGACCGCTCAGAGGAAGCGCTCCCTCGCCAGCTGCCCGCCCGGCCTGTCAGTTAGCCGCAAGGCTAACAAGGCATTTGCCCTGGGCATTTGGGGGCGGCGTTTTTTGCCGCCCCCTGAAAAATGCTGCCCAAGGCAACTGCCTTGTTTGCCTCGCGGCTAATACGTCCCTGTTCTAAACAGACGACTGAATAACAAAGTTCTTGTCAATTCAACAACCACTTGGCCACTACAATTAATATCAAGCTGACAAAAATGAACTAGCTTTTTTAGCTAAGGCTTGTTACCTGGAAATAATGTTAGTATTTGAAATTTATTCTTTTTAGCCATAACTAACAGGTAATTGTACATAGTTACAGAGTTTTATCACTTTATTAGAGGTGTGTATGTTCATACTAACTAAATGCTATATTTTAGATCATTCAAAATGTCAATACATTTACCTTAGAATAAAGGAAAAAAGGTCCAGGCACTCCTTGGTTCAAGATAGGCACTTTATGAGAACCACAGCAACGTTTCAACCATCTAGGTCTTTATCAAGCTTGATAAAGACCTACATGGTCGAAACGTTGCTGTGCCTATCTTGAACCAAGGAGTGCCTGGACCTTTTTTCCTTTATTCTACTACTTGGGAATCTGGTGTTTGGTTCCGGTATAGTTAAAGCACCCTGGCTCCGTTTGATGGGAGTGAGTGCAGTTCCCTACACACTCTACAATAAATATACCTTAGATTGGTCCGATTTGATCAGATCCTGATTGGGATCTTTCCCTCTTGCCCTCCGTAGCTTTTCTTCACACTGTTCCATCTGCTCATTCATTTTGTTTCTGCACTGGGTTCTATTGAAAACAATGTACACTTTTCCATTAAACAAAGATATACATACATAAAAACATATTCAAAGGAGGTGTATTTTAGAGTAAGGTAAAACATTTGTGAGGAATGGGTTATGACCTATTTTGAAAACGTTTTATTGACCTGGTTTTGTGCTGTGCATTTTGATTTGAAGATTTGCCACAGAGCCAGTTCTACAGCCAATGAAAAATGTTTTAGGGATTATGAAATATTTCTGCACATTTTTGTAAATGTATATTTTTTATTTTTGCAACAAATCTGGACATGAACTAGCCACTTCAATTTCAAAATTAGCTGCAACATCTCCAAAGGCAACAAATATCTAATTTATGATTAAGATAAATGATTACATTTGGGAGCTGTTAAAGGGTATCTTACCTGCTTTGTTTGCTTCTAAACCACCATTTTTAATAAAATATTTACTTCCCTTTTTCCAGAGCCAAAGTTCCCTTGGCGCTGCTCACTTCTCCACCTCCTCCTCATTGATCCAATTTAATGTTCCTTATAGAGGAGCTCTGGTGACCAATTGCACATGTGTGGCAAACGCCATGTGTGCATTAAAGTTTCCCCATAGAAACCATTGTATTTAATGCTTTCCTACAGGCTTTTTTGTCACATGACCAAAGTTATTTCTTCAGTGTAGCAGAAGTGCCTCTAGTGGTTGTCAGTATGACAGTCACTAGAGTTGGATTTAAGCGTGCAATATAACAAATTGTTCTAAACTGCAGGGTTAATAGGACAGGGTCACTGCACCTACTGAGATGTAAACAATTCCTTGACTGCATTACACATTTTTAACTTGTTTTATATTATGAATAATACAAAACTGAGCTACAAGTGAAAGTTTAACTTCAATGTACACAAAATTATTAACTAAAAATGAATACATGAACATGGTGTGTGGCTTCATACAGTTATTTGGAAAAAAACAAAAAACAAACAGACATTCAGAAGCACAAATCTAAAAACCACACAAGAAACTAGACATGTGCAATTAGTTTCGTTCCGAATGTCGATTCGGACAAATCTCGGGCAATTCGGACATTCGGATACTTCCGAATGTCCGAATAGCTGAATTGCCGAAGTTCTGAAGCGTCTAAGTTCCGAAGCACAGAATTGCCGAAGTACTAATATACCCAGTGGAAGAATGAAGAATGTTAAACTGTATACCAGTTTAAATAAAACGTATACAAACATAGCCAGCATTTGCAACACTTACAACAATCAAGTAACACGTTCATATAAAATGTAAGTTACTTCCATTTCAGTAAGTAGATAGATCCCTAATACTGTGGGAATTAGGGAGTTATCTACCAAAAGGCTGGAAGACCTAACTTGGTCTTTCAGACAAATTTACTAATACTAAGTAAAAATTACTTAGTATTAGTAAATTCTGCCCCTGCTCGCTATACCGCGAGTAGGGGCATGTCTAGTAAACAATGAGCCGTGGAAATTAGGGAGTTCTCTACTAAGCGACTGCAAGAGAACTCCCGAAATTCCAAAATGCCGAAGTACAGAAGTTCCGAAGCGTTGAAGTTCTGAATGCCGAACTGAATATTTTCCCCATGCACATCCCTACAAGAAACCCTGTTTATTTCTATTAAAATTTAGTGAGCCGTGTATAATGGGAAATTACAGCAGACAAGGTTCTGGTCAGGATCTCATGTCCTCTTGAAAGTGATATTTAAAATTTGGATCAGCGCTATATGATCAATTAGGAGCTAAAAAAATTTCATTTTCACTACCTCTTGAACGTGAGTCCGTATTCTCTTTCCAAAACCTTGTCCTACTTAAATATTTTTTCAGTTTAATATTTTTATTTTATTATCACCAAGAGTTTCCATGTGCATCTATACATCTAAGATGTTTGAACTCCTATTTATTTCCTTTCAAATTCAATGAAACAGCACTTACAGCTCAAATGTAGACTTCTTGTTCTGATTCTCTTGTAGTTCCAAAAGCTCCTTCTCTGCATTTTCTAAGTTCACCTCGAGGTCCCTGACCTGACCTGAAATAAAATAAAATGATGAATTTACAAGTACAGTTTATTTGGGGTGTACTTATTAAAAGTCTGAAGCCAAAACATTTGCAAACGAGACAAATCTCAATGTATCAATCCTGGTAAAATATTTTATAAATAAATAAAAATAAAAAAAAGGGTCAAATTATCCCCTCCCCTGACCCCACCCATGGGTGATAGGTTGGACCCCAATATTAATAACAAATGGGGAGGAGGACCTATATCCAACAGCCTACTCCCTTGATAAATGCCATCAATGTCTTTTTTTATTTTTTTTGAGGTAGTAGAAAGTTTATTTACAATGGAGTTACAATGAAAGATAGAAATTAGATTAAGCATGCTGACCAGGTTTAATGAAAAGGGTCACAAAACTAGCTAAAGATACAAATTTTTTGAAAAATCTGAGGGGTAAGGGAATGTCATGTAAGATTTTCACTACCAGTTTACTGTCAACGAACCTACAATTAACAAACCCTTTATAAAAGACACACTTATGTACAATTTGTAAAAAAAGAAATTTCAGAACAAAAAAAAAAAAAAAAAACACAAAACAAAACAAAACCCACAACAAAAATGAAGCACGTTCTCCACAGATTCTCCTTGCTAGCTGTATATCCTTTGGCATAATGGTTACTCTCTTTGCATGGATAGCACACAAGTTGGTATCTTCAGAGAGGCCAACAAGGTAAGCTGCACTCTGGAACCTCAGATCAGTTCTTGAAGTCTTGAGCAATTTCCCTCACAAGACGCTGACATGGCAGCTAGTGGGTCAGCAGCTCAGTAGACTTCTGGTATCTTCTGATTTCTCTCAGAGCAACAGTGCCAGGCCTGTATCTGTAAGGCTTGTTGACACCCCCTGTAGAAGGGGCACTCTTCCTAGCTGCTTTAGTGGCAAGCTGTTTCCTGGGAGCTTTACCTCCAGTAGACTTACGAGCAGTCTGCTTGCAAAACCTGGCAGGTCACGACAGCGCACACAGCGGTCAAACGAGGCAAGCGACGAATCACAATGTCCGTATTCTGTCGCCCAGATGGCCCTATACAGCAGCAAATCATTTTGCTCCATTTGGTACGGGGCCATTTCAACTTTATTGTTCGTAGTAACTATCAGAGCTATTCACTTATCACGTGATAGGAATACATTGTTACCTATTTTGCCAAAATGTAAAAAAGTTAATTGCTGACAACATTCACAGTTGCAATGTTGGATAATTTTTTGCAATAGTTTGCATTACTAAGCTGAGTCTATCAAGAACAATAACACTCCCATAGACTTGATTGTTCCAGGGCATTTCCCTTTCAGTTCTGTCTTTTGCTAGTGAATGTATTCTCTGTTTCCTTCAAGCAGAGTGAATGTGATTGCTAGTCATGAATAGCCAGAAAAGCTACTTGGTCACATTAGCAATATATTTTAATTTGCTGTCCTTCTATGAGATCATACACTTCTATCCTCATCATGTTGGCAGACAATAGCAACAGAATCAAATGCAAAAGCCACACCTAGAATCACCTCCAGACCTGTTAGCTATCCTTTGAACACGGCAATGACATTCAAAGGGCCAAGAAACTGCCTAGCAGCCACATGCCTGCTTAAAAGGAAGTACTGCCCACAAATGAAAGAATGTGCACTGTTTCATTTAAAAAAATTTTTTTTTTTTACTGAAATATAGGGGTGGGGGAAAGTATGTAGCTTATTAGCCACTTTCGCAACCACATACCTAATAAAGCTGTCAGGCCCCACACGCAAGTGTTTTTTTTTTTTTTAACCCCTGCAGTGACATTCCGTGTATAAGATGACCCCAATTTTAGACTAACGAAAATGTCGAAAAAAACAGTAATCATTCATGTAGGAGTCATTTGGTATTCAAATTTTAGGCTTAAATAACCAATTGTTTTAAAATTTTCAAGCTGTAGCCTCAATTTAATAAGCTTAAATACATTCATAAATGGCAAACATTGTAACCTTTCAAATTGGTGGTAATCCAGAGGGTTAATGCCCAAGCAAGTGACAGGCTATATTATAATAACTGTTTTTACTACTCTGATCTATGCTGTCAAAAAAAATGCACAACTTAATATGTAAAATATAAACTATTTTTGAAAAGTCCAGAAGTCCTATTGAACATGTTCACAGTGTAATTTGTTGACTTTTCTTATTTCATGATACTCTGATTGAAAGGGAGCTAAAATGATATTTACATATATCCGCTGAGTTAATTTTTGGAAAGGACAATCCTTGCCAAGATCCAGTTCCCCCTGCCCTTCATGGTTACCCTGTTATTTCTCTTTTTCATGAGATCAGCTTGGTTGATGTGTATGAGTGTATCCCAGAGCTTTGTGGACATAATGCTTGTATTAAAGTGTATCAGTATATGTAAATAAAACACATTCTTATTCTAACGGACCTGAACGAATTACATAGATTACTATGACTAGGTCACAAAGTCACGTAGAGTTTCTTTGGAACACCATTTCCCACAGCCACTATCTCTGGAACAATGTGTCATACAACAAGTTAGTGGGTAAGCATGGTGAGATTCAGTATTTAAACTCCTCTGTTTTTCATGAATCCTTGATGCCTGAGCACTGAGAGTCTGATTATCCAACAGTTTTTCTGCCCCTTAGACTATTTTCACTGCCTATATAGTTCACACTGTCAAGATTGCCTTCCTTAATTTCTCAATCTCTTTCTGACCTTGGCTTGAGATGGTTTTTCTGACAGTCTAATGCACAGAACAAACAGATCAGCATAGATATATGAAGGGGGATAGGGGGAGCTGGTCAATTGGAGAGGGTAGTCTTATCATATAATTAGCAATTAGCTATGGAGTAATAAGGAGTTGAGGTTTGAAGAGGAAAGTAAGTAAGACATATTTATTTTTGTTAGTCTACACACAGCGTGACTGAAACGGTTCTTGAAACTGATAGCAACTATACGATGGCTGCTATCAGTTTATACACAGCTCAGTTCACTGCTTAGTCTGTGGCTTGGCGCTCTCTTTGGGGAGGAGAGAGAGCATTCTTTACTGCTGACACACCCAAGAGGTTTTGCACTTGACGTGGCAGGTGAGCTGACACTTGACTGGCCATTGGACTGATACTAAAAACCTATAGTTATTTAAATGTGCACAGGGAAGTAACTCTATTCTTTGGATGTATTAAATATAAAAAAAACTAAGTATTTCTGCATCTTAGATTAGATTATTTACCTTGTAGAATCTGTATCCGTCTATCCTTTAGTGTTACGTTGTTTATTAAAGATTCCTGTGCAAACAGAAAGGTGAAAAGGAATAAACACAATGTTATTTCATAGTATAGGTTTCTGCATTATTCCACGACCTCACTAACCGCATGACCTGCATTAGATTTAATACAAGTACATTTGTTTTCCAAGAAGTCACTTAAGCACAATGCATGAGTTAACTCATAGAACAAGGCACATATTAATCACATTGTAGAAACACAGCACTTGCCCAACCTCAGCATCAAAGGGGAACATGGCCTTGTACAGACACGGATGTTAAAATATAAACAGGCATATGCACAGGACCGGATCTATATTCCAGGTGGCCCTATCACTAGATCTAACTTCATTGAGCAGATACTCCTGGGCACACACTGAATGTAATCCTATACTGGGCCTCGTATAAAGGGATATTCTAAGGCAGGGGTTCTTAACCCAGTCCTCAGGACCCCCTACCAGTCCAGGATTTGGGGATTACCTGGGTGTGTCTCAGGTGTTTAGAAAAAGGGAAAAAAAACACCTTAGATTCTAAGGTGTTTTTTTTCCTTTTTCTAAACACCTGAGACACACCCAGGTAATCCCTAAAACCTGGACTGGTAGGGGGTCCTGAGGACTAACGTTGAGAACCCCTGTTCTAAGGCACATTTGTATTTAAAACACAAGCAGGTAGGGCACGCAATATTAGATTATCCATGAGATATTTGATGCTGCATGACCAATGTATTACATATTATAGCTTACATTGCATTTTAGGCGAGAATATATTTAGGGACATTTCTAGCCTGGCCTGTTGGAGCCAGTGTAGGAGTGGCGATATTTAATGCCAAAGACATTACTATAAATGGCAGCGGTCTGCCAAATAAAGAAGCATGACATATTTTCATAAAGCACAGGAACTCAACTTGCTTGCTGCCAGCTGTACCACATTCCTAAATCTAAGGCTGTATGGGGAGACAATTGGAAATTATAGAGGGAGGGTGAGGGACATGATGTTCAGATTAGGGAGGTCATGGTCTCATTGTCATGACATAAAGAGGCAGGAATTAAATTTACACAGGTAATAGCAAGCATTTGGTTCAGCTCACGGCCAGATAAGGAAGATGCAACTGGAGCTGCACCTCCATTCATTTTTTGTAAAATGGGCCGAAGCAACTACAATAGAAATCGTCATTTTTTTCTCCCCAATAAATTTCTTTATTGCTTCCCTGTCACTGAGTACTAATACTGTGCTTGCTTGTTGTGTGTCCTGTTGTATGTGTGGTCTCAAAGCTAGATATGTGACATCGCAACTACACAAGAGGGACAATTCAAACAGCATAGATCAACGTTAAATTTGCTATTGTGACAACTAATTTGCAAATTCAATTTCCCACATTAAGCCCATCAAACCTTCAGCTCTATTTTTTTTTCTCCGTTTCACTTTGCAAGTATTGGTTTATACATATATGCGTGTTGTCATGTTCCTTTTTCTGCATTTGTATACCCACTTTAACTAAGTATATGCAAGTATGTCAATAAAACTTTTATTGGTAAAAACAAGCAAACCTTCAGTCCTAGGCCCTAAAACCAGAACTCATTCAGCCCAGGGCAACACTGCATTTATTTAAAGGCAAACCTCTAAAGCCTAATTTAATGGTTCTGGGGCATGTAGCCCACACTTGCAGGATCAGCAGTGTAAATGCTGATCCTGCAAGTGTGGGCTATATGCCCCAGAACTTAGACAACCACTAGAGGGACTTCCTGGATGAGGTCCTGCAACTTTTGCAGAATCTACATTCACTGTGCCAACGTTTTACAACCCCAGGTTCTGCGTGGGACAGCCATTAAAGGGACTTTCGCTGCACTGACAGCATAAAGCTTGGTCACGGGACTCATAAGCCCATAGAATAGCCTATAGCGCACATTTTAGTTTTTTCATTTTTATGGCAAACAGTGGACCTGTATTTGTCTTGGGAAAGGGGCACTATAGCAGTAAGAATACAGATTAGTATTCCCAACGCTATATTATTCCTTTACACAGTTCAATATTCAAGCACCCTCCTAATAACAGTATGGCACAGACTAAAATAAACTACTAGTAAAACAGCCCACTTGTCTCAGATTGTAGAATGTCCTTAAATAGTATTAGATTCTGGTCTTTAAATGTAAAACAAGATATATTTTAATCCTATAACAATGTTTGCAGTGTTCTTTTTCCCCTCAGGCAGACTGTCACTGTCTGCATTTATATGTAAATAGATGTAATCCCGTTTGGCTTTCCATTCTGCTGTGGAGTCCGCCCTTAAGACCTACTTACCTTTTCACTGTTATACAACAAGTTTACACTTTGCAACTGGGAACTGTGCAAAGACTGGATATTGTCAATTTGTTCTTTCTGCTTAACCAGCTTTTCTTCAAATTCGTTCTTTTTCATTTCCACAGCCCCTCGCTCAGCGGCTGCCCTGCGCATTCTCCCCTCCAGCTCCAACACGCGACTCTAGAAGAGGCAGATTAACATTGCTCATGTACACCTAAAAAGCCACATGCATGTCAGAAAATGTTTTAGAAACCATTGCAGCTCTTTACTTTAGTCACTTGAAAACTTTTTGATGCCCTGCTGCCCTTTAATGGTGTCCTTGTAGGTCTAACGGAGACTCCTAATACTTAATTTGCTGAATGCAACACACAAAACATTTAAATCGTCAGTTGTTTTCTGGCTAATAATTCTTTGAATAGAAGAACCCTACCTGTAGTTCCACACATCGGGAGCTTGTAATCCAGTAGTTTATCCCCAAAACCAAAATACACGCCAGGAGGACAGCAATGAGAAGAGGTGGGGACTTCATTCCTCTGCGGCCACTCCCCAATCCCATTACAGTTGTGGTAAACCTGAGACAAAATAATACCGTACACGTCAAAAATCATCTACACTGCACAATAGTTTAACGTTTTTAACGACTAATACGGTCCATCACAGCTTCTATGTACCTAGTCAAAATTGTGAATAAAAAAAAATAAAAAAAATGTTTAAGTGATTAATTACTGGAAACTACCTAACACGCTGACTAAGTCTTAGATTGCCTCTAGCAAAAAGATAATGCATCATGTTAATCAGCTCCTATAATTAGAAATCAATATATGTAAATTAGACACATTGAAAAATAATAACTGAGAAAGGTAGGAGGAGACCGTGCCCCAAACAATATATCTAGAAATTTATACATACACAGGTCTTTTTTAAATAAGTACAAGAAAAAATACTCCAATGGTGAAGTAAGTTCTAAAAGATCTAAAAAAGAAAGTAATGTACTTACATTTACCAGAGCTCTGGTATATACAGCATGGGTGGTAGGAATGTGATGGTACCAGGAAGCAAAAAAAGGATGGATGAAACTAAATATATAAACATGAAATTTACTATTTATTTACCATACAAAAATAATGAAAGCAGTATAAAATAGCATAAAATAGTAAATATACTGCTTTTGTTGGTTTTGTATGGTAAATAAATAATAAAAATAAATAAAAAAAAACACCAGTTCTGCTCTGGTAAATGTAAGTACATTACTTTTTTTATATCTATTAGAACTTACTTCACCATTGGAGTATATTTTCTTGTACTTATTTCTACATATGTCCTGCATACTGCACCTTACTTGAGACACCTGGGACGTCTATAACAGCATATATCCTTAGACGGGGATTGTTCCGTCCATGCGTAATACAGCTGAGCTCTGAGTTAGCTCTATCAAATGTGAGTGATAACCACATAAGATAACTTCACCACCTATTCACCAGATATACTGTACTGCACTATTATATTTTTTTGCTTTTATCTTTGAGGTCAAGACGTGTATGTATAAATTTCTACATGTATTGTTTGGGACGAGGTCTCCTCCTACCTTTCTCATATTCTACTATCTACAAGGTTTGGGAATCCTTGTATTGGTAACTGCAGCCCACAGTTATCCTGTGTTTAATACTATAGTGAGCGCCTACTAACTTTTTTTTTTTACACAGATAAAAACTACTTCACTAAGTTGAAGTGGCTCAGTAACCTCAAACTTACCTTACTCCTATGGTTCCCTCTTGCAGAATCTGCTGTGCATTTCTGATAAATTTCTAAGTAAAACATAAGTCAAAGTAGGGACTACTTTGTCTTGTGTATTTTTCCTATGCTTGACAATATTGACAAAGTGTGTAGTTCATCTGAAAGCTAGCTCCACCCTTTATTAAGATTATCAAGCATAGGAAAACTACACAAGATAAAGACCTTTGTCTTGTGTTTTTATTGAGAAATACATCAGCAATGAATAACAGATTCTGAAAGTATAGTTAATAATTATATTATCAGCTCCAGGGGCAGCAATCCATTACTAATGAGCCTGTTGACTCAAATGGCATCCTAGCTTCAGCAAGTTATCATTTGAATTTTTTTTTTTTTTTTTTAATGATTTGCCCCAGGTCTGGCGAGACAATACTGATTTGCATTACCTGACACAGTTGTTAATCCTGCACATCTGCCATAATAAATGTAGACATTGTTATAGTGCCTGCAGTTCTGCGCCACATCCTACCCCCCCAAGACCATTAATTTCACTAATTAAAAGCCTTGGAAGCGTGGCATGCCTTAATGCCCTCTGGTTATAAGAGCCGGGAATCTTACCTCCCAGCTTTCACACTGTAATGTCACATGCACATGCGCAGTCCTGTCACAGTTGGCCATAGAGAATCATTGAATACAATGATTCTCTATAAAGGAATCGTAGGTGCATTGCGGACAAACGCTGCGCATGCCCCAACGTTCTCCAATGCTCCTCTATGAGTAGAATTGGACTGGCCCACCAAACCCAGAAGGGGGTTGCGGCAGAGCCGTGGGAGACTTGGCGCTGGAGAAAATGTGAGTTATCAGGACTGTAGCATTAAGAATACAGATATGCATTGCTAACGCTACATTGTTCCTTTAACTAAAATGTATTGGTAAATGTTTCTCATGTCTCCTTAGTGGTAGCAAATGTTTTCAGTGTTGCAGACATCAAGTAAATCATTTTATATTAAAAGTATTGATTCCCTTATAAAAGCAGTGAATCTAATGCTTCTCTTTGACAAGCACTGTATGCATTCAGCACCTGATTGCAGTGCATGATGACACCAAACGTGAGGACCCTTAATTTTCTGTCTGACGGCTAATAGCGTTGTGGTTTCGCACAAATGTAAATATTGTAGTTTCTTAGAAACTGCAATGTTTTATTTACATGGTCTCAAAAAAAAAAAAGGGGGACAGCATCTATGAACCAAACCCACTTTATTACAATTAAGTGCGTCTGTGAAAAATGATGTAGGCTGTGTATATACCAACGTATACACCTGCTTTGCGATGATCATCATGAAACTTGCTAAAAATTTAAAACTTTTTAAAAAAAGTGCGTCTTTCCTTTGGTTTAACAGAATTGAATGCAGAGGGTTAGAAATCTTGAAATCTTTAGCAGTTTGTAATTGTATATACATCAAACTAGAATATGAGGAAATACGTATTTCCCACAGTACAGCATTATGAGATAAAAATAAGCCTACACCACAATCAGAATCTCCATCAAAAGTGTCATGCTGCTTTTTATGCAAACAAAAGTGTTGCTGTCTCTTTAATTTCCTCTCAATTTTAATGTTAATGTTTGGGCTGAAAACATCGAGAGAATAATGCATGACTGACAAAAATACAAAAAATAAAATAAAGGGAAACTTCAAGGTGCCAAGGTCATCTGAGAATAGAAATAAAATAGCATATACATCAGAAATGATAACAGTTTTAACAATCATATTATAACCCAGAACCATGGGTTGAACAGCAATGGGCAGCTGTGATTGGCTGGGAATATTAGCAGATTGCTTTCAATATATCACTGTGGCCATTGCAGGTATGAATTGCAGAAGTCAGATCGGCAGGAGAGTTCTCCAGCACAGAGGGAGCCCGGCGCTGGAGAAAGGTAAGTGGCTGAAGGGGATTTACCCCTTCAGCCAAGCGGGAGGGGGGGATGGACCTAATGACCCTTTAGTACCAGGAAAACAAACATGATAAAAAAAAAAAAAAAAAGTTTCATTTTCAACCTTAAAATGGTTTCATTTTCAACTTTAAAAGTTTTTATCTCCTGCTCTGTAAAGTGAACTTTAATTACATACAGGAGACTCCTGCAGGGTCTAACTAGCTATTTACTGAGCAGGAGATAAGAAATTCTAAATTAAACAGAAAGTGCAATAAAGGAAGTGTGAACATTAGATGACTCTTTAGAAGAAGTTTGTGTAATGTATTTGCTAGTTATTTCCCCCTACCCCCTTCCTTGTTTTCCTAAAATGACATTGTCCCATTCTTCCAGAGACCCCTTTCCTCTGCTGTATAGTATTATATGTGTTTTAGGAGTTTTATTGTACTATGGGAGATAATGATGTTAGCATGTATGTGTGTATATAAAAGGTAAAACAGAAAGGATGCTAATTAGTTTATAACACGATAGCTAATGTGCATTGGACCTTGGTGTCAGGCAGGTAATTCAGTTATGGACCCGACCTAATTGTGAAATAGACACCAAGACTCTAAGGAGTGACTTGTATTGTTTTGTGGGATGACCCCCTGTTGTGATTACTCCTATATAAACCTGTGATTCACTCAATAAAAATAGTTCTACTTCACCCTTCACTAAGTCTCGGCTAGTGTTTGGGTGAGATAGCTATACACTATGCAGGAGAGCCATCACTTGGAGGTGTAGCACAGGATCATGTTCCAGAATGGGAAACTTTGTATAGACCCCAATCAAGCTGCGGTGACTGGGGGTTGAAGCACTACAGGTGTCCCAGTTAAAGCAAGGAAGCGTGCTTGGCAGAAGTACTCAGTCAGAGTACCAGCCAGCCCGCCACAAGTTACCCACCCTGAACTGTCTTGCCCTGGTTTTTATGGAGGGGACAGATGAGGTTAGTTTCTTCTGAAGTCTTACCATTCCCATTTGCACAAGAAAAATAAAAGGGTTCCATGTAGCACTAAGGTGGTTATTGTGTAATGATTCTCCTCTGTATCTAATGATCAGACCTTCTGCAGTTTCTTGGATAATGTGGGAGGCTCACTTCTGAATTACCCATTAAAGGCCTACCATCCCCGGACAGCAATCATAAGGTGTAGGAACTGGGGGGGAGTTGGCCTCAGTTTTACTTAAACTGATCCAAAACAGATGTATAGAAAATTGGATCAGTGGGTTTAGTGTCCAATGACTCAGAGCACCATAACCTCTACAATTAGCTATAGCGTGTATAGAGATACCCGTAAGTGAAATCTGCAAACCCATTTTTAAATCATCATTTCTGTAAGTTGTAGGTTTCTTTTGTTTACCAAATCTTCTGGTATCCCAACTTTTGAACACTTTAAAGAAGGCTTATTTTGTGTGATATCCCATATAATAATGTCTGGTCAGGACAATAGTACTTGCTCAGTGAAACACTGTATAAAAAAAAAAAAAAAAAAATATGAATCCTAAGTCTCGTGTTCAGTACATGGTACTAGGAAACCAACCAATATGCTGTTTGTTGCTTCATAGGGTCCAAAGAACAGGTAGTTAAGCTGTTAGGTAAAGAAGAAGAAGCTACAATTAAAATATCTGCCTAATTGCCTAACTTGTGTTTTTTTTTTTTTAGATTTAACAGTTCTTTCAATTGTTAAACATTCATCCTATGCAGAAACCATTAGTTGCTAGAGTTAAAGTGATATTCAGCCAGAACCATGTTTATACTAGATAAAGCAGCACTCTGTGCAACATGAACATTGCAGTCACTAGCCACACTTTCTTCCTTTCTTTACTGCAGTTACTTGAAAGAAAGAAAAAAAAAAAAAGTGTTTAAAAATATTGACTGTGTGTCAGAGAGCCCTGCCCTGACTGTCGCTGCTAACCTCTGCTGCAGCTGGAAAGCCTCCTTGGACAAAGTGGTTCATTATCGGCACTCCTCTAGTGTACCTCAATTGCCAGTGGGCAGTGATCTGAGGGATGAGTGACATGGTCATCAAATGTCCGCTCACTTACTCCAATCTTTGTTTAGGGTTTTGACAACAATGTGGCAAATACTGCTTTCACTTGTTGCTATGGCTGACTAACCACTGGGGCAGCGCAATTCCACAACATATGCTGGGATACCCTGTTACTGGCCAAAAGTGTGGAAAGTCATTGCCTGAGGACAATACAGGTAGATGGTCCACCAATTGCCCATTGAGCTATTTCCCCCCCTTTTAAATAGCATGCTGCCCAGGCTTATCAACCTACAGACATTATATAAAGGACCATAACTACTATGGTTTACTGTAGCAATTATAGTGCAAAGAGGGCCCAGACACCTCCTCAATGTAAGTGGTAAAACTATTTAGAACACTGATATCTTACCTGGGGTCCACTGGGCTCCACTCCTGCTCTGGAGAGCTAAAAGTCCCTGCTAGGAGCCTTTGCTAGTTCTTCTGAGCCAAGCTCTGTAGTGCAGGGCAAGCTCATTGGCTGAGAGTGTTAGTTAATGTCTCTCAGAAAATGATAACCACTCCAAAATGTTTTCAGTACTTACATTGTGGGGCGCCGGGGTACTCCTGGCACCATAACCCCTAAAACATGCTGAAGTGCTTTGAGTGTTCCTTTAGGAAGATTAGTTATAATTTTAAAAACAAATTGCATTGGAGAATAGTTTGAGCTGAATGGAGTACTCTAATCAGTATGAAGGCAGAAGATGTGGCTATGGTGTATAACCATGTCTTATCAAACGGCCATGAATACTCTACCTATACGATAAGATAAAGAGTGTCAACTAGGTTATCGCAGAGCTGGCCAAAAAAACCCTGTGCATATCACTATCATACTTAATACCATAAACTTACTGAGCCTTATATTTTTAGAAATGATGTGACAATTTATTTAAAGTACATGGGTTTTTTTTAGTTTGTTTCTTTTACCTTTTCCTAATAGAACACACTCTAGATAGAAGTAATTACTATTTAAATGTGCACTGCAAAATTAATGATCAAATAATAGCTGACATTTAAAGTACACTTATTTTGCAAATCTGACATGTCATGGTGGTACTTTACGGAGTACACATTTTGCTAGCCACACTGATAGCAACTATATAGCTAAAAGCTTATTTTATATAATAATCAGAATGGCAAAATCATTATAAATACAGTGAATAAAGTATCAAAATTCTTAATATGTAACATTACCAAAATGTTAATCACAGCATCCACAATAGTTGACATTATTTATCCATGTCATTTAACCATGTACATTATTAACTGCTTTATTGAGTCATACAATATATTTTAGAATGCAAGTCATTGTTTTCCTCGTATTTTTAACTAGACCATCTAGCATAGCGGTTCCCAAACTGTGCACACAGGAGTGACGTGGAATGTTTCCCCGATGCTATGATTATAGCACCAGGGAAACATTACTGCTCAACAGGGACCCGGGTGAGTGCAGCGTTCCTTTAAGACCGTGACTGGGCCCCTGTAATGTCGTCCGGCTGGGAGGAAGTGAAAGCTTGTCACTTCCTCCAAGCATCGTGCAGAGAGACAGCACGGGATGGAGAGGAGCACGAAGAGCTCCAGACCACTTCACTCCCTCCCCAGCAGGACCAGGACTCCAAGCCACCCTCCTGGCCACACAAGGTAGGCTAACAGGAGGGTGGCTGGATATATAAAAAAAATAAAAATCACTGTGTGAGTGTTAGTATGAGATTGAGTGTGTATTAGTGAAGGTGTGTATGTTAGTATGAGTGTGTGTGAGAGAGTATGAGTGTGTGTGCCAGGGTGCGCATCTGTGTGTGTGTGTGTATATATTGGAAGGCATGGCCTGAAGTTGTGGGAGGGGCTATAGACCTACTTAAGGGACTCCCCCTTCCCTTACTTACCTTCGTTGGTCTAGACGAACAGGAGGCTGATACTCGCCGGCTTCCGTTGCTCCCGACTTCCTGGTTCGTGACGTCACTTCCAGTGAGACGTGGCGCACTCCTCTGACGTCACACGCTGACTTCCGCCGGCTCCACAGGCTCCACAGGCCCACCGGCTCTCCAAACCCGGCCCGAACAGCGGCTTTCAGCCCGGCATCACCGGCCCCAGAACCGGACCGGCCCCAGAACCGGACACTCGCCGGCCACCAACCCGACCGGCCTCTCCCCCCACCAGACCGTTTTTGGTGCGGTAAGCAGGGCTCCTACTGGGGTATAGCAGCTGGCCCTGGGTGCAGGACAGAGACTCCATTACCGTTAGGAGTCCCTGTTCCCGGCCGCCGGCGAAACCCAGTCTTAAGGGGGAAGTTATGATGGTTAAAAGGGGGGGGGGACATACATACGGCCCGGGCGGGAACAGGCCTCAACCAGACCCCTATATCGTAAAGGGTCCCTGTTCCCGCCGGCAACACACAAATGGGGGCATTATAGTAGGCTTCAGGGTTAAAACCCTGGTCTACCTATCTTGCACAATTTTAAAAGGGGGGCCATGGTACGTTCCGTTGCTGGCTGACCCTTAGTTCAGCCAGTTTGCAACCTTACATGATTATAACATACACTTTCCTTTCAAATACTTTACGGTTCCATACCTTGCTGTTATTTATACATATACTGCTAATTAGGACACTGGTTAAATTAGTAAAACGCTGGTTATACATATATGGTATGATATGCTTGAAAAATTATAGTACATGATATATGTTACTCATGGCTGTTTAGATATGTTATGAGATATTGGCATGTATAGTAGTAACGTTAAGTCTTAGGATAATTATACCACGGTTACGGTTAAAGTGCATAGCCTACCGGTGGCATTGTGTACATTGTGGGGACAATACTCGCTGCAATCCCCCCCAGAACTCTTACTACGTCAATTTATTCTTATTTATGTATATGTTCCACATTAGAGTACATTATCTAATATTCTCATACCCCCAGGAACCCGAATACCCTCGGATGGGTCACCTAAGCTAACCCCCTACTCAAGAGACATCTGAATTCTCTTCCACAGAACCAGTGCTCAATTTTTCTGCAGGTATGTTGATTTGCAAGTTTTCTTTTTCAACACGGCCATGTTAGTTATTCCCCTGCCCCTTAATCCTAGCGGTCCGCGAGGCCAACTCCCATCCTCATTGGGCCTTTTGTTAACCCCCCTTTTCCAGCTGGAGAACCAACCCTATCGGACTGGTTTCCAGCAAAAATTCAGAGAAACTAAGACTTATCATTGACTTATCCGCACTCCACTCCTCTGCCATCCCCAGCCTAAACTCATTGATTCCATCTGAGGAATTTTCCCTACAATACTCCACTATTGACGACGCTATTGCAGCTATCAGATCTGGGGGCTTGGCTCAGCAAGACGGATATTGTGAATGCTTTTAAATTATTACCCATACACCCCTCTTTGTGGCACCTGCATGGCGTTAAGTGGCAAGACTCCTACTACTTTTTTACAAAGCTCACTTTCGGTGCCAAAAGTAGTCCCAGGATTTTTCACACGTTTGCAGAAGTTTTGTGTTGGCTCCTCCTCAATACCTGCAGGTGCCCAAATGTGATACACTACTTAGATGATTTTCTTTTCATCGAATCCAATTCCACCCCCCCCCACGTAGCCTAGACAAAGCAACCAAACTATTCACATCCCTTGGTGTTCCCGTGTCACCCACTAAAACCGAAGGACCAGATACATTGATTAACTTTCTGGGTATTCTGCTGGATTAATCAACTTTGATGGCCAGCCTCCCTAAAGGAAAGGTAGTTCACATCCTACACAATATTAGCCACTACATGCACAGGGGGTCCTGCAATCGTAAAGAACTACAATCACTTCTGGGTTCACTAAATTTCGCCATGCGCATAATCCCCCAGGGCAGGGCTTTCATTGCTAGGCTCCTCGCCCTGTTCCCCACTTTCGCCAACGAGCATATCCGCATATCCTTAGACTGTCCTGCGACTGCTGATCTCCAGATGTGGCACAAATTCCGCTCGGAATGGAATGGGAGGAGCATGTTCCTCCCACAGATTGATTCACAGTCACCAGTCATTTGGACAGGCGCAGCATCATCAGCGGGATATGCGGCCATTTTCGGCACAGAATGGCTCTGGGGGACCTGGCCTACAGAAACACAGGGCATTGAGGGTTTTCACACTAACTCAGCCCTATTTGAAATATACCCTATAGTTGCTGCAGCCGTCACTTGGTGTAGGTTGTGGAAAGGTCAGTCCGTACGCAGCTTTTCCGACAACCTGGCAATATGCAACATTATCAACAAGGGTCGCTCTTCCTCCTTGGTGATTATGAGTTTCCTTAGGAAACTGACATGGCTGGCAGCTAACCATCAGTTCCACATTGTATGCTCTCACGTTCCTGGCATCTACAACACGGCAGCTGACCAACTCTCTCGCTTTCAATTTCAGGCCTTCAAACTGTCCCTACCCTCGGCAGCTCGGGTAGCAACCCCAGCGCCAACTTTCCAAGAACTTGTCATGGAGTAGACGAATTACTTCAGCACAGTCACGTTCTTACCAAGTTAGCCTTATCCACCAGCGCCCAACACGCGTATCACAGAGCTTTTCACTTGTACAAACAATTCATGTCTGACCATCACCTAGCAGACTGGTTCGAGGTTTCTTCACTGATAGCTTTTGCATCTTTTTGCCACCTTAAATTTAAGTTTTCACATAATACTATTAAAGGACCACTCTAGGCACCCAGACCACTTCAGCTTAATGAAGTGGTCTGGGTGCCTGGTCCAGCTAGGGTTAACCCATTTTTTGTGTATATGCCTCTGTGAGAGGGTGTGTGTTTATATGTCAATGTGTGTATGTCAGTGTGTATCTGTGTGTATGTGTCGGTGTATATCTATATGTATGTGTCAGTGTCTATATGACTTTGTGTGTATGTGTCAGTGTATTTATATGCATCTGTGAGTTAATGTGCATGAATATCTGTGTATGTATGTATGTGGTAGTATATGTGCATACATCCAACCAGTCAAACACCAGCACAACATACAAGCACACTTCTGCAATCTAACACAAATACTACACACAAACACAACCCTGCATTCAAACTCAAAAAAAAATATACAAACACACCACTTCACTCAAACACAAGTACTACACACAAATGTACACCCGCATTAAAAAGTGAACATAACATTCAGACACACCCCTGTATTAAAACAATAAATGTACACAAGCATCCCTTCAAACACCAACACTATACATTACACTATAGCGCCAGTAAATTATACAGCACAAATTTCAGGTTTTGTTTTGGTCAGAACTTGTACAACTGCCTCTGTCATTAAGGCGTGTAAAGGTTTAAATCAACCACCATGACCATTTCAGTGTTGGAAGTGGTCATGGCTGTAGTAGTCTGGATGTGCACTGTTTCTGCATAAAACATTACGCATCCAGATTTATTTGCACTTGTATGCCAGGGCATACACTCTGTTCAGGACTGTCTAATGTCAATCTCCTGTCGCCCACTCTGAGCCCAGCGAAACAGTCCAATCACCTGCTTCTCTATCAGAAAGTGTGATTGGGCCACGCAAAGCACCTTGGTGATGTCAAGTGGAGACGTGAAAGGCGGTTTCACCTGGTGCGGGATTCCAGGTAGGTAAAAAAAAAACAAAAAAAAAAACAACACTTTTTTGCAGGTTTCATTGCACAACGTAGCAGGTGGGACCTAATTAGTTGTGCCTAATAGAGCAATTATATAGTTCAACGCACCCCCCATACGGTTGGAGTAACCCTTTAAAAAACTTTGAAACCCAAGTTTAATTTGGCATTACTTTCCCCAAATACTATTATTTGATTAATTATGGCTAGGATTTCTATAATCCTAGATGAGCACTGAAATATTCACATCCAGGTCCAACCAAGACTGGTGAGAGTTATACTCCCAGGTATCAGGTGCTGATTGCAGCTACTGTCTTTAGTCCAGTGCAGGGAGAGTAGAGGGGGACAAAGAATCACACGTTCTCCTAGGTTCTTCTGTCAATATATAAGTTTCATAAAAAAATAAAAAAAAATAAAAAAAAATCTGAATTAATACTGCCGGAGCTACTGCCCACAAAATCCCACAATACAGCATGGGGTTTGTAAACATAACCTTGCCTGTTGACAGCCCAGAACCACTAGCGACACATTAAAGCAGCAGTGTATTGCCAGATTCTCACCTACAAGTAATTCTAACAGTAACGTCTTTAACCTCAGAAAGAAATCCAAAGTACTTTCATTCCTACATACCTAAAACCCAAAAAACTAAAACAAACGTACTTTTCATCAACAACAAAAATATTACTTTAGGTCATCACTTGGAAACGTGTTTCAGAATTTACCTATAAACATTGCAAAAATCAACTTGAACAGCATGCATTCCTCCTATTAGCATGTACCGCAGAAAGTAACATTGGCTTCAGCACTAAAAGTCTTGGAGATATGCCCAATCAAACGTCCACGTAGCAGCAAGTGAATTGAACTGAATATTAAAACTCCTTCATGCTAGATATAACAGATAATTCATTTATTGTGCAAACAATGCCAACAATGCAATGAAAAGTTAAGTGAATACTGGCATTGTCAACCTTGTATGATTGATATTTGTACTTAAAGGATCACTGGCTGCTGTTCCAGCCACAGATGTTTGGACTAAATGAAGTGTTACCTCGGTGCGGAAATAGCCACATCACCAGCAAATCTGCACACATACCTCGCAGCGTGTTTTCTCAGATAGTTCTGCTTACCTCCTTGGTAAAGAAAATCTGCTTTGTTGTGGCAATTGTGCGCACATTAGTTTATACATGGCATGTATTACATATATAGCAGCCAGCAAAATAAAATAATCCAAAATTGTTTTTTTCTCAAGTAGAAAAGCTGTGCTTCATCAGCAGCTGAAACACAACTCCCATAAATCACAGCCATGCCTGGCTACGAATGAAGTTTGTTGAAATTCAATTGTCTACACATAACAGAGCAAGCTAAAAAAAGTTAGGAGCCAGGTTTTTTTTTTTTTTTTTAATTTGTATTTTATTAGGTTTTATACACACGGTATACAATTTTCCATTATATGTGTTATTATATAAGTTAGAACAGGATCAAATAACATTTCGTTGGGCTACGAGCAGAGCAACAATCACAATGTCAGAGAAACCCTTGCTGTGGCATGGTGAGGGAACAATTTGTACATTTCTACTCTTCTACAGAGATCTCTACTTAAAGAGGTTGCTTGATTTCAACAATCTTCCGGCTTAACCTATATATCCTATATATGTGGGGTCAGATACCTAGGGCAATAGGTTAATAGCATGGAGTGCTGGGTTAGGGGTAGCAAGAATAGTGAGAAACTCTCCCTGACCTCATAAGATTATATGCATATAAAAAAACATTATTATTATAGTTAAGTGTTGCGTTTCTCATGCTGCTTTCTGTGTCCATTGGCTAATATGCCTAATTTTTTGAGGAATGTCTCTGGGTCGTCTCCCGAGGGGAGACAGGTTTTTTTAAACTAACTAAGCTGTAATTTCAAGGACAAAAATAAAATTCTTAAAGGGACACTAGAGTCACCAGAACCACTACAGCTTAATGTAGTGCTTCTGCTGTCTATAGTCTGTCCATGCAGGCATTTCAATGTAAACACTGCCTTTTCAGAGAAAAGAAAAGTGTTTACATCACTGCCTGCCAGAAGCTAATCTCGGGAGGGGCACTGGCAGATCATTTTAAGAAACATTGCAGGCGCTATAACCACTACAGCTCTCTGTAGTGGTTTTGGTGCCAGGATTTGCTGTGGTGCCCTCCCAGAGTAAGTAGTCAAACCGTTTAAAAAAAGTTTGATAACTGACCCAGGGTCTGCTGGGATAGTGGCTGTAGTGTGTGTGTGTGTGTGGTGCAGTGTGTGCGAGGGTCGCAGTATGTGTATGGAGGGGTCGTGCGTGTGTGAGAGGGGTGCAGTGTATGTATGGGGTAGTAATGTGTTTGTGTGTAAAGGGTGCAGTGTGTTTGTGTGTGAGTGGCGCTGTGTGTGTGTGTGTGTGTGTGTGTATGGGGGCCTGTGCGTGTATTGGGGCTATGTGTTTAAGGGGGGCAGTGTGTGTATTGGGGGCAGTGTGTATAAGGGGCTGTGTGTGTAAGGGCGGGCTGTGTGCATAAGGGGGGGCTGTATATTTGTGTGTGGTGCAGTGTGTAGGGGGTTATAGTTTGTGAGGGGATGGGGGGCTGTGTGTGTGTAAGGGGGAGGCTGTGTGTGTGGTGCAGTTTGTAGGGGTTGTAGTTTGTGTGAGGGGATGGGGGCTGTGTGTGGTGCAGTGTGTGAGGGGATGGGGGCAGATTAAAGATTATTATTATTTTTTTTTATTATTTAATAAATATAGCTAATGTCCCCCCTCCCTTCTTACCTTTGCTGAGGGAGGGGGAATCATTGCTTTCTTCCAGTCCCTGGTGGTTCTAGTGGGGGAGTGAACTCTAACCTGCAGCTCAGGCCTGAGTTCACTCTCGCGAGAACAGAGTTGCCATGGTAACCGCTGCAACGCTCCGTGCTCGCGAGAGGAGAACCCGGCGGAGCTGCAGGTAAGAGTTCCCCCGGGTTCGCTTTCCCTCGGCCTCCACTGCCGGCTGCCAGTATTGTGCCTGTGAGGGCCGGGGAGGGAGATCACTGATCTCCCCTCCGGTCCGTGAAGGCAAACAGCAGTGCTGGTGCTTGGATAGCACCAACCCTCCATGGACTGGCAGAGGAGAGCCTCGGACTCACTATTTTCTCGGGGGGAAAGGTCAATTGCCCCGTTGCCCCCAGATCCACCAATGGCCTGGAGGCACCTCTAGTGACAGTCATTCAAACGGCCACTAGAGGTGCTTCTTAGTCCAGTGCTGCACAGTGTGCATCACCTACATTCAGTGTCTTCACTGATTCAATGCATCTCTATAAGGAGATGCTGACTGGAGCAGAATTACATTTTGCCACGCATGTGCAACCTCCAAATGCTTTACCACCTTTTCCATGTGACCGGAGGGAAGCTGGTCACCTAAAAAGACACACTCACTGACAGACACACACACACACACACACACACACTCAGTGACAGAGACACAGAAACACATTCAGACACACACATACTCACTGACAAGGCACACACACACACATATGCTGACAGACACACACTCACACAAATTCTCTCACACACTCATAAATTAAAGGACCACTATAGTGCCAGGAAAACACTTCTCCCCGGCTCTGGGGAGAGGAAAGGGGTTAAAACTTACCTTTTTCCAGCGCCGGGCGGGGAGCTCTCCGCCTCTGATCCTCCCCCTCTCCTCCCTTTCGGCTGAATCACACGCGCGGCAAGAGCTGCGCGTGCATTCAGCCTGTCTCATAGGAAAGCATTCATAATGCTTTCCTATGGACGCTTGCGTGTTCTCACTGATTTTCACAACGAGACAGCCACTAGAGGATTTGAGGGCTGGATTAACCCATTTATAAAAAAAAAAAATGGGTTAACCCTAGCTGGACCTGGCACCCAGACCACTTCATTAAGCTGAAGTGGTCTGGGTGCCTAGAGTGGTCCTTTAATAATTTTTATTTAAGTCCACCCAGCCGCCCTACCTTTGGGAGAGCGGTTGTTGATCCTTTCCCTGAGATCCAGTGTGGCTGCTGAAATCTTCAAGCTCTTCTTGCTCTGCACCCTTGCGCGCCTTTTAGTGATGCCAGGGCTGGAGTGATGTCATATTTCGGCACCACAGCAGGGCTTGTGTGGGAGCAGAGCAAGAAACGCTAGAAGATTTCAACTCTCTCGCTGCCCGGCTCCACTCTCCCTCACCCCTGAATGCGCTGACAAATCCCAGGCACCAGGACAAAATTCCTAGTCACCATGGCAACCTGGTATTTGTCAAGCCCTGCCGTAGAGATTTGTGTTGGTCTTTGCGAGTAATTCTATCACACATATAGAGCCATTGTACAAAGAACTCACTATTACTGTGCAGTACATACCAAAAACTATACATACACATAGTTCCCATATTAAATGGGAACTTTTATCAAATAATAGGGGGGAAAAAAACACAAGTCCTTCAACTTCTAATTACTTATTCTTTGATATGATGAGATTAGTATTGGTACAGACTGTATGCAGACTCCAATTTGCCAATGCCTCTTAGCCCATTGTCTCCCCAATCGGTTAAACTGACTTCCCAGGACATGGTGAGTTTAACACTGAAGGTAAGCATGCACCTGGTGCTACCATAAAGTTATGCAGGAGCACAATTTCCAGGTGATAGGTGGGATAAGGATGCACAAAGATCCCCACCCACCTGTCAGTTTCTGCAGCACAACTACATGGACTGAGGTAGAGGATATTTTTTAGCATCTACCAGGTGTGCCAGTTCGCAGCGTGCTGGAGGAGATGGGGAATGAGCAGCAAGCAGCTTCCGGTCCGACCTGGTAGAGAAAGTAAAAGACCCTCTAGCACGGTCCGTGAGGTCATGCTACAGACAAAGTGAGAGAGAGACACAAAAGAGATGGAGGGGGAAAACACAACGGGGGAGTAAGAGGCATGGGGAATGGAAAGACACACCAAAATGGTTAAAAGACAAGTGGATTTAAGGGACACAAAGGGGAAGAGTATAATACATAGCTGGGGTTAGAAGACAAAAAAAAAAAAAAAAAAAAAAAAAAAGTGGTTAAGAGGCTCAACAGGGGAAAAAAAAAAAATGGGGATTGTGACGAAGTGCCCTTCGCCACTTGTGCCTGGAGAGGACTGCTTGCCCGCCTCTTGCCCTGTGATTATGGCCCCTGGTTTGTATTGCCCTTTAAAGACATGATTTGGGCATAATGGATTTGTGTTGTGCTGCTGCTGGCCCTTTAAGAACCATCTGGGGACATACTGTGGAGTTACTGGGTGGCCACCATTTCCTGTATCAGAAGCACATGGTGAGAACAATGGATGGCGGCCATTTTAACTCACAGACACTGTTTGGACTTTTCAACACGGTGCCATCTCGCCAGTATTTGGTGCACAGAGACATCGTGCGGTGGTTTTGGACTATACAGCAAGGGACACATTATACAGTGATTGTTTTTTATTTTGCCTGTATAGGTTCTGCAGAATCTGCATTAAACTGTATTTTCCAAAGTACTGAACGGATCTGGGTGAATTTGGGATATGTGGTTCACCCAGATCCCCCGGTTCCAAGGATATGGGGTTATTGCATGTTTTGGGGTCCCTGTGTGTTTTATGAAACTGTATTATTTATGGCCAGCAGATAATTGAGCTTTGTGTATTGTAGAAACTCAATTATCTAGCCTGGCCCAGAGGAGGAGTTTTGTGTTGCATAAATTGTGAGTTCTGTGTGCCAGTAAATCAGTCTTGTTCCAGCATTAAGCCTTGGCTCATGTTTGGGGGAAGGGATACCTACACTCTGGGGATTGCTATAATCACTTACTCCCCAGAGGAAGCTCTTGCAATAGCTTGATTTGTTCCTGTTCCTGCTCTCTGGGGAAAGAGAGGTTCACCCACTGGAAGCTGGATCCTGGCCTTGGGTCCAGGGTGGGTGGAAACAGCAGAGACCCCGGCGCAGTTGCATCGCTGGAAGTGGGGTCTGCAGTGCTGATGGTGTCGGTTGGAGTGCTTGGAGTCCTCAGCAAGCACTAGGAGCATCAATTGGTGGAGGTACTCAGTCGGAGTGCCAGCGTTCCGTCACAGGGATAACATACATTAAAGTGGGGTAAGACATTAAAAAGTGGAGATAAGAAAAATGACCACCACAAGAGGTGGATAAAGACACAAAAGCAGGAGTAACAACGACAAAAAAGGGAATAAAGATGTGAAAAGTGGGTAAAATGTTAAAAAAAAAACAAAACGCTAAAAGTTAGCAAAAGGGTTTTACGAGAGGGTGCCCGTGTGGCCAAAAATTCTTGCCTCGGCCCTATAAACTTGGTGCAGTCCTAGTATATGAAGTCATCTTCAAGGACGGAGCGTAATAGAGAAAGCTTCTAGAAGGACATAAATATGATTATTAACTAAATGATTTGCAAAATGTAGAATAAATACAAATTTAGAATAAAATAGCCAAGCTATAACTATAGTGGAGTTGGATTATTATTTTCCAATCTGCTCTTTAGTGGATAAAGCCCATAGCTATGCTGTGATATAAATTCCAATTAAGTCAGGGAATATCATATATAACAGGGCCATCCAAAAGGTAGATCCCCAGATATTTCCATGATGCGTTGTCATTCTGAAGGCATGCAAAGCATCATGGGAGCTATAGTTCTACAACATCTAGTGATCTACCTTTTGGGTACCCCGGATATATAATATGTGGCAGAGTGGTTGGATCCAACCATAATTTAATAATGTGACAATTAAAAAAAAAAAAAAAAAAAGCACAATCCATTCTTCACAGACCGATTTACTCGCCCATATCACTTATTTTTTTTTTTTTTAAGAAGCTCCCAACTTGAACTGTAAAAGGATACTCTAAAAATGGAACATGAATGCAACCAAACCTTTCCAATTCTATGTTATAAAAAGAAACCTGTAATGCCACATTCCTTAGAGGTTTATACCATCAGCATGAAACAGGATCCAGTTAGGTGACATGATTTCATTTTAAAACAGAATTCACGTTTACAAACAAAATAAAAATGTCAGTAACTATTATATAGATAGACAGTATGAAATCCTAACTGAAAACAAATCTATTGTGCACTTTTTTGTTCTTGTTTTAATTTTATTTTTTTTTATGTTCCAATGAATATCACAGCAGGCCAATGATGTCTAAACTGATTTTGGCCAGCTACTTTAAACAGCACTTCCCAGGGTCCTCAGAAAACTGACCAGACAGCACAAGGTCTCAAAGGAAATACATGTTAACTAAAAAACGTTTGTATTTATAAAAATAAAAAAAAATATAAACCAGTTTAAAGATTAACACATGACATAAGCCGTTTTAAAGTAGAAAAACCATACAGCAATATTTCTGATGATAAAACCAATTTTAGTATGTAAACATAAAATAAACCTGCTTATTTTTCTTTACTGAAAAAAAAAGCAGCATATTTAAGATATTCACATAATACACAGAAATGTTCTACTGGTAATGCAGGGCGATGTCAAGTCCCCAAGAGAAGTAAACATAGGAAGGTGGCAGCTGCACAGGGAACAAAATGAATTGGGTACCTTTAAGATTCATCAACAATTACATCTGGGAGTAGCAGTGTTTTGCTAACAGGATACATATAAACAAACATTCTGTTGAAGCACATACAGAAGATTTATCCATAGTGGATTTAACCTTCACTGTTAGCAAACTACCACACAACAATAACACAATCTCCCAAGGTATAATTATCAATACCCATGCGTTATCAACCTTATATGGGTCAAACATTGAGGACACTTTGCTTTTTTAGCCAGTGCAAATGAATATGTAATTAAAGAGACCTTTCAAGCACCATAACTACTATAATGTGCTTGTGAGGTTCTGGTACAATGAGTGCCCTAGTGTTCCAGGGTAAGTAGTCAAACAATTTGCGAATGGTATGACAACTTACCTGGGGTCTGCTGGGCGCAAGTCATTTCCTACAGAAGAGCTGAAAGATCCTGCTCGGAGTTAACCTTGACACTCTCAGACAATTATCTGGTCTGGCACTGCAGGGCTTTGCTTAGGGGAGCTAACCAAAGCTCATGGAAGCTGTGACCAGCACCCAGCAGATCTCAGATAAGTTGTCAAACCGTTCGTAAATGGTTTGACTACTTATCCTTGGAGGTTGCTGGCCACTCCTAGAACCATAACCACTACATGGTACTGTACTGGTGTGGTTTTTGGAGTGTGCCTTTAATTGTTGGAATGTCTACGCTTGCCAGTTTTTTTATATTACTGCAACCATTTTCTATCATTATATTTCAGTTTGCTTGTTTACAATTATACTTAAAGGGAAATTCTAAGCATTAAAAAACTTCCTCTCAATTAAGTTGTTATGGTGCATGGATGTCCCAGGTGCCGTCTTACCTTAAGCGGTTCAATTGTTTCTTAATGAAACCACCATCACTTTAAACCTATCAGCAGTTTAAGGTTTCCCGATTAAAGCATTGGACCTTCATAAGTAGGTGTGTGGGGGCACCTACTTCCTATTAACAGTTTAATTTAAACTCTTAAAGTAAGATGGCACACGGGACCACCTCCACAAAACGGCTTAATTTTTATTATGTTGTTATGGTGCCCAGAGTGTCTTAGTAGGTACCTGTCATTTCCAAGTCTGAAACCCTTCTTCTCTTTTGGAATCTGGCTACAATCTGTGAGGTCATTATAGTCATTATGTCTGTGCCATCATCACCACCACATTTGTCCAGTAGCTACTAAACCAAAAAAGTGAAATGCTGATTATTTGTATCACTTTCCTAATTACGATACTACAAATAGTATCGATAGTAATATACAGTTCACAGTCCCATCTTGGAATGATATTGGCAAAATTTACACTTTGTATCAAATCCTGATCTGCCACCCAACACTTATGTAATCCAGAATCCACATGGACACTATCAAGGTAAAAAATAACTATTGGTACCTTGTGAGAACACAGAGCATGTGCTGATGTACCGGTTTCTGACAGTGCTTTTCACATGAGTTTAACAAAATTAACCCTTTCCATGCCAGAACATCTAGTGGTTCATGTTCATGTTTTACCCAAAGGATTTTGTCTAATCTCGTTAGCAGATATATTATTCCAAAAATATTTATGGGCACAGAAAAGAAAAACAAAACATTTTGCCTTCTGATGTTTAGAAATGTCAAGTGCTGCCAAAGCCTATTCATTAAAGTGGCACGGTCACTGAATTTGTCTCCAGTGGGTGCCGCAATTTTCTTCCTGACAGTCCTCTTCTGCTCCTGGCAGTGGTCGTTGTTACAGTTGTACTGCTATATTCTCGCGTATGCGAAGAGTACAGCATTGAGGTCTATGGAGGATTTTGTAAGACCGAGGTATTCATCATAGATACAGCCAATATCTCTGCAGCGGTCACGGCCTGGAGATTAACATTTCTTGATGGCGGTAGCGCGGCCCAGTGTCAAGAAGTGTCAGGCATATGAAGTATACAGAGACATAGCGGTCCCTATTTTGTCTCAGTATATCTTTATGAAATAATAAACAGAGTGGCGGAGGTGTGATCACGCCTCTTTAAATTAGTGGGTCTCTACACAGTATGACAAATAGGGAAATGGACGGTTACAGAGTTATTATTATAATTATTGTCGTTTATATAGAGCCAACAGATTCCATAGCGCTTTACAATATTATACGAGGGGGAATTTAACTATAAATATGACAATTACAAGAAAACTTACAGGAACGATAGGTTGAAGAGGACCCTTCTCAAACAAGCTTACAGTCTATAGGAGGTGGGGTGTGAAGCACAATAGGACAGGAAATAGCACTAAAGTGAGAATTGCTGGGAAATCAATTAAAGGACCATTATAGGCACCCAGACCACTTCAGATCAATTAAGTGGTCTGGGTGCCAGGTCCATCTAGAGTTAACCCTGCAGCTGTAAACAAAGCAGTTTCAGAGAAACTGCTAAGTTTACACTAGGGTTAATCCAGCCTCTAGTGTCTGTCTCACTGACAGCCACTAGCGGCGCTTCCTCAAATCTCACTGTGATTTTCACAGTGAGAAGACGCTGACTTCCATAGGAAAGCATTGAGAAATGCTTTCTTATGGACTGGTTGAATGCGCACACGTTTAACCCCTTCCTCCCCCTTCAGCCCGGCGGGAGTGGGACCCTGAGGGTGGGACCTAAAGACCCTTTAGAGCCAGGAAAATGAGTCCTTTACTAAATCTGTGAATTCAAGATCAATGGTCAAACAGGAAATATTTTTCACGTCAGTTATGCTTTCAATTTGGTTACTTTGGCCTTAAATTTTAAATTTATATTTTTAATTCCTAATAATTCTCAATGTAGTGAATAACCCTGAAAGTAACTCCTTATCTAACCACCGCCCTATGTCACTACGACCGTTTGTCTCTGCTTTAACTCTCTTCCCCTTTTACGCTCTGCTTGACCCGCTTCAATTTGGATTCCACACTCGTCACTCTGTTGACACAGCTCTGGCCAAAGTATTCAATGATTTAATTGCTGCAAAATCTAGTGGTTACTACGCTCTCCTAATTCTCCTTGACCTGTCTGTTGCTTTCGACAATGTTGATCAACAACTTCTTTTCATGCTCTGTAATCTCTGTCTATCTGGTTCTCCTTCTGTCTATCCGAGCTGCTTCTTTCTCTATCTCTTCCTCTTCTCTGAAACCACTCTGTTGGTTTTCCCCCTACTCAGCTCAGTTGGATTGGCTGCAGAGCGACTGCCTGTGCTGTCAGGCAGGTCCTTTGTGATATAATCATGCCCAACCAGTAGCGTAACTACCAAGTGGGTCAGCTGTGTGGCTGCCCTGGCTGCAGAAATGGGAGTGGGGTGTCAAGAGGTCAATGGCCAAGAGGCCTATGGTCTGTCACAGGGACCCAGAAGTTAAGCCACCCCGAATCAGATGCTTATTCACGAAGGCAGAGTAGGCACCTGCTTACCTGGATGGCAAGTGCTTTCTCTGCCAAAATATACCTAGGGGAGAGAGAGGAGTGGTGATGAGGCACTGATCTTCTTCCAGTTCTTCAGTGCTCTTTTGCGCACTCTGCTGTGATGCTGGGAGCTGGAATATGATGTCACCGTTGCCACACTATGATGTCACTGCAGCCACTGTACTCCTGACAGAAGTGACCCTCTTTAACGCTGGTGCATGCAGCTATCCTCTTTCGCCTCAACTATTGACTTATGTGTTCCCAGCTTGTCCTATTACAGTCTATAATGAATGTGGCGGGGAAAGTTCGTACTCCCATTTCTGATGCCCATCTTTTCTAGGGCTGCACCATTTCTATGGAACTTCCTTCTCCGCTCTGTTAGGCTCTCACTCGACCTCCACTCCTTCAAAAAAAATAATTGAAAACTAATTTCTTCAGAAAAGCATATCAATTAAACTGTTAATATCTTTCCTTTCTGGCACCTTTGTAACCCACCCTGCTTTCTCTCCTGCAACTGTGTCATCCAAAAAAACTAAGCCTTTGTTGAACACTATTCTAGCAACCTACTTTTCCCAAACATGAAATATATTTTATCATTACCTCTTGTGCCACTTTACCCCACTACCTCTAGAATGTAAGCTTGTTTGAGCAGGGGAAGGAAAAAGAAAGAAAGGAGGAAAGGAAAACGAAAGAAAGGAGGGAAAGAAAGGAAAACGAAAGAAAGGAGGGAGAAGGAAGGAGAAAGAAAGAAGAACCAAACTTGAAACATTCTATAAGTCAGCTCAGAGAATTGTCACATTAGTGAATAACTGTCAGTCTTTGATCACAGTTCTTGCGCTCAATACATACACTGCTGGAAAGGCTAATCAGGGACAGTTTGTGTGGAAAACTGCAAAATATATATATATATATATATATATATATATATATATATATATATATATATATATATATATATATATATATATATATATATATATATATATATATATATATATATATATCTCAAACCAAGAAGTTGCAAGAATGATACAATATGTGTTCTGTAGGGATCTACTTACTGAAGTGGAATAAGTGAGTGGAATAAAATGCTTATGAGAGGATCCTTGGGGGTTCATGGGCTTAGGGGACAGAGGAGAAAATATATAAATGATTATAAACAGAAGGCAAAAGGGAGTTCATATTTGTGGAATTCTGTGTTGTACTAGAAAGGTTGAAAGGGGAATGAATTATTGGGTAGAATTAATCTGTGACTACACATGGATGAACTTAAAGTGTTTGGCTATCTGCCTCTGGATTGCAGCCATGTAGAGAGAAAAACTATCAAGAGATACAAGGTGCACTTTAAACAAAATAAAGAATCAGATTTCTTTTCAATTTGGGAATTATATAATGACATAGGGAAAATAAAGAAAGTAACGCCTGAGAAATATTTGTGGGCCTAATCTAACAATGACTCAGCTGGCTGAGTCTTTATAAAAGTTGGACGTTTTCCCAGGATGACGTAATATGACTTTGCCTGGTGATGCAGGTCACTGTTTTCAAAGTGAATATATTTGCTGTGAGTGTAGTTTATTGTGGCACTACCGATATTTGGCTATATCAGAATATCAGAAAGACAGCAACTGGAGGCGGATTTAACCCTGCAAGGTAAAGATGACAGTTTCTAAAAAACTACAATGATTTACATTGCAGGGTTAAAAGGACAGGACCACAGCGCCCAGACCACTTCAATAAACATTCTTTATTTGTAATTTTGGAGGTTTCAATACAGTTTGAGTAAATGAAGAAGAAAGCATATATCCATTCATTACAAAACAAAATAGGAGGTTGCCATACAGTGTGTAGCTTATACACAATAATCAAAATTGACAGCTGGAAAGGTTGAAGATTAACTTTAGCAACAATATATAAACAAGTAGGATTAAGGGTACAACTGTGATACCAATGTGAGACTATGAGGGTCAGACTGTGACACAAGGCTCTGTTTATATCTATTATGGCTTGACTGATTTGTGTATTTGTGTTTACCCTTTGTGTTAACTATCCACTTACTTCAGGTGGAAGGGGTTTTCATCCACACTTTATTACCCACCACAACGCTGTTGGTATCTACTTTACAAGTAACACCAAGCCTCCATTGCAAGCCAGTAACCAACCTCATGCTGATGAGTTGCATTAACAATGAAACAGCTGTCAATGAGTGATTCACTGGCTTTGCTCCTCTTCCTGAGTTGTGTTTCAAAGCTGTTGTATGCAGAATACACATACTCCAAGGAATCCATGTATAAAGTGGAATTCTGAGGCAATTTTTTTTTTTTAGCTCATTTGCATACATCTATCCAGAATGAGTAGTAAGAGCACTGTCAAAGTGAAATTTCTGTGGGAAAAGCAAGTATTATGGAGTGCGGACCATCACTTGCAATTCTATAATATACACACACACACACACACACACACACTTATTTTTATTTTTTTTGTAATTTCTTTTTTTCTCTCCAGGCATTAAGATTTGTCAATGCCAACCACTTTTAGGCATGTATTGGCCCTTCCACCCGTCTTTCTTCTAGGCAGGTATCAACCCATCTGCCTGCGCTTCCTTCAACTACTAACTTTACAAAGACACTTGCAGCTCACAGGCCAGCTCTTTACCTACAGGTCGCCAGAACCAGGGAACAGTGCAGCCAAAAAATAGCGGCAGCAGACAAGTGAAAAATAAAAGTTGTGTAAATTTAGATAATTTACATTTTTATGATTGTCCGAAAACAATCTATACACAAAATTGCTGTGTCATGGTAAATGTATATGCTAGCTATGCATCCCTTACTTCAAATAAATGTTTTACTACAATTTTTTCAATCAACAAGTGCTCAGTAAAGGGGTTGTTAATTGGTGTATATTCTTTATAAATTAGTGGGAACTGTGGGGCTGTATAGCCTCTGGGCAAACAAAAACACGCCTCAATAAGCGAGTACACAGAAACCCGGAAATAGTCATAAAAGATGCTAAATATTACATTTAACAATATGGTTAGTAGGCTCAAGAATCAGTAAATAAAAGGACAGCTCATAAAAAACGGAGAAAGATAGAACGTGAACAGTAAAAGTTATAAAACATACCCTAGAACTCATAACTTTATGTACTCATAAACAGTGAAATTAGAGACATAATTACAGTGGATTTGCCAACTAGAACAGGCTAAAGATACAGTACTTGTATTTATGCTTATGTGGGATAACTGATTCAGCTGTCTTCCTGCCTGCTGGGGGAGGGGAGTGAGGGGAGATCTCTTCCTCCCTAGTAAGGGAGTGTTGCTGGGGAGGAGGAGACACACACCAAGGAGGAGGAGAGGGACTGAGAAAGCAGGTTACTCAGACTCCCATCAAACTCAGCCATCCAGCCCCAACTATGTAAATTGATAGTTACATGTTGTGTACCTGTTTCTGAGTCAGTGTGTATCTGGCTGTGTGTGTCAGAGTTTGTATCTGGCTGTGTATCTGGCTGTGTTTGTGTCAGTATGTGTATCTGGCTGTGTGTGTCAGAGTTTGTATCTGGCTGTGTATCTGGCTGTGTTTGTGTCAGTATGTGTATCTGGCTGTGTTTGTGTCAGTATGTGTATCTGGCTGTGTTTGTGTCAGTGCATGTATCTGGCTGTGTGTGTGTGTGTGTGTGTGTGTGTGTGTGTGTGTGTGTATCTGACTATGAGTGTGTACCTAGCTGTGTTTTTGTCAGTGTGTGCATCTGGCTGTGTTTGTGTCATTGTATGTATCTGACTGTATGTGACTGTATGTGTGTATCTGGGTGTGTATGTATCTGACTATGAGTGTGTATCAGGCTGAGCTTGTGTCAGTGTGTGATCTGAACCTCGTCACGTTTTTTTGGAGGGACCTGCTGGCCCTGCAATATACCTTGCCCAAAGCACTTGAAAAGGCTCTGTTCATGTGAGTTATGTACGTTTGTACTCCAGACAGAGAGACCGACCGTTAGCCCTGATTCCCTGGAACAGTTTTGAGCATAGGACCATGTGCACGGTCGGTCAAAAATAAGACTTCCAGGAAATTTCTGAACCCCTGAACTGATCTGGGTGATTTTTGGATATGTAGGTATCCCAGATCAGGGCTATCAGGGGATGTAACTTTTGTTTTGTGGGGACTTTGTGTGTTTTAAGGTACTTTTGGGGTGTTCCTGATCCAATTAGCTCCCAGGCAAAGGGGAGGGATTGTGTGTTTGTATTTGGGAGTGTCATGCATTTAACCATTGTTGTTATTGGTCTGTAACTTGGTGCTGCAGTTCCCCACAAGGTCCATGTGGGCGTACCCCTTGTATGGGGATTGTCATAAGGCCAAGTGTGGCTCCCATTAAACAGAGATTCATTTTACCTCTTCATGAAGACTTGGCTCATGTTTGGGGGATTGGAGAACTACATTCACTCTGGGGATTGCTTTATCACAATACTGAGTATAATCACTAGCTCTTATAGGAGCTGTTCCTGCAACGCTCTCTGGACTAGGAGAGGTCTACCCACTGGAAGCTGGATTCTGGTCGAGTTCAGGGTGGGTGGAGGACAGCGAGATCTCAACCAAGCTGCGGCGGTTCGTGGGGTTTACGGTGGTGATGGTGTTCCAGTACTGTGTTTATGGTGCTCGCAAGTACTAGGAAGCAGCGATTGACGGAGGTACCTGGTCAGGGTGCCAGGCAGTCCGTCACAGTGTGTATCTGACAGTATATGTGTATCTGGCTGTGTTTGTGTCAGTGCATGTGTACCTGTGCGTATGTATACCTGTGTCTGTATATGTGTACTTGTGTGTCAGTTTGTATGTGTACCTTTATGTCTGTGTACCTGTGTGTGTATATGTGTGTCAGTGTGCGTAAGTGTGTATCTATGCATGTGACAATGCATAAATCCTATCATTCCAGTGCCACACACAAAAACACTACTACAGTCCAACGATAACATTGCACTCATACACCACTGCATGTGTATCTGTGATCCTGCGTGTATCTCAGTGTTTGTGTAAGTGTGTATCTGTGTGTTGCAATGCATACATACCAGCATTCCTATGCCAACACTGCACACAAATACACCCCTGCATGTGTACCTGTGTGTCTGTGTGTACATATCTGTGTAAGTGTGTATCTCTGTGTGTAAATGTGCCAGTGTTTTTATATCTGTGTGTACCAAAGTGTGTGTATCTGAGTGTGTGTGTATTTATGTGTATGTGCTAGTGTTTGTGTATACGCCAGTGTTTTTGTGTCAGTGTGTGCGCATGTGTCCAGGTGTGTTCATATATCAGTGTGTTTGTGTGTATCTGCGTGCTAATGTGTATGTATATCTGTGAATGTATAGGATGTATGTACATACATCCCAGCAATCAAACATTACATGCAAACACTCACCTGGATTCAAACTCAAAAAGTATATATAAATACTCCCCTTCAATCAAACAACAATACTACACCCTACATGCACACATCATACTGTATACAAAAACATGCTCACATTCAAATGCACAAACACTGCTCTCAAATACAGCCCCGCAAGAATGGCCAAATTGTAGATCCCCAGCTGGCATAGCATTTTGGGAGTTGTACGACAGATGAGGATCTTTTCTCCACTCTTGCGCTAGAGGGGAGGCCCAAAAACTTTCTTGCACCAGAGCCCTCTCTACATTAGTTCTGCCACTGTGTTGGCGTGGATGGCATTATTGCATGCCAGGGGGTGGAAGTGTGAGGGGGAGGCAGGATCCAGGGGGCCCAAGCAAATGCATTTAATGTTAAAGACAGCCCTGCTAAGAAGCTATACAAGCAGGAGGAATTTTAACCCCCTCTCCCCTTACATTAGTTATCTGAAGACATGCTTATAAATGGGGCAATTATGTCTCAAACTGATTTAGAAGAGATTAGGATCTCCCAGAACCATGACATATCCAAGTAACACAGGTGATTATGGATTGGAATGTCCATTTATTTATTCTAGAATAATAACTAACTATCTATATGCAATGTCACACATACTTAAGCCCTTAAGGACATAATAAGACCTGGCAGACAGCAACTAAAAGGTGGAGTTTACACTGCAATGTAATTATTGCAGTTTCTCAGAATGTTTTACAGTGCGGGGTTAAACATGAAGGGGCACTGCACCCAGACTACTTCAATGAATTGAAGTGGTCTGGATGCCTATAGGATCCATTTAAGTCTCTCTTATTATGTTACATTACACCAAAATGATCTGTATCTAAAATGAAACTAAATAATAAAAAAAATGTTACTGCAGGGGGTTGATTTTCAGCAAGATCACCTTCAAGATCTTTGTAAATTTCTTATATCTTGTAATACAAATTTGAGGGGTCACCCATCACCTCCTTATAGGAACCTTCTCCAGGCAAGGTGGTGCAAACACATACAGGCCAGTATTGTAGTCTACTCTCTAGAAGCATCCTCCCTGACCACCTGAGAGCCTCTATTTCTGATACTTTCAGGAACCCAAAAAGAACCCCGCTCCCCTCTCCAAACGGTGGCTTTAAAACGTCCATTAAATTAACATAAGATTACTTGTCTCTTGCATTTAGAAAATAATATTTTATAGTTTGCTAGCATGATTGATTGACTATTGGCTATACTGATTTAGATTAATGGCAAACCATAAGGTCAGGAACACAAACATGTATAGTGTTTAAACCACCATCTAGCCCCCCTTCCTAAATATAGTAAAATCTTACTGTTATTCAAGTTGACTAGTTCTGCCCCTGATCTGCCTCCTTGGCTGACATCAGATGTTTCTATGTAAGTGATCTCAGTCAATCACAATGCTTTCCCATAGGAAACCATTGCATTGGCTAAGACTGTCAATTCTGATGATCTCAGCCAAGGAGTCAGTGAATAAATGCATCTCTATGAGGAAGGTTCAGTGTCTCCATGCAGAGGTTGGAGACACTGAATGACTACTGCAAAGTGGCAGCACTGCCCCAGGAAGCACCTCTAGCAGCTATCTGAGGCGTGGCAGTGGAGGTATCCCTAGGCTTGTAAACACTGTATTTTCACTAAAAAGACCGTGTTTACTGCAGAAATTCTGCAGGGACTGATTATACTCACCAGAACAACTACATTAAGCTGGGTAATGGAGGGTTATTATTAAAGAAGGGTAATTATGTCCTCTTTCTTTTCTCTTTAACGCTAACAAAAGACAAGTGCACTAGAACAGGTCTTACAGGTATTTGTCACAACTGAAATCTCTCTTCATTTTGAACACACTAGTAACACATAATAGTGATATCTACTACTACACAACGAAGGAACAAAGTCCCATCCTTGCTTGCTACTGTATTACTTTTCACATCAACTGCCTCAAAGAGTCCATTCCATTTTGCAATCACCAAAAATAAAAGACAGTAGTGGCTGTAGCTTTTGAACTACAAACCTCAGGACGTCACTCAGTCTATACAGGGAGCGCAGAATTATTAGGCAAATGAGTATTTTGACCACATCATCCTCTTTATGCATGTTGTCTTACTCCAAGCTGTATAGGCTCGAAAGCCTACTACCAATTAAGCATATTAGGTGATGTGCATCTCTGTAATGAGAAGGGGTGTGGTCTAATGACATCAACACCCTATATCAGGTGTGCATAATTATTAGGCAACTTCCTTTCCTTTGGCAAAATGGGTCAAAAGAAGGACTTGACAGGCTCAGAAAAGTCAAAAATAGTGAGATATCTTGCAGAGGGATGCAGCACTCTTAAAATTGCAAAGCTTCTGAAGCGTGATCATCGAACAATCAAGCGTTTCATTCAAAATAGTCAACAGGGTTGCAAGAAGCGTGTGGAAAAACCAAGGCGCAAAATAACTGCCCATGAACTGAGAAAAGTCAAGCGTGCAGCTGCCACGATGCCACTTGCCACCAGTTTGGCCATATTTCAGAGCTGCAACATCACTGGAGTGCCCAAAAGCACAAGGTGTGCAATACTCAGAGACATGGCCAAGGTAAGAAAGGCTGAAAGACGACCACCACTGAACAAGACACACAAGCTGAAATGTCAAGACTGGGCCAAGAAATATCTCAAGATTGATTTTTCTAAGGTTTTATGGACTGATGAAATGAGAGTGAGTCTTGATGGGCCAGATGGATGGGCCCGTGGCTGGATTGGTAAAGGGCAGAGAGCTCCAGTCCGACTCAGACGCCAGCAAGGTGGAGGTGGAGTACTGGTTTGGGCTGGTATCATCAAAGATGAGCTTGTGGGGCCTTTTCGGGTTGAGGATGGAGTCAAGCTCAACTCCCAGTCCTACTGCCAGTTCCTGGAAGACACCTTCTTCAAGCAGTGGTACAGGAAGAAGTCTGCATCCTTCAAGAAAAACATGATTTTCATGCAGGACAATGCTCCATCACACGCGTCCAAGTACTCCACAGCGTGGCTGGCAAGAAAGGGTATAAAAGAAGAAAATCTAATGACATGGCCTCCTTGTTCACCTGATCTGAACCCCATTGAGAACCTGTGGTCCATCATCAAATGTGAGATTTACAAGGAGGGAAAACAGTACACCTCTCTGAACAGTGTCTGGGAGGCTGTGGTTGCTGCTGCACGCAATGTTGATGGTGAACAGATCAAAACACTGACAGAATCCATGGATGGCAGGCTTTTGAGTGTCCTTGCAAAGAAAGGTGGCTATATTGGTCACTGATTTGTTTTTGTTTTGTTTTTGAATGTCAGAAATGTATATTTGTGAATGTTGAGATGTTATATTGGTTTCACTGGTAATAATAAATAATTGAAATGGGTATATATTTGTTTTTTGTTAAGTTGCCTAATAATTATGCACAGTAATAGTCACCTGCACACACAGATATCCCCCTAACATAGCTATAACTAAAAACAAACTAAAAACTACTTCCACAAATATTCAGCTTTGATATTAATGAGTTTTTTGGGTTCATTGAGAACATGGTTGTTGTTCAATAATAAAATTAATCCTTAAAAATACAACTTGCCTAATAATTCGTTTATGGTGACATGCTGCTTGTTTTATTCTTGAATGTAAGTCATTAAAATACTTTTTATTATATTCTGGAAGTGCACTACATTTTTGTACATTTTCTCTCTTTGAGACATATATACCTATTTGCTGATGAATATGTGAGGAGGAACAACATACTGGATACGGAAAAATACAATTTAAAGCTGCTTTAACTCCATAAAGACACCATTCAAGGCTTTTTTAACTCCTCAAAATTGTGAGTGACCATTTGTGATTGCACATCAATACCAGTCTCCACACAGTTATATGCTATGTTTTTTTGTTTTATTTGTATTTAGCAGATTGTCCCCTATTTTTCTGTGTATATCTATTGAAGACAGGAGGAAGTCTTCGGGGATTCATCTGGATACTTCACCTTAGAGATAAGGGAAGTCTTAGTTTGCTTTCATATTATATTATTTTCACTGGGGTTGTGTTCACATATATTGTTGTTTTTTAATAATTCTGCACTCCGTGTGTGTGTGTGTGTGTGTGTGTGTGTGTGTGTGTGTGTGTGTATATGTATATATATATTTTCAGGTTTTAGCTTTACTTATGAACTAATTCTTAACAAATTCCAATAACTGTAGGCACCCAGGACAGTGCAGCTCATTGAAGTGGTCTGGGTATAGTGTCCCTATTGCTGCAATATTAAACATTGCAGTTCCGGAGAAACTTCAGCTCTAAATCAGCCTTGGCTTCCTGAACTGAAACGGCCCTTTGGTCCGGTATCTGATGCTGGACGTCCTCACGCTGTGCATGAGGACATCCAGTGTCAGATTTTTTCCCCATAGGAAAGCATTGAATCAAAGCTTTCCTATGGGGAGGTCTAATGCGTGCGGCATTTGCCGTGCATGCACATTAGCACCCGCTTGTTGCAGGCCGTCGGAGGGGATGGAGCATCGACCCAGCACCGATGTACATCTGCATTGGGATAAGGTAAGTAAACAAAGGGTATTTAACCCTTTATCTACCCAGGTTGGGCGGGTGGGGGAGGGTGCAAAGGAGGGGGAGCAATAGTGCCAGGAATACAGCTTTGTATTCCTGGCACTATAGTATTCCTTTAAGCTATAAAACACATTTTCATTATTGAGATTCCCATTACCCTTTGCAGGGCTGAAATGTATTCTGCCTAAGCTTCATAACCAGGAGAGGGCTGGCACTTTTGAAAATGTTTTGTTGCATCAAAAAAAAAAAGTGACAAAAAGAGGGAAAAGGGGTGTCTACAAACAGAACAGACCGTGGTTCTAAATTACGTGTTTCAGGAGTCAAAAGCGCACATACACATACTAGTAAGTAGATTAAAGATTTCATTTTAAACTACATTACCTATGACTGGGATATAGTACAGGGGGGGGGGCTAGGATTTAGTAGACATGGGGGGGGACTGGGATTTAGTAGATATGCCCTTGCTAGCCTTTGAGTTTGACATGCTTGTCGTAGAACATCTGAAACAAGATTTGTTTGTTAAATGTAACTGTATTAGCAAAACAAAGTTTTATTTTTTAATTCCTACACAGTAGAACAATCTAATTGGATCAATCTAAAATCTAACAAAAGTCTTTACAGAATAAAGAGACATTCCACTGCCACCCCACCCCCACACCAAAAAACCCCAACAACCTATCACTGTACATATACCCCTTATGAAGACATGCATGCATTGCATAGATGTCATTGGGGTTATTTCTGCAGTTTGTCATTGGGGTTTGTCATTGGGGTTATTTCTAAAAACAGCTGGCAAAAGCTGCAGCTCTAGTCTGAAGCCTTTATAATCCCCCCTTATTTCTTAACCCTTTCTGTGGCTGCCCATAGCTCAATGAGAAGTCTTTGCAAGGTGTTCTGGGCAATGACTGCCTCTTGAGTTCAGCTGCACTGAAATAACCAACCAGGAAGTAACAGACCGTTTGTAATTTAAAAAAAAAATAAATAAATAAAATACAGTTGGGTATAAACAGGTTACATTATAAATGTGCAAATTTCTATTGAAATCTGCACTTGTTGTAAACTTAAAAAAAGACCATATTTAATGGCCCCAGACTGACCGATAAGGTGTACAGACCTTTAAATCCATATAGCTCAGCAATGTGCTCAGCCGCAGTGAGCACAGTCGGAGGGAGACCACCAGATTCTCCCTAAATGCCCCCTGCCGACTGTGATCAGCCAGTTTCCCAAGCACCAAGTTCTATGTGATCGGCCTGCACAGCATGCCAGAGCTGCACCATGAGAGGGAGCTCTCCCATTCATGCTGCAATCACTTAGTAGAGGGCACTCACCGAATGCTCTGTACTCGGTGAGCTGTGACATTCCTTTGCTGAAATCAGCATAAGAAATCCCTCTGAGTTATGGTTAGTGTAGTAGGGTAAGGGTTAACGATGGATTAGGGTTAGTGTAGGGCTAAGGTTAAGTGTAAATTTAGGGTAAGAATTGTTATAGGATTAGCGATACCTACCACAAATTAATTTAAACCCTAAACATGTGAGGCATTTAGCAATCAGGAATAATACGCAAATTTATTTTGGAGTTGCACTTCATCTGTTAAAATTATTATCTGCAAAATTGTGAGAAAATTATTTTTCTTTTGCATCCCGACCCATTTTTAACATTTTATTCCACTTAACCCCTTAAGGACACATGACATGTGTGACATGTCATGATTCCCTTTTATTTCATAAGTTTGGTCCTTAAGGGGTTAAATTACGGTGGAACAAATTCACTCTGAAGTCTCACTTTAGTAAAATAATATTGACAACACAAATTCTAGGTTTTGTTTTGGTTGGACAATTGCCTTCGTCCTTAACGGATTGATGAATAGACTACATGAAAAAGAAAACAGTAACTACTACTTTTAATTCTACTATAGAAAAATATACTCCGAGCAACAGGTAACCTTTATCAGACTTACATATGTAAGATTATTCACTATGGTATAGTGAATTTCACATTTAAAACCAGCATAGCCGACTTGGAAAATGTGTCCAATTCAGCCATTTTGGCCTGAAATTTTATATTCACTCTGAATTCCCAACAAGTCTAACTTTAGCAAATAACCCTGAAAGACTTGTCACACCTGTTCATTAACACTCCTGTGTGCATTGCTTTCATTAACACATGCAACCACTGTGAAGAGCAAAGAGCCTTTGCAAACTAGCAAATGTTAGCCCTGTGTTTCATCTACTGTAACCGGTTTGAAAAATTGTATATCACATGCTTATATCACACTGTTATTGAAGCAACACAAAATCATAGACTTTAGAGTTTACTAACTTCTCATTTAATAATTAAGCACTATTGTAATAGATTGATCTAAAATGCCTGTTCATTTCTATTTTACATGATTTCCCTCCCATAATATACTGAAGAACTAACAATCTAAGAAAGAAAACAAACAAACATAACATGCTTGACATATATAACTGATTGTGCATACAATTACCTGTGCACTTGCTGGGTCTCCAAGATGTGTGACAATATCATTTTTTTAATACAGGGAAAATACAAAACTAGGATTTGTCTACATAACTAAAGAAAATAGTTGTCAAGGTTGTGGTGTACAATACAACATGACCAGATTAATTGTAAGTGATAACCCTAACTGACAAAATCATTAAATATATAAAGGGATGGACAAAATAGCTGAAATAATGTAAAATGACCAATACATTTACAAAGACAACTGCAAAGGTGACTAGCAGTATCTGTCAGCAATCAACAAGGGCTGACAATTAGCACTTTGATGTGTGAAACGCAAAGCATGAGGAAACAGACAAGAACACACAAAGTCAGTATTCAAATGCTGCTATAATATGTAATACGTCAGGGAATACAGTTTAAAAATTTTGGCTAAAGGACGAACTGCACTGGCAAAGAGGAAGAGTGGTTGCAAGTCAATATGCATTTACTGATGTAGATGGATGTTTGCCAACGTTGGTAAATTAAACAAAAACACAATGCCAAAGCTTATCACAGAACTGAATCAGCAGCGTTGTGACAGTCACAGTTTCAACAAAAACTGAATACAATGTGAATTTACAACAGGGCTGCCATTTAAAAACTACATGTAGACCAATTATAAAAAAAAAAAAAAAAAAAAATTAAATCAATTGTGTGTCATTTGGTTCTATGATTTTTCACTATGTTTGTAAATTGACAAAGGAACAGAGGCCATTTCAAAACTATTGGTCCATCACAGTTTTCTTAAGCTTTTTGCTAATCAAATTCAGACAGGCATAATGCACACCAGGATAATAATGACAGTTCTTTTATGGCCTCCCCCAATCAACAGGTATAAAACAATAAGTGAACATTTTATGGGAAGTCATGGGGTACATAAATGTCCACATCTATAACATTATATGAACACATACAGTTCAGGACTTGCATGATGAAGCACAGGGTGACCTTACTTCATATCAGATCTTTGATATCAATATACTGTGTTAGGTGGATAGAGATATATATATATATATATATATATATATAGAGATATATATATATATATATATATATATATATATATATATATATCTCAATCTCTCTATCTGGCTAGAGGCCATTAAAAAAATATATATTAAATTTATTTTTAACAAATGCATTTTTTTTAATGTATATTTATAAATCAAAGCTCTGCTCTGACCACATTTCTTAGGCAAAACATTTTTATGTGTTTACATTTTATTCAAGTCTGTCAAATGGCTAACATTCTTATTAGCAAGACACCCATGCATTTGCTTTTAACACTATTGAACTTTGTTTCTTAAACTGATCAAGTCACACCTATGGAACGTCACACATATATGTGCTTTTCTAGGGTCATGATTATAAGCAAACAAAACATGGGATAAATAAAATATATTGCAACCAAAGCATATGCAAACTTATTTTAAACTGCAATGAATTAGAGACGTCTGATTCATGATAAATTATAATATAGCTTTACATTTTGTCTTTTTTGTTTTAAAAAAAAAATTGTATTTGTTAATATGGCTCTAACATACTGGTATCAACTGGTAATACCTAAATTCACATACATTTTAAAGGTACACATTTGGGTAGATTTACTACCCATTCTTAAATGGAGTAAACAAAAACAAGGATTAAAACGTCTCTTTTATCAGTCGATGCCCAGGATTTCCTGTAAGGTACAATCAGGATGTGGCTGACCTTTTTAAGCCAATCCTGTTATAAAGGTAATGATGGGATACAAACTGAATTTAAACTTTTATAATTAAGCCTCAAAAACAATGTTGCACATTATAGTGTGCAACAGCAATGCACATTGTATTGTGGCAACAAAAATTATAAACCTCATCATCATTGCTATTTTTAGTAAATAGTACAGGGATGATGGTGTGATAACAATAACCTTCCTAAATCACTTTATTCCACATAATCTAACTAGGAACATACTCAATTTTCAGAGTACTAAGCAAAGTTTATCTCCCGTTAGCTGGCTGTCTGTCAGCCAGGCACTGGATATACTACCTCACTAGTCAGAGCCCCTAGAATACTGATGGCTGGGGCACAGAATTAAAGAGCTAGTTATTTGCAGGGTTCTGTGAGTTCGAAAGCAGAACTTTGGAGCACAGAACACCTACCTCTGTATTTGCTGGGCTCCAGCCTGCACACTGCAGTCTAGACGTACTCTCGCCAGATGACCTTCTCTCCTTTACATACACATCGACTGCAGACTTCTTCATAAGACTGACAATACCTATGTGTGCAGACGTGCCACTCACCCCGCCTCTCTCTATAGCACAGCCCGTGAACGCCACATTCACCCAGACTGGGTTTTCCTCACTTTAAGCTTGTTGCTAGGCAACCATTGGCCTACCGGCGACAAAAAGGAGAGTAAGTGAGGAGTGGCACTGTGGGGAGGAGAGAAGGAAGAGGAAGTAGATGAAAGGTTAAAGGAGAAGAGCCTTGGGAATGAGTTATAGATCCCTTGCAGAATATCTGACACGTTTATACATTTTCTATAATCAAATATTTAAAGTGGTATTTATCTGTATCTAGTATTCTGACAGGGTCAAGGCAAGTGAATGGTTGGAAGTATATGTGGACACTTTGGTCTGTGCCTATTGATCATCAAATTATATTATCTTGGAAAATCTCCATTATAAGAACTCATAAATTTTGGTTCAAAAAGTGTAAATATTTCTGAATTGGTAAACATCAATGGAAACATTTCTGTAACACAGATACAGATAGTGGCACACACTGACACGTACACACACACACTGGCAAATACACACACACCTTAACACACAGATGCATGCATACCAACACAGATAGACTAAAATATACACACACTGAAACTCAGAAACACACTGACACACAGATAGACACTGGCATGTACAAACAGATACACAACCTGCACTGACACACAGATACACACATTCAGATACACACAGGCACATACACTGGCACACACCTTAATACACACACACACACACACACACTGAAAGATACACACAGATACACAGTGGCACATACACACACAGTGACACATACACACATGTCATTTTATATATATATATATGCAGTCACCCTCATGTTAGCATACCTGTTGTCTGCAGGAGGGTGACTTGCTGGCTGAGGCTGGTGTGTGTGGGGGGAGCTGCTGCCTCTCTCCCTCCTGCACAACGTTTTCTATATGAAGATGGGAGGAAGTGACCGTCCGTCACTTCCTCCTAGCATCCCATAATATGGGGACCCGGTCGCGCCATTAATCGGCCGCAGCGCTTATCGGGTCCCTGTGCAGCAATGCCCGTCGACTGGCCCAAAGTACATGGGCAAATCACTGTGGCAACCCAATTTTGTTCTCATGGAACCCTAGGGTTCCACAGAACACCAATTGAGGAACACTGGTTAAGACATATAAAAAGCAATGCATCATTAAAGGACCACTATAGGCACCCAGACCACTTCAGCTCAATGAAGTGGTCTGGGTGCCAGGTCCATCTAGGGTTAACCCTGCCTGCTGTTAACATAGCAGTTTCAGAGAAACTGCTATGTTTACAATAGTGTTAATTTGGTGGAAGAGGGAGGAGAGTCCGAGGGAGCCCGGCACTATCATAACTCCCAATTTTTCAAATGGGACACTTTACAGGGACACTGTAGGCACCCAGACCCCTTCAGCCCATTGAAGTGGTCTGGGTGCCAACTCCCTTCATCCTTAACCCTGCAAGTGTAATTATTGCAGTTTTTATAAACTGTCTACCAGGCAGCCACTAGAGGGACTTCCGGCTTCTTAGACGACGTTATGCGTCGCTGGAATCCCCATAGGGGAGATCCCTATAACGGGAGATCCTAATGCGAGCGTGGCCATTGCAGCACATGCGCATTACGTCTCCCCGCCAGTGGGCGGCGTGGGAGGAGCCTGACCCAGCACCGAGGGACATCGGCGCTGGATTCAGGTAAGTGACTGAAGGGGTTTTAACCCCTTCAGCAATATCGGATGGGAAGCGGGAGGGAGGGGGACACTCCAGGATTTACAGTGCCAGGAAAACAGGTTTGTTTTCTTGGCACTAGAGAATCCCATTAATCTTAGGAGTGTATCCTGGAGCATGGTTGTTCTGAGACATTTAGATGTTGCTGGAGGTGGAGTTGTACTGCAAGCACAGTGTAAGTTGTCATGGTGCTTTGGATAACCCTTTAAAGACACATTACTGTGAGTATTATTGCTGTGGTTCCCTGGAATAGAGGGATTAAGGCCCAACATCGGAACTGTGACTGCTAAATAGGAACATTTGGGAGGTATGCAGTGGTGGTTGGTGACATATTAAGACGGTAGCACCCATTCAACACAGAGTTACACATAATGACATTACTATTTACCACAGAACCAAGGACAATGAGGAGACAACAATACAATCAGGGTGGGACTGGCCCAAGTGGAGCAATTGCCAGGTGACCGGCCAGTCACTGAATGTAGCATGGCCAAGCAAACCACGGTAGAGAATCTTCTGTATCCTCTACCCAATCTGAAAGGAAGTGCTGAGTGCAACAAACAACTTCCTGTCATACCGGAGTAGGGATTGCCAACCAGTGGTACACGTTGGTCTGCCCCGTGGTACTCGAAAAATATTGGTAATGGCATTGGTTCACTTGCACCGCTCAGGTAGTGAGTCACCTGGTGAATATCCATCTGGGATGAAGTGGCAACTGGTCACTTACTTCCAAATTGCACAGAGAGAGCCACATGTGTGTATCTACAAGTGTGTCAGTGATTGTATCTATGTGTCTGTATCTGTATGTGTCAGTGTTTGTATCAGTGTATCTGTATGTGTGTCAGTGATTGTATCTGCTGATCCATATTTAAAGGGGGTCCCTTGCCACTCCTCATATTGACAAGTAAGTGCACAAACTTGGAGCCAGTCACTTATAGGCTCCAGAATCAGGTGAGCAACTTTTATTTCACTTTTAAAGTTGGAATCCTAGAAGTTCATTACCATCTGCACTATCTTCTGCTGCTTGTTTGTCTTCCATGTACACCCACTCTACTCGGACTTACAATGGGGACAAACAAGAAGGTTACTGTTGCTACCTTAAAGGCACATCAAGCACATACGTTCAGAGCCATAGCGTCTAAAAGGCTCTTGATTTGTGAGCATATATTTCTCTTTCAGTGTGTATACCAGTTGTTTATAACAGTATTGTACTATCAAGTATTTCTCTATGTATTTGTCTTTTTCGGCTACATATGAGAAACGTCCCATATTGTATGGGTAAGCCTTTTTTCTAGCGCTACACTATTGCACCGTGTGTATACTAAGGGGATTACCATCTAAACCTAATTTTCACACTAAGTGGTGCTTATCCACAAATGCCTTGTTTGCCTTGTGGTAAATACAGCCCTGTGTGTATCTGTGTATCTGCATGTGTATCAGTAAGTTTATCAGTGTGTATGTGTAACTGTACATGTGTCAGTGTTTGTTTTAGCCTGGAGCAGGGGAGAAGCAGGGAGAGCCTGGGGCAGAGGAGAAGCAGGGAGAGCCTGGGGCAGGGGAGAAGCAGGGGGAGACTGGGGCAAAGGAAAATCAGGGAGAGCCTGGGGCAGAGGAGAAGCAGGGAAAGCCTAGGACAGAGAAGAGGGGGAGATAGAGCAAAGAAAAACATGTATACATTTGAAATAACAGCAACTAAATGAATTACAAACATTTCTCTAATATGAAGGCACAATTTATGGAAATGGGCTGCCAAGGGGTACTCAAGTGAAAAGAGGTTAGGGAAAAGTGGGTTAGAAGATACAGAAGATCCTCTACTGATGTCTGCTTGGCCACACTACATGGAAGTTAGCAGGCACAGGAGCGTGAGGGAATGAGACACATGGAGGGGCTGGGGGGAAATGAGACAAATGGAATGGCTGGGTGGGAACTGAGACACATGGAGGGGATATTGGGAAATGAGACACATGGAGGAGTTCTGAGGGAGAGACACACAGAGGAGCTTGGAGAAAGAGACACAGAAAGGACTGGGGGAGACATAGACACACAGAGGGGCTTGGGAAGAGAAGGAGCCACACAGAGGGGCTGGGGGGGATAGAGAGAGACACATAGAGGGATTTGGGGAGAGAAAGATACACACAGAGGGGCTGTGTATGAGGAGAAAGAGACACACAGAGGGGCTGAAGAGGAGAAAGAGTTACCGAACTTGCCCACTGGGATACCAGGACATTTCCAAGTGGGGTGCTGCACGGCTGCCTAGGGCAAACCGGCCTGGGAGAAGCAATCACCAGATGACCGGCGGTAGGGGAACGCACAGGGCACAGCCACTAGAGGTGTATTTAAACCCACTTTGTCACCACCTGGGGTCTTTGCATATTTTGCAAAGACCACAGATGGTGACTTTGACACTTGCAGTAAGGTGGCTGCAGGGTGCAGGGAAATGTGAGTTTACTTACCCGAACCTGTCCCTCACGGCAACTGTTATCTTCTTCCATGGGATCTTCTTCGACTAATGCCACAGGAACCTCTATAGACAGAGGGTCTTTCCCTCAGTCATCACTAGTGCTTGACAAAGCTTGAAAGTGGTAACTTCATCTTTCTGTCAAGCTTTCTTAAATGTAGGAAAAGTAGTCCCTACTTTGTCTTATGTTATTTTTAAACTGGCTGGACTTGTTCTTTATGAGCATTTCATAAACATTTTATCACAATGCTCATTTTTTAGATGGGAGGGGAATGACAGAATCACTTTAATCATGCAGTGTAAACTTTGCAGTTTCTACAAAACAGGAATGTTTTACATTACAGGGTTAAAATTACAGTGCCACTGCACTCAGACTACTTCATTGAGATGAAGTGGTTTAGGTGACTTTAGTGGCCCTTTAAATTGAATCTGTCCTGTCCCAAATAAATGCAAATTAGATTGAACATAAACTATCTATACATTTGCAGTTTTGCTAGCAAATGTAAAGATTGGCAGAAAAAACATAAAAAAATGTTTTCTTCCATTTGTCTCTTAATTCCTATGTAGAAACTGAATGCTAAGGAACTGAGAGATAGGGAGAGCAGAAGAGATGACCCTCTGCTCTCCACCCATGGCAACAACAGTGCATTTGCTGTGGTTGCTATGGCAACTCCCTAGCTGGCTCAGGCCATGGAGTACAGGAATGGTGTGACATGATGTCACTCCATTTAAACATCAGCATTCTGGCAACAAAGCCACTGTGTTGGCATCATGGAATCATGGAGGAGGATTTCCCCAAACAGGGCAAATCAGTTAAGAGTTGAGGAGTGTGTGGTGAAGGGCCAGATACGTTGTGACAGTTTCATTTTAGCTGAAGCAACTATTGTAACAGATTGAATCAATCAAATCAGAATCAGATCAGTCCTCAGAGTCACAGCCCCAGTCCTGCAGTTTGAAATGTCACACCTTCTCAACTAATCACAGCACGAGTGTCTGAGGTCTCAGCTACAGAGAAATGTCAGAAATGTATGCCATTCTTCTTCCCTACGGTGTCCTCTCTCTGTACATTTTTCTACCACACCGTGTTGCATTTCACTAACAGTAACTACCGTATATACTCCAGTATAAGCCGAGTTTTTCACCACATTTTTTATGCAAGCCCCGCAGTCCTGGGGGGTCCGGCAGTAAGCTCTTACCTTTCCTGCAGCTCCTCCAGCTCCCCAGTGTAAATCTCGCAAGTCCCACGGCCGTCAGAGCGTTGCCATGGGTTACCATGGCAATGCTCCACTCGGCATGCAGACTGCAAGATTTACACTGGGGAGCTGGAGGAAAGGTAAGTAAGAGCTTGCTGCCGGTCCCACCACTGCTCAGCCCATACCACTGGACCACCAGTGGACTGTTTTTGCGATGTTGTACATTTGCGACCAGGCCTCCTTTTACACTTTTGTGGTGTTTGTGTTTAGCTGTAATTTTCCACTCTCTCATTTACTGTTCCTATACAAATTATATATTGTTTTTTTTCAGGACAAAAAAGGCTTTCTTTACATACCATTATTTATATAATCTCATGTAATTTAATTTAAGAAAAATAAAAAAATATGATGAAAAATTGAAAAAAATACATGTTTTTTGACTTTTACTTGAAAAGTCTTTTGCTCATCTACAAAAACGAATAAAAAAAACTGCTAAGTAGATTTAAAATTTTGGCATTAGTTTTAAAATATCCAGTGTTTACATGCTTTTTTTTTTTAGCAAGTTATAGGGCTATAGGTACAAGTTTTTTTCAAATTTATCAATAGTGACATTGTAACACTATTATATTTCATAAATAATACCCAACATGTACATATTTTTTTTAAAGTAGACAACCCAGGGTATTCAATATGGGGTATGTGGCTACTAAAAAAGACAGGACATACCCCATTTGCAATACCTTGGGTTGTCTTCTTTTGCAAATGGTATGCCATCATGGGGGTAATTCTCATTCCTGGGCTACCATACGCTCTCAAAGGCAACGTAACCAACCTGGCCATTTTCAATGTAAAAATATTTGACCCATATATTTGACCCAGTAACTTTAAAAAACGCTATAAAATCTGTACATGGGTGGTACTGTTATACTCGGGAGACTTTACTGAACACAAATATTAGTGTTTCAAACCAGGGAAATGTATCACAACAATTATATCATCAGTAAAAGTGCTGTTTGTGTGTGAAAAATGCGAAAAAAGTCACTTTCACTGACAATATCATCGCTGTGATATGTTTTACTGTTTTGAATCACTAATATTTGTGTTCAGCGGAGTCTCCCGAATAAAACGGTACCACCCATGTACAGGTTTCAGGGTGTCATAGAAAGTTACAGGGTAAAATACAGTGCTAGCAAATTAAATTCTCTGGACTTTCGGCCTGGGTTGGCAGGCAGGTCCCTCAAATTGCAATTAATAAAATTAATTATGTAAAAATATTACATAAATACGCATGTATAATTTGATGTCTACGTGTATATTTATATAATTATTTATGTAATTTTGTATATGGACATATGTATATTTCGTATTATTTTTATTTATTTATATATACATAGATATATATACAATTTCATTCTAAGTGTATTTTGATATAAATATATATATTTTAATATCAAAATACAGTTAGAATAAAATTTCATATAGATATAATTTTTTTAAAATTATTATTTTTAATTTTTTTAATTTAATTTAATCTACTTATTATTTGTATTTTATAATACTATATATACAATATATAGTTATTATTAATATATTATTATATATATATATACACGTGTGTAATTTAATTACAAGTGTATTTTTATATTAATATATGTACATATTAATATAAAAATACTCTTAGTATGACATTATATATATGACATAGACATATATTATATAGATATAATATGTCTATATATCATATATATACACATATATAATTTATTTATTTTTATTAACATTAACTTAAATTTTTTTTAATGATTTTACACTAGCAGAGAGACTGCCTGTCAGCACAGACATTCCCCCTGCAGGCAGACACATGGACACCTATTGTGACCATGTGACTGCTCTGTTGCGCGATCACATGGCCACAGGGGTCCTAATCTGCCATGGGGAGACTGTCTGGGCTGCAGGCAGTCTCCCCACACCGGGAGCACCGCCGATTGCCGCCGGGGGAACAACGGCGATCGGGTAAGTACATAAGACTGTTAGGACGGTTCAGGACCGTCACCGGTCGGCAATGGAAAAATGCTGATGACTGGTCGTTATGGGTTTAAAATTAAAATATAAAAAATGTCCTCCCGCCACCCAGTTTACACACACTACACAAACACACACTCTGCATCATATACACATTCTGCATTCATTATATACACACAAACACACACTGCATTCATTAACTACACACACTACACAAACACTACATTCATTATATACACACTGTTAATAAATATTCAATTAATGTAATTTTATTGGGAACTAATTTGATTTAGAAATTTACCAGTAGCTGCTGCATTTCCCACCCTAGGCTTATACTCGAGTCAGTAAGTTCTCCCATTTTTTTGTGGTAAAATTAGGAGCCTCGGCTTATATTCGGGTCGACTTATACTCGAGTATATTTTAATATATTGTCCTACTAAAATATGTAAATATATATTTCTTTCTTTTTTCAAATGTAGTGAATTCCCTTGCTCAGTAAGACCCCAGGCAGTCACTGGGGCAATTGGGGTAGATAAAAAAATATTATGTAGATACATTTGGCAGGGGCCATGTCTCCATGTGTTATTTCCAAGATGGCTTCTTGCTTCTCTCTCCTGTTGGCACTGTAACCCCACCCCTGGTGCTATCTGCCAGAGATGGCCCCTGAATAGAGAGGCCAACCGTATGCCTTCACTAATGGGCAATTTGCCCTGCTGATCACTTCTGGCTAATTCAGAGCAGAGGGCTTCTGGCTCTCAATGGAGGAAGTGACTGGGGCATGGTGGACCCCCAGGTACGTTGTCTAATTGTCTGTTAGCAAACACTGCTTGGAGTGTTCCTTTTAACCATACATTTAAAGATTGAAGAGAGAGTTTTACTACACCTTTCCTCCCATTGTGTTCATACTTAGCATTGTGTTTTGTTTATGGTTTTTTAATGTTACGGTTGTGCAATTTGCATCTACCAAGAAAAGGAACAAAGAGATTGAACTGGATGTTGGTGATTCATTTTTGATAAATTACAATAGTCACAACATGTTAAAGTTTGCAGGATAGTTCATATGCAGATTTTCTTTTATCAACAGAGCCTACTGGATTTACAGGTTTAAAACATAAAGCTCTATCACAATGCTTGCATTTTGGCTGTTTTTTTTAAATAATCTAAATGTATTTTATGTAAATGAACAAACTTTATTTTTAACATTGTGTCATAAGCAGGCATTTATAAAAGGTAGTCATACTCTTTTCATGACCTTTATCTTAAACTGCATAAAGAGATAACAAGCCTTTTAGAGTGCAGTTTAATCCATTCATTGGGTTCAGGTAGGACAATTGTCCATACATTAGGGTGTGATTGGTAAAACCCATGTGCACACCTATGATTTTGCCTCCTTTGGGAACTAATAAAGAGGACATGTTCTTGACATCCCTATTACAAATAAAATGCCAGATATGGATTTTGAGTGTTATGGACTGTGTGTAACACAGTTATACATGTGTTTAGCTCATCCTTGAAATTACCTCATGTTTACAGCAGGATGATCATGTAAAGCAGTTATTGAAAAGCCCTTTAGTTCTAAATTCTGGGGAGACCTCACTTACCATCATCATTTGGAACAGAATCTAATTGCTTGTAAGGTTTCCATTTGCGTGGGACTCCAAGAATAAATGTTTAAAATTATGACGAGATTGTACACCAAGCAGGTTAATGGCACACCCGAAGCAGGAGCCTATTCATTAAGCCAGCGTAGGCACCTGCTTACCTGGATGGTAGGTGCATACGCGGAGGAAATATAGCAGAGGGGAAAAGAGGCAGTTGGCGGCGGGGATGAAGCACTAATATTCTTCCACTTCCTCACTGCTCCCTCGCACCATGTAGTGATGCTGGGAGGATCAAGCCATATGACGTCACTCCGGCCCCAGCATCCCTAAACAGCGCACCAAGGAGCAGTGATGAAATGGAGAAGACCAAAGGGTAAAAAATCCCTACTGGACCCCAGGGAAAGGACCTATACCAGGGGTCTAAAAAAAAAAAAAAACAAAAACAAACAAAAAAAAAAAAACAAGAAATAAAATTATTTTGTGAGTGGGTGAGCAAGAATGTGTAAATTGGTGACTGTGCCAGCCAGAGTGTGTGTCTGTCAATGAGTGTGTCTGTCACAGAGTGTGTTTCAAATTAGTGAAATTGTGTCTGTCATTGAGAGTGTGTGTCAGTGTATATGCGTGTTTGTCAATGTATGTGTATGGCACTGTATGAGCACCTCGCAATCAAATGCCAACTGTACATACAAACACATTCAAACACTAAACACAAGTACACCACTGTGTTCAAATAGCAACAGTACATACAAATATGCAACTGCATTCAAACGTTATTTAATGCTTTCCTATGGGGATTTCGGCGATGCTGGAGGGCCTCATGCATAGTGTGAGGACGTCCAGCGAAGATTAAAACAAACACTTTTTGGGTTTCAGAACCCGGAAGTCCCTCTAGTGGTTAAGTCCTCTTCTAGTGGCCACTAGAAGAGGACTTAACCCTGCACGGTAATTACACTTGCAGGGTTAAGGGTGATGGGAGTTGGCACCCACACCACTTCAATGGCCAGAAGTGGTCTGCGTGCCTGGATTGTTCTTTTAAACTGTTGCATGTGAATGAAACCTCATACCCAGCTCTACCATCAAGTCCTCAAAAGGACCATTATAGGCACCCAGGCCACTTCAGCTCAATGAAGTGGTCTGGGTGCCAGGTCCCCCTAGTTTTAATTTTCACAGAGTCCAGCGTCAAATAAGATCTCCATAAAAAAAAAAAGCAACTTTTTTTTTGTTTTTTTTGTTTACCTATAGGGGAGAACTAACCATAAAGCTTGTTTAATTTATTCTTAAATAAAAAACTGGGTTATATTTTTAATCAAATTTTTATCAAAACAGAAAGATCCTCATTACTAAAATAAATCAACAATTTAACTTAAACTTCAGTGTGATAAAAATGGTATATTGTGCCACCAACATTTATTTTTCAAACCAAAAGTTATATAATGATACATTTACATCCCAATTCAAGTTCGACACCAACTTGTGCGTTTTCAAAAAACAAAAAAAAAATCTCCTTCAAGAGAAAGGGATATCAATGCCAACTTAATTTATGCAACCAAAAGATAACGCTTAAAACATTTACAAACCATGTCCCATGATAAATAATAATAAAAAACAAACAAAAAAACAGCAAACAGGTAGCTCTATGGTGCAATGTTTGAGAGGGCAAAGAAAATGAAATGAATACCAAGTATTGTCATTTTAACTGGAAGGAAAATAATAGTTCTAAAGGATTAGAAAGCAACAGAATTACACAATACACGCTACTGAAGTATTAGAAGTGTTCGATTTTTTTACACTGTTCGTTTTACATCATCATTATTTTTAGTTGGTCACACCAGTTTCATTACTATTTTTTTTCTTAACTGATTTTACCACATTTACTATAAAATGTATTAAGGCAACATGGATTCTTACATAGTTGTACCTTATCGTGTAACAATGTAAGCTTTTAGTACAGTGCTGTTGGGAGTATTTGAACTGTATTGAGCAAGCACATAGGATGTATTGAGGGTCAAGCATAATCATCATTGCCATATCTACTGCAGTGTACATATACGTAACATTTTCTAAATAAGTTCTAATCTATATCGGTTAGCCATTTATAATGAACGTATTCAAACATCCTGTAGTATTGTAGCAAAATGAAGAACAGGAACTGCACTGACTGATATATATATATAAAAATGCTGAATATTTAATTCATTTCTAAATCAATGGAAAAACATATAAGTAAAAATCAAATCTAAGGAAAAAGGCAATTTATTACACAAAATGGACAAAGAAAGTGTAATGCAGCTCCCACATCGGTAAGATTTATTTCTGTCAATTGCCTGGGAAACATTTTTTGAGTGGGTTAATAAAGGAATCAAAGTTTGTTGTAAGAAGAATATAGAAAAAAAAAAATCCAAAATTAATTTTAAGGGGAACAATCACTTTTCAGGAATGTATACCAATGAATAACCCTGAAAATCACCCACATAATTTGTTTTCTTTTAAAGTGTATATTGAAGATTTAGCAACTGATGTCACAATTTAGAGACGACAGTCAGAACCCTCTATGCTTTAGGAAGATAAGAAACAAAAATATTGTTACTCTACCACCACATACTATATGAAAATGACAAAAAAAAGGTGTAGAGTTTGATAATAGAAACGAGCCAAGTTTTAAAGCTCACACAATACATGTGAAAACATAGGGGAATAAATAGCATACCATTAAAAAGTCTTTGGATGTAACAGTATCCCGCTTTAAAAGGGTCAGTCTAAGCACTATAGTTTATTTTAGAGGTTATTGTGGTAGTAAGAAACTGGTGTCACGCACCATTTCCCAGTTGTGTAAGCGGACTGACACAAAACAGTGTTGTCCCCCAAAACCCACGTGGCCAGTCCATCAGAGGTTCAGACATTACACTTAGCAATGTTACTTTTTACCAATATTTGGATAGCATTGAGGAATTGTCAGATGATAAGCTCAGTCTTTTTCTGCGGTCAACATGGACAAAAATGATATTGCCAACATGGAAGAGTGCAATTCAGTCAGAGAGGGACTGGGTCTTAGGTGCCTGTGGACCTGGTATTAAAATCAAACTGCTCACAAAATGGTTTGACACAGAACTGGGTGACAGCACTGGCTGCCTGCAACCACTACAACCCCTTGTGCTGCGTGTCCCTTGGTATTAGCAGAAAGGTTAAAAGGATGGAGATTTCATAAAATCACCAAATATAAATTGAACCCGTGCCTAGTAATGTATGTTTGTTTCTCCTCACTTCACTAAGAGCATATACACTTTCAAAATATGCTCTTTATTTTAAAGTTTTTTTTTGTTTTAAACATACATAAATGTTGTACACATTAGGGATCCTATTAAATACTATACAGTGTTGATCTATCACATTCTTTCTATGATTATAAATGGATAACCAATTTAGTAGGCAAGGCAGATAAGCATATTTGAAGGAAAAAAACAACCAAAAAAACCCCCAAAAACCTGGTCTTTGAGTATATAAATCACGCATACATGCTGGCTTGAAGCACACTGTCCCAAGACAAAGCCCCTCAAGGTAATGTTTTTTTTCAGACCCCGTTGTGTAGAGAAACCAGATGCGTAGAACGACCTGTGAGTTCAGAATACACTGAATGTATATAATTTTTCTAGGATGCAAAAAAATATTGCTCCCAAAAGAATTTCAATTTCTGTTCTATCAATAACAGTGATCTACCATAAAATGAGTTTTATAGCTTTATAGTCGCTCGAAATGTTAATGTTCTAATTGTTGTATCCTTGCAACAATTTCTCCATTAGGCTGTGGATTTTCTTTTTCAATACTTTATTTAAAGAAAGATTATATAAAGTAATGCAAACACAAGGGCAACCAATTCAAGGTCTATTTGATTTCTCTTTGAATTCCTTATGAAACATTCCTCATAATTCAGACAAACGTCCTGGTTAATGAAACCTAAAGAAGTGTCTATGCATACTTCATTTTACACTGCATTATGTAAAATATGTTCTATCTTTAAACAGAGGTACAATAAACACATGTTCTCTTTTAGGATAGATTCCTGTTAAGTTACAGATCTGAAAACTTAATGTTCAGTTACTGATGCTGCTTGCCAAAGTTGTAGGTACGACAGGAACAATTAATAGAGTTTTGTTCATAAAACACACTCAAGTCTTATTAAATGAAATCAAGTAAGCTACATTTTATGAAGACCGATGATCTGACAACGTGCATTACAATTAAACATTACGATGAAGAGTACTGTTCATTAAGTTGAACAAAGGCAGCATTGTGTCAAATATTGAAGCTTTCACCACATCCACAAGTTCCTTTAATGTTTGGGTTATTAAAAACAAACTCGCTTGAAAGTTTATCTTCTACATAGTCCATTTCAGTTCCTAAGAGAGTGAGCTGTGCTTTCTTCTCAATGAATACTTTCACTCCTGTTATGGGGGAAAAAAATAAAATTAAAATATCAGAAGATTAGACTGATGGATGACATTTTATAGGTGGTTTAGAAGTCATACCACATATTGCTTTGTTAATATAGTATTTACATAAATAAACAAATTTAAAAATGCATTGAGAAGGCATATACACAAAATACAACTAAGATTAAATCATTTAAATCCTCAATATTATGTTAATCAAAAACCACATGAAACACCCCCTCCATAAGAATCCTGCAGTATTCTCCTTTGATGCACCTAATGGGTCTAATAAACAATATAACAAGAGTAACACAGTATAGATATTGGTGGCTGAGCCTGATTCATGATTTTCCCTAGAGAATCTGGCACTTTTATAAATCACCTTGTTAGATCCCCTGGCTTACAAAGCAGATACCTTGTCCGGTTACTTTCTGGTTTGTTTAATTTAGTGGAGCTAAACTCAGACAGGCAACTGCCCAGAGCACCTGCCTTGGAAAGACTTCTCATTGAGCTGTATTGGGAAGTCTGTCATTAGAAAGCCACAAAGTCTGGACTGGAAGAAGAGGAGGGCTTGCAAAGGCAGCAGACAGATCAGCAGCTTTTGCAGGCTGTTTTTAGCTATACTTCCAATGAAAAAATGAATTAAATGCATGCACGTTTTCAATGGGGAAAATCTAATCAACGTTTTTTGTATTTGGGCAGTGGAGTGTCCCTTTAAGGACCAACGACTAAATTATTCCATCATGTTTGTCCTTTCATTAACTACCAAACCATTTAAAGGAAAATAAATAACGGTTGTAAAACAATATATAGGTATGTGGCGGACCGCCTGGTAACCCGACTGGGTATTTACGTCAAGCACGCTCCCTAGCCATTACCAGGACACCAATCAGCGTTCCAGCCCCTCGCTGCTGCAGCTTGGCCAGGGTCTCGCTGTTGCTTCCCACCCTGGAACTGGGTCCTGGATCCAGCTTCTAGTGATTAAAGCTCTCCTGCAAAGAATATAGCGGTGTAGCTGGTACACCCAAACACTAGTCGAGACTGAGTGAAGGATGAAAAGGAACTGATTTATCATGGCCAGGTTGCCTGCTTTTATACACAGCCCCCAGCATGGGGTCTCCATTCAATGCAAGACAAGTCCCTGCCATAAATGTGTGCCTGGGAGAGAATTGCATTAAAGACCGGTAAGCTAATTATCTCCCAGAAACAGAGGCAAACATAAAAATACATAATATCTCTACAAATAATACATCCCCAAATAGCCCTGATCTGAGTGCTCAGATCCATGCTGTGTAGGGAAACGCCACCGTGTTAAAGTCCGGACCACTTTCTGAAGCTCCTGCATCCGAAATAAAGGGTACTCCGGCTGGCTCTTAAGTAGCATTTGTGCCCCTTAATCTCAGGCACCTTCCCTCCAAAATGCACTCTCCTAAGGGGTGCAAAGTTGTTCAAAATCCTGCACCAAGTTGTCCGTGAACCGCTCGATCACCTCATGCCGAAAACAGTTCCATAAAATTTGCAGCTAATTCCTGGTGAGGTGACCGGAGACCCACAAAGTTCTCATGCTGACTTTTGTTCCATAATGATCGCGGCCAAGTACTGCTGAGGACAATTCGTGGGTTTCTTCATGCAACGAGCGCCAGAGATCTAGTGTTCAGTTTCATTTGAATAAAGGGAAAGTGCAGAACCGGGGCACCCAGGGAAAGTTGCTAATCTTGGCTGGACAGGGTTAACTCCCAAACAGTGTCTTTGGATACGGCCCATAATCCATGGCAGGAGACTAGCTAGCAGACTCCTCCAGGAGCTTGGGACATTGGCACGTTTGCCACAATGTACTGTATAACTATAATATATGTTGTCACATATGGCCATGACGTTGCCCATACCATATCACCCTCATTGCAGCCACGTTGCTTCTTTGGATTACATGTACTAATACATGCAAACACAAATATTACAGACACTCACTGATACAACTTACAACTGCCAGAACAGAAACAAATATTCACTGCTTCCACACAGATACAAACAAGGACACAATGTCAGACATAAAACACTCAGACATCAAAATACACTGCCAGACACATACGTATACACCGCCAGTAAAACACACACACACACACACACACACTTACTATGGTGGTGTAGTGGTGATCGTGTGCTGTAACTCCTGACAGCAGCCATGCTGCTATCCTGCGACATTATGATTCGTAGTGTAACTTCACATAGTAATGGAGAAGGGAAGAAGAGGGTGCTCCCTTTGCTTATACCATCTGGGCTCCCCTTTGTCATCTGAGTACATTTAGTAGCTTTAAATGCGATTTTACAGACAGGATAAACCAGTTAATTCTCCCACCTCGCTTCTCTCAACTACACATGGACAATGCCTCTACACTTTAGGCCTCCACAGTTACTGAACAGGAGGATACAATTTTTATCTTACCTCACCACTGGCCTGCACGATCCCATTCCATATCACCTTATTAGATCTCGTCTTGTGTCATCCTTAACGCATATCTTGTACTGTTTTCTTCTGGCATTATGCCCGCTCCCCCCCTTAAAAGGTGTTAAGGTCATACACATCCTGGTACTGAATACTATTTCAGGCACCCCTGACCTCACCAGGAATCAGCTTAATTTTAAACTTCCTTACACTCATAATTCATCACAAATATTTCAAGGACCAGTATCAACTCCACATATCACACAACTGGACTTACCAAAGTTGAACGGATGGAATTACTAAACTAAGATACACAATGGATTGAAATAGACTTCCACTGTACCATCTTACTACCAGGAAGAGTTGCATTCAGCTGGACACCACAAACAAAGTACATTTAAACTAAAAAAAAAAGACTCACCTCCATGTGTAAATTGAGTTTTGGATTTGATCATCCATTCAGTAATGCTCAGATTTCATTTCTAAACACCAAGAAAACTAATTAACAAAAACGTTCACTAAAACTAATCTGACCTGCATGCATGCTCCCTCATCTGTTATCTACAATGCAGCCTGAAGTGCAAAATCTCACACCTCACTCTGGCCTGAATCCTATAGAGCAGGGCAATGTAACCAGCTCCACTGCTAACATCCCTACAAAAACTAGAAGCAATTTTAACTCCTTCACTGCTGAGGGAATTATCACCTATAACCCCTCATATCTGTATTCCCTAAGATCCCACAAAGCAATCGTGCAATCAATTCCTTGCTAGTGGGCACCCTAAAATCAATAGGCATCTTCAAAAAGGACTGACAGGGGCTGTCGTGGAGGAAAATCAAAACTTAAAGTTCAATCTCCTGACAATATCACAGCTGCTCCACCACCAGCTCTACCAAACCCAAGTGACTCAACCTAGAAGCCACAAAAACCGAACTATCAAATAAAGGAAACCTCTTTTTGTGATCCCCATTACAAGACACACTGTTTCCAAAAGTACAGAGCAAAAACTCAGAATTCCAAAACTGTCCTATCAGATCAATCCTGTGCAATTCCAGATCAATAAGAAACAAAACAGCTATTATTGCCGACCTTACTGAAACATGCGAATTTGCGTGCATTACAGAATCATGGCTAGATGAAAATGCGGGGCCTACAGATCCCCAAGAGATGGAAATAGATTTCTTCAGGAACTCTCAGACCTTTTGGCTGGCTTAATCGTTGAACACCCCAGATGGCTTATATTGGGAGATTTCAACACTTGGATTGATGACACCCTATCCCTGCTTGGGCAGGATCGCCTCAGCTTGATGGATGCACTCAGCTGCACACAAATAGTCGCCACTTTCACCCACAGAAAATGTCACAAACTGTCATATTTTCAAACTCTGTCTGACCCTCATAACTGTCATTTTGTTTTCCTCTGAGGAGGAGTTGTTTTGCTGCATGAGTGCTGTTGCTTTGTGTGCTCATTAAACAGACCTGCTTGACCCTTTCTTGAAGCCTTGGCTCATGCTTGGGGGATGGGATAAGTCTGCAGTGCTGATGGTGTCGGTTGGAGTGCTTGAAGTCCTTGGCAAGCACTAGGAGCATCGATTGGCGGAGGTACTCGGTCGGAGTGCCAGCGGGTCCGTCACACACACCATAAGCAATGGAATGCCAGATTGCACCAGTTTATGGTCCACTTTTACAAAAGTGGATATAAAGGGAGTTCTAAGAACCATGCAAAAGTTACACCCTACTAAATGTGACTTAGACCCTGCTCCAACACAGCTTACATCTGCATGCATTGGAACACTCGCCCCAGACCTCACAAAAATAGTGCTGTGTTCACTAAAAACTGGAGACTTCCCCGATCCTCTAAAAGAAGCTGTGCTAAAACTACTCCTAAAGAAACCTTTATTAGACCCAGACTGCATGGCTAATTACAGACTGGTATCCAACCAGACTGGTATCCAACCAGACTGGTATCCAACCAGTGGCAACTCAACTGGAGGCCCATCTATCAAGCTTGAACATCTTTGATCCTTTCCAGTCAGATTTCAGATGCCGCCACAGCACTGAACCCGCGCTAGTCTGAGTGCTAAATTATCTCCTTATGGCGAGAGACAAAGGTGATTACTCCACCCTAATCTTCTTGGATCTCTCAGCTGCATTTTACACCATTGATTTTAATAGATCGCTTGCAGCACATCTGTGGTCTGGGAGGCACAGTCCTTAACTGATTTAAATCTTTCCCCACTGGTAGATCACAGAGAGTAACAAGATCAAGCTCATCAGCACCAACAGAACTGGCCTGCAGAGTTCCACAAGGATCCATCTTGTCTCCCATGCTATTCGCAATTTACTTGTTACCATGGGCGACATGGCCCAAGGTATCATTGTTGCGCTGATGACAAACAACTACTTCTCCTTTGCTCCAGATACCACAGACCCAATATGCCGCATCAACCGTCGCTTAGCAGACCTCATGGAATGGATGAATGCTAGTTGACTTAAAGTTAACCCGGAAAAAACAGGGTTACTCTTGGTGAGGGCACCCTAGGAAACAAAACGGAGCTTGGAGGCTCTGAACTCATCAGTTCATCAATGGTACGAAACCTCAAAGTGTTGATTGACTCTGGACTATCATTTAAACAGCAGATTTCCAATGTAATAAAATCTGCCTACTTTCATCTGCAAAACATAAAACACTTAATTGCACCGGATGATATGCCAACATTAATCCATGCATTTGTATCCTCTCGGCTAGATTACTGCAAAGTACTTTACTTGGGCCTCTGAGAAAAAGAACTCAATCGCGAGACTGTACAAAATGTAGCAGATAGACTACAGACCACTCAAACTTGCTCATGCTACATAATACCTGTTCTCCACTCCCTGCATTGGCCTGCTAACCTGCAAAGCCTTAAACAATCAAGGCCCACAGTACCTGAAAGAGCTCCTGACACCCTACATTCCATCCCGTTCACTTTGGTCAGCCAGTAAATCCTTCCTGTCGGTGCCAAGAATAAAGAAAGGCTCAGGTTTCAGGGCATTCAGCCACGCTGCCCCTACCTTCTGAAACTCTTCACCGTGTGCAATCAGAGAGGCACCGTCCTTACAGAATATATATATTAAAAAAACCAAAAAAACCTAAAGACCCACCTCTTCCATCAGGCATTCAGTCCACACAGCTGGCCTTCAGAAACTCCTAATGCATGTGCCTTTATGTTTGTATACGTGTAAAGTGCTTTGAGTCTCACAGGGATTAATATAATAGAATATAATAAAAATTAAAAAAAAAATCCTAAAACCACCCCCCACAAAACAATCTTTCTCTTCTACCATCCCATATCTCTCTGCTCCCTAGAACGACTTGCCTTTGCCAATCTGGAATTCTCTCTCAATTCCAATGCTTTTTAAAACCCTCTTCAATCTGGCTTCTGTCCCACCATTCTACAGAGACTTCTCTGCTTAAAGTAACCAACAACTTAACCGTGGCTAAATCCAAAGGTCACTACGCCATACTAATTCTTCTAAACAGCTCTGCAGGCTTTGACACTGTTGATCATTATCTTCAAACTATTCAATCTCTAGGCCTCTGTGACACTATCCTCTCTTGGTTCTCCTATCTTTTCTAACGTTCATTCAGGGCACCCTTTTCTCATAACACCCCTCCACTTGTCCAGGTTCAGTTGGAACCCCCCCACGTATCGGTTCCTTGTCCCACTTTGTTTTCTGTTTATACTGCCTCTCTTGGCAAACTTATTAATTCCTTTGGATTCTGCTACCACCTGTAATCTCCACCGCTGTTAAAGAATGAATCACCGGTTACCTCCCTTCCATCTCTGACATCCACCAGCTTTGTGAAACAATCTCTCTAAAACAGCTTTTTATTTTTCTTCCTCATATCACTAATCCTCCTCTTTCGCTCTCCCTGCAAGTTGATGGTACAAGCATCAGCTCATCCTTGCAAGCTCATTGTCTTGGGGTTATCTTTAATTCTGGCCTCACCATTACACCAAGTCTGTTGCGAAATGCGAACAATTCCACCTTAAAAACGTTGCCTGCACTCACCCCGTCTTATGACAGATGGGGCCAAGGAGCTTGTTCTCTACTAATTTCTTGCATTGATTATAGACCTCCCTAGAAACCGTACTAGTCTGTAGTCACTGCTGAGTAGCCAGGCTATTATTTCTCTCTCGTCGCTCCTCTCACACCTCGCTCCTCTCACACCTCACTCCTCTGGCGAACCTTACATTGGTTGTCTATATCCTGTAAGAATAAATTCAAATTCATAGATCTGCCCTTTCTTGGTTGCTCCGCTCTGCCGTGATCTTCTCCTGGCCGCTGCTCACTCACGCCTTTTGGAACAGCCTGCCTACTCCCATCAGATTCATCCCTTCAATCATTTAAGATGTCCCTCAAAACCCATCTGTTCAGAATAGCTTATGGTCTTGCAGGATGTGGCAGACCTTGTACTATTCCCTTCTTTTGCCTGTACCTATTCTCAAGTTTCCCAAATTTATCTGTACACCCATGTTCGTGGACCGAATGGAACATGTGTGGTCCACCCTTTTATACCCTTCGAACACAGACCACCCCTGGCTCGTTAACAACTTCAAACAAACAGTGCTTTGCCTGTGTGGCCGTCATTCGTATAACCAAACACGTGCGCTAATGACTGGCTGCCATTTTGTCTCCCAGAAACAGGCAGCGGTACATAACTGTCGAGTGTCTGAAATTCAGACGACTACGTGAGCCTGCGAACTCCGGAGAAACCTTTAACGCTGCTTGTTCCTCTCACAGATGAGTTAGGAGAACGGCATTCGGGCGATAGGAACTACCGAACAGGGGGAGCATTCCCTCCCTAAAAGCCAGGGGGAGCGTTCGTCTGTGTTCGTATAGAAACCCTCGAAAGTAGACCGGCCGCCGACCCTTTTCTTGTGGAACTATTCTGAGCTATCACCTTGTGGCCGGCCGGCCGTCCGTCCAAAAACAAACAAACAAACAAACAAACCAACAACAAATCAACCAAACTTTACTTGGATGGCGATTCCATTCTACCGAACGGATCTGAGCGCTATTTGAAAAACTTGGGCTCTCAAATCCAGACTATTCGGGGGGTGTAAGATTTGTGGCGTTCCTGTAATATTTTGATATGGTTGAGGCATTTTGTATGTTTTTGTATTAGTTTTCCTGTAACAGAGATAATTGAGTTAGTCTTCTATTGACTCCATTATCTCCCAGGCACAGACACCTGGGAGGGACTTTTACTTTTTCCAATGGAGACCCCATGCTGGGGGGGGTCTGTGAATAAAAAGCCAAGTGTGACCTAATAAACCTCAGTTGACTCCCAGAACTGTTGTCCATTTACTGGGGGAATGGGCTATAACCAGTGGACAACACTTTCTTTCAGCTCGAGAAGATTTCAGCAGTGATCTACACAGGATAACTAATTTTACAAGTATGTCTCTCTCTTAAAAGGACCACACTTGACCTTCCAATTCTGCTACTTTCCCACCCTATCACTTGGCTGCATTCCCCATGCTGCCTTTCCTATAGTGTTTTTGTCATCAACAACCTATTGTTCCTCCAACATTTGGTACTTTTCTCATTTACTGTATAAATTAGTAAAATGAGACAGTTACAAAAAAAAAAAAAAAAAATGTACTCACGAGGTGTTACAGAGTACAGTTACACACAAGAATATAAAAAACAAAAAATAATTTAATACAAACTTGGAGAGTTTGGTAGAAAAATAAAATAAAAAAAAAGGCATTTTAATAAAGCGCAAAATATATCACGTGATAATCCCTATAGTGTTCACATTTGCAAAATAGAGTCATTTAAATGTATGAGCTACTGAAATGCTCAATAATGCACCATAGACTCATCTTCAGTTTGCCATTTTTAGGAAAAGCTGCAATGGACAGATTATAAACTATTTTCACAAAAACTTGACAAGGGTATATGAAGGAGGTCATTCTGTACTCAGGAGATAAAGCAGAGCACAACTGATTTGTTTTTTTACAGTAGCACAATTCAAGTGTACAAAAACTGATAAATTGCAATGTACATATAATAAAATAATACCATTTTACATACCCTTATGGTGTCTACTTTCAAACATGTTATGCATTTATGCAGTAATTTGAACAGTCATATGGCTATAGTGCCCCGAAAGGAGACATAGGCCTATCAAATCACAGTTATCTGAAGTCAGGGTTTCTTAAAAGGCACAATACACACACACACACACACACACACACACACAAAGAGATACCCTGTAGTGTCTACTTTCACAAACGCTTGGCCTGTGTGTGCATATCTAGCTAGAATGTCCCAAATTGAAACACAAGCCCATGAAATCCATCTAGTAAAAATTTCTAACTGAAATCATCACGTCTTTTGTATGGCACTGAAACTGCACAGGATGATGGCAAGTGACAAAAAGCATACATTTGGGTATTGTATTGAGAACATGGAGATGAATACAATTTGGTTAGCACATATCAGGTTTACAAAATAGACAAAAACACTGTTATATGCATGTAAGTGAAAAATAAAATAAATAAAATGACAATATTTAGCAGAGATTGGCATTTAAGGGTCTTGTAAAAATGTGGCAAAATGGCCTGCAGCAAATACACAGTAGTGATGTCCGCTTTATATTAAAGGGAAACTCTAGTGCCAGGAAAACAATCCGTTTTCCTGGCACTGCAGGTCCCCTCTCCCTCTCACCACCGAATCCCCGGTTGCTGAAGGTGTGAAAACCCCTTCAGTAACTTACCTGAGGCAGCGACGATGTCCCACGTCGCTGCTTCTTCCTCCCTGCCGCTCCTCCCTCTGATTGCGTCGGCCGGTGGGCGAGACTGATCCCGCATTTGCATTTCAATGCTATCCTCTGGTGAAATGAGCGACGCCGGAGGTCCTCACACAGTGTGAGGACGTCCAGCAATGCTCTAGCACAGGAAGTCTTGTGCTAGAAACCAGGAAGTGCCGTCTAGTAGACAGCCACTAGAGATGGAGTTAACCCTATAAAAAGTGGAGTTAAAAAAAACTGCAATAATTACACTTGCAGGGTTAAGAGTAGTGGGAGTTGGCACCCAGACCACTCCAATGGGCACAAGTGGTCTGGGTGCCTGGAGTGTCCCTTTAATATATACTTTTGTGTGACAATTTTGTTGTATGTGATGGTTTTTAAATTCCGAATACAAATTCTAGAATCTACATTGAAATGTTATTTTACTCCTTGTATTTTGCAACCTGTGATTACCAAAAATAAACTTAAATCCTAGACATAAGGTACTCAGCAATCAGGACAAATTAATTTATTTCAAACTACTTTTAAGCTGCACCAATTATACATACATTTTTGACAAAATATTTTTGGGAATGAACGAGACGTTCTACAAGTATATATCACAGCAAATTAAAAGCCCTTCTTTTACTGCTTTCATTTTCAATCGAATTTCTGGATTGTTCACCATCAAGGTTACCACTCAACTGAGTACACTTAGGAGTCATTATTTACACTTTATGAACTCATTTGGGGAGAACTAGAGGACGTTACTGCCTGAGGTATAGAATCATTTGTGTAAAATGTAGCTGAGTGGCTGGAGAGACCTAAAGTGCCATCTATCAGCAAAAAAGTAAACCACACGCTAAGGTTTAATTTATGTTTACAATTCTGATATAATATATTAAAATACAGTATTCTGTTATAACCGCTTACTGTAAGTAAAATATTTATAATTTTATATGAACCAGACAATTTATTGACTTCTACTGCCTAGGCTAGGCCCAAATAGCAAGTACACGAGTCTACATGCCTAGCCTGTGCCCAAAAGTGGCACAATATTGGGGAGCTGGAACGGACACATCTCCAGTACAAATTTAGTCTTATACGAGGAGTTATTAATCAAGCTAATCCCATTCTCCATTTTTAATTGGATAATAAATTGAGCATTCCAATACGCACATGTTAGGTCATGGGATTGTTTTCAATTTCTAGCTAGTAAATTTTTAACTGCCATAAACCAATAAATAGTGAGATACAATTGATTCCTAGCATTGGCCAATGAAGATTTTTAAAGCACTATTAGCCTTTACCCGCTTTGATATATACCCCATTTCTAAATTAGGGACAGATTTTTTTTCCTTCTCTCCTTTTTATTACCAATTTCTTTAGGGTTATCCCCTTATCTGTTCCCTCAGATTTTTGGATAGCTACTATCCGGCCAACCACTATTTATCCATGATTTTAAACAATCTTGAACACTCTTGTGGGAAATAAAAATACCACCCGTTGGCTACATTTAAAAATATTCAACATTGAGATAAATTATGAATCCTCTTATTTACGTCTATTAATGCCTTGCACAATTCAGTACAACTAATGTTAACAGTCAGTTAATTCTCCCATCTTTTAATTACAACTATGTTTTATCTGGGAATTGTTAATACAAGACGATATAGACTGTCTTGACCCGGCGAACAAATACACCCCTAGATCCCTCATAAATAAAAATCATTATATAGGATTTAATCCTTCAATATGTACATAATTCTGAGTTTGTTAGAGCAAAATACTTTGCCAGCGACACAAATGTTTCTTTTTTTGTTCAGAATATCTTTATTAATATTTCTATTTTTCCAGCTGGTGAACAATAGATTTTCAATAAGGAACACTAAAACGTCCAACTCCAGAAAACCATATATTTTATCAATGCAATTAAGTTTCTTCTTAATTTTATGCCATATTGAAAAATATGGATTAAAATCTTATTTTGCGTCTACGCTATAGAAGTTTTGTACCCAATGTGCCATATAGATCTAATTAAATCTCCCTTAGCTAAATATTCTGTTTCTACTCTAAGCCAGTCTTCCATTTCCAGTGCATTTTTAGTTAGATGTAAATGATAGAGTAGTGGTATCCATCCCAGTCCTCGATTTAGGCACTACCCGCACTGGCTCTGGGAGTGCAAGAATCGAGTGACCGGCAGGAAGTGCACAGTGCTCTCCCCCCTCCCGCACCAGTCACTCAGTGGTAGCGTGGAGCAGAGAGGACCGCGGTACTGGAGCTTCACTGAGAGTGAACTTCCTGTCAGTCAGGCCGGGTACAGAAAACTGAAGCTCCTGTAGCATGGCTGACCGCTGTACAAGACAAAATGAGGCACACCGGACACACACTAAGGGATAGGGAGATGTACACTAAATATTCTTGAAAACAAAATAATCTGACATACATCTATTTTCTTAATTTAAACACTTCTTAAAAACGATTCAAGATTTGCTAAAAAAAATAATAATATTAAACAAACATGTTCAGTAAACAGATTTGTGTAGAAATTGTTAGTTTTTTCAAGATGGTAAAAGGATATCGGTAAGTTATCGGCTATCGGCCTAAATGTTCACAGATTATCTGTACTGACTCTAAAAATAAATTTATATATATATATATATATATATATATATATATATATATAAAAAATAAAAATCTGTCAATCTATTCGTAATACAACCTCTTATTGTGACCCCACTTTAAGGTTAAAATGGCTGTTCCTAAAATCTTTAGGAAGTTAGCTTCTACTATTATCTCTATCTTTAGAAAATAAAATACATAAATAATTAAATTCCTTTTTAACTTTGCCAACCTTAAATGAATTTTTTTTTTTAGTGACCTCATGCACTTTAGGAAATAACAGGGTCAGTTATAGTTATTAAAGTATCATCTGCATATAAACATAACTGCTTTTTTCCTATTGGGATTAGTTCTTATTTTGATTAAGAGTGTTTCCATCGTTAACATACAAAGGAGGGGCAAAAGTGGTTATCCTTGATGGATACCGCCTCCCAAATTAAACCAATCAGAGCACAAATCTGTTCCCACCACTGAAGCTGAGGAATTTTGATATAAAAAAGGATTTGATTGACCTTATGATGCATTCCTTAAATCTGAAAGCTTCCATTGTTTTGAACATAGATCCCACACTGACCCTGTCAAACTTTTTTTTGTCAAATGACAGGGACAGAAGGGGCGTATCCGATCTATCACTGGACTTAAAAGTCAAACATCTAAAATGAAAGCAGGCCCATCTGCCTTGGACAAAACCGATTTGAATGGCGTGTATCAGATCTGGTAAGATCTTTTTCAATCTCTCTGCCAATATTGCCAAGAATAGCTTTGAATCAACATTTAATGAGACTGGATGGTCATTTTTAATATCCACAGATTATTTTTTTTAAATCTTATTTTAATACTGGCAGTATATTCAGCCCATTTCCATGATTAACTTTCTCATCACATGAATTAGACGTTAAGATAATTAGTTCTTATAGATTTTATAAAATCTATTGGTAAAGCCATCTGGACCAGCTGCTGATGAATTAGACTGTTTAGCAAAAATGGACTTTAGTGTTCCTTTAATATAACTTTATCTACAGCTTTACTATAGGATCAGGAACACAAACATGTATGACCCTATATAGTATTGAAGCCACCATCTAGCCCCCCTGGGTCCATCATGCCTCCCTAAATTAAGCAAAATCTTACTTGTATTCAAGCCTGAAGCTGTAGCTCAGCATGCTGTTTGCCTCAACAAAACAAGCTGTCTGCTGACATCAGAAGTGGTGGCCTGATCCAATCACAATGCTTCCCCATAGGAGACAGACAAGGAGGCAGATTAAGGGCAGAGCCAGCACAATTCAAAAACAGCCCTGGCCAATCAGCATCTCCTCAGAGATGAATTGAATCAGTACATCTATATGAGGAAAGTTCAGTGTCTGCATGCAGAGGGAGGAGACACTGAATGTTTGGATGCATTTTAGGCAGCCATGACCCAGGAAGGATCTCTAACAGCCACCTAAGGAGTAAACACTACATTTTCTCTGAAAAGACAGCGTTTACTGCAAAAAGCCTGAAGGAACTGATTATACTTACCAGAACAAATTCAATAAACTGTAGTTGCTCTGGTGACTATAGTGTCCCTTTTATCAAGTTGTTTTGCTCTGGATTATGTTTGGGGATATCAATATTGTTAATACAAATTATAAAAGTTGTTTATAATATTTATGAAAAACATTTCCTATAATCTCTGGAGTCATTTTATTTGTACATCAACTGCGCAACTACTAATTTCTTGTCTGTTAACCATTTAGAAAAGTTATTGTGTTTATAATATTTCAATCTTATTTTTTCTGTTGCTAAAACATTCATTTTGTTGTACCTCTTGAAATTGTCTCAAGTTTTTATTAGTCAACTGATTTATTTTTTTAAGACTGATTTTAGATAATCTATCAAATGTTATATATAACTCCGTTATAGATGCGCCTCTTTCCCTTTTAATTAGATTTTTAAGTTTAAATGAGATAGCCTCTAATAATGGCTTTGAACACCTGGAGGAAGGGACGGACTTAAATATGGTTATTGGGACTGGATACTATGATGAAAACCTGTTAGTTGAAATGCGCTGTGTTTTTGGAAAGCTTATTATTGATGATAATTATTCACTTTAGTTCACCATTTGTTATAAATTTTTAGTTTTCATTCCTTTTTTTTGTAGTGATTGAAAAATTTTTTATAGCCGGGAAGATCACAGGTAAGAATTTGAACTGATCTCAAACGACTCTTTTCAAGAAATAATGCCAGGAGAGAGCTATTGAAAGTAAAAAAAATAAATAAAAATAAAAATAAAAAAAAAATAAAAAAAATGATAAGTGATCCCTTCAATAATAGAAAAAACTGTTGTACCTTAAAAAATAAAAATAAATTAAAAACAATACTTTAGTAGACATAAAATATATATATATTGCTCCTAGATACAGTGGCCACAATACACAGCTAAAGCCAGCTAAGTAAATCAAAACATTGTAAGACAAATTATCACAGAGCAATGGATTATTAGAATAACTAATCCGAGCAAAACACCTGGTTGACATCCAGGGGGTGTTTCATAGTTTAATTATTAAAGTGCAGATTTCTTATAGAAAACTGGAATGGAAACAGAATATTCCTTACCCATAAAGCAATTCAGCAATCTGTAGTGGTCCTTTATTATGCATAGTCATTGGGGCATATCCAAAAAGTGCCAAGCTATTCCCCGCCCCCCCCTTCTCATATTTTTTAATACGGGGAAACAGGGAACAAAACATTATATACAGACAACTTACCATCTTGTACCACTTCTTCATCAGAAGGTCCCTTGGACTTTGCATATTCTAAGTAGTATGACAAACCATTGCAACCCCTTGTGCGAACGGCTACCTTTAAACCATGCTGTCAAAAAGAGGCAGTACAAATGAAAACATAATCAAGGTTACACACCAAAGAGAATCTCTTTCTAAAGGATTTAGCAAAAGATATATATTAAACATAGCAATTACTTTTAAAATAATTTGAATTCAATAAAGAGCAAGATAAATAAAAATATTTTGTGCAAAATATGCCTTTGAGAAACACTTTATTTTTAAATCAAAAACACAAAGATACACAAGTGCGTGATGAACGACTTAGAAGATAATACACGCATCTAAACAATTTATGTCTAAATAAAGTTGTTATGGTGCCAGAAGGCACTCAAAACTCAAGTAGTTAAACTGTTCAAGAATGGTTTAACCCCAAAGTTGCCTCCAGGGATTATGTCCATTCCTCCCAGGCAATATCTGGCTTCAGAATTTTCAGGTTCAGAAAGCACAGATTGCTGCCGGGTAGAGGCGCTGCCAATTGGGTGAGAGCAGTCAGCTGATCCTCTAAATCAATCAGTGAGACTCTTGATTAACTAAATTTGCTTGAGAAAGACAGTTTAGTGAATAGGGATGATTGGCGTCAATGGGGAGTAAACAATGAGAGTCAGCAGCACCCCTGCCCGACAGGACTATAATACACTAGTGTTCCTTTAAGCTATAGTTTTTTTTCTTGGTGTCTATTGAATGCCATTAAGCTTTAGTTATTTTAAAATACAAAATATAAAACAGGATCAAAATTACAAGTCAGGCCTAAAACTTACGTGCCATGGAAAATGTGCACAAGCTTTAAACTAATCCTAAAGCTATAGTTTACCTGTCCTTACTCTTTTCTCTTTTCCAGCCCCCACTCATCCAAATAAAAATGTTAAAAACTAGAAGCGGCTTTGTCACAGTCTGGGCACCTTGGCAAAGACCCCCAATTGTGAACCTCGCTTGGGGTCCGTTGGCCGGCACATGTGGGATTTACTTACCTGAACCTGTCCATCAAGGGCCCTGCCATCTTCACCCAGCGGGTCCTCTTAAGCATGTTCGAGAGTACAGCATTAGGGTATATAGAGCATCCTGCGGGATCCTCCATAGATAAAGTCACTTCCTTAATGCAGTCACTGGTGAAGGCTGGGTGGGGGGTGGAGATTATTGACACTTCTAGACGGTAGTAGCTCCGCCCAGTGCCTAAAAGTGTCAGGTGTAGGAAATATACAGAAAAAAAAAAAAAAAGTCCCTACTCTATCTCAGTAGATCTCTTGATAGGGTTGGAATTTTAGTGAAATCTCAACACAGTCAATATAAGTATTTTATATTTATTCTATCTTCATGAAATACTATTTTTTTTTCAGGGGGCAGGGAAGGGTTTACATCTTTTTTCCCCCCGGTGGAAAATGTGCTACTTACCTCTCTGCCTCCTACAATATCACAGAGTAGGCATGGCCTCCTCCAGTATGGTTCAATCCAATGTTCCTCATAGAGGAGCATTGAGGACCTAATGAGCATGCGCCTAACACGCATTCAAACATCCTCATAGCAAAGTAGTGATTTCCTATGGAGCTTCCGCGTCAAGTCACGCAGATGCGCCTGACTGCCAGTAGAGGTGGACTTAGCCCTGCAATATAAACATTGCAGTTTCTCAAAAAATGCAATGTTTTACATGGCAGGTTAAGAAGACAGGAAAAAAAGAGCACATAAAGTAAGGTCCTTGTATAAGTGTCTTCCAATTAAAATGGCCTAACCCTGTCTGTAGAATAAAATAATAATAATAATAATAATAATAATAATAATAATAATAGTTCCCTAGGGGAACCAAAGTATTTGAATGACACTCCTGTATAGAATTGGAAAACAATCAATTCAAGTCCCACAATTAATAAATGTGCAGAATTAAAGTGTGGTGAAAGAAGTATGAAGGCGCTTATTTTCTTTTTTTCACTCAGTTAAAGGGCTTTTAGGTGATGGGATTTTAGAGTTTCATGGTTTATGTTAGTTTAACAGTTTGAGTGGGGAAGTATTGAGAGGTGGCTTCGAATCAGTCTTGTGCTATGTTATTTTGTAGAACTTTCTTCTAAAACTTAGCAGGCAGTTTCTAAGTCTGTGTATAGGTAGTTTAAAGTGAATTGGAACCGGTCTACCCCAATACCCTGTATTAGACAGTCTGTATAGGGAATCTTAAGCATTACGTCACTGATTGATTAGTGTTACTTACACCAGGGCTCTAACGGGATGCTGAGAGACGGCAGGATAGAGATAACTTTGCTACTTTGTTACAAGTAGCGTACTAACCACTATTGATAGCAGAGCTGCTCTGTGATATCTGTTACCCTAGTTCCACAGGCTGTAAAGAGACAAGTTCAACTCTGTTGTAAGTAGTGTGTTAACTGTAACCAATAGCAGGGCTCCTACGGGTTGCACAGATACAAATCAGCAACTCTGGGACTTTATTTATTTTTAATAGTAAGTCCTAGTGGAGACTAAGATTAGATGTCCCGAGAATAGTCACTTTTCAAGCCTGCACACAAGGGTTATCCTGAGCCCCTATCAGCAGATACATATTCTTTAGACCTTATTATGGATTTCGAGCTGAAGTTACTATGAGACAGCCTAGGGAGTATTTACCCGTAAATTTCTACATAAGTGCCTCTGAGGATTTTTTGATCCTCCTTTTTCAGTGCTGTTCCTCTATTATACGCTTTTCCCCACTCTCTCCGTCTCTACTTTTTAACATTTAGTAGACATAGCATGCAATCCAAGCAATAATAAAGGAATTCTTCATAATTAAGCAATTGGAATTGCTGTGATATAGTCTTATGTAGTATCTTATACTTCTTTCACCACACTTTAATTCTGCACATTTATTAATTGTGGGACTTAATTTAATTGCTTTCCAACTCTATACAGGAGTGTCATTCCAATACTTTGGTTCCTCTAGGGAATATTTATTATTAAGAAGACAGGAACACTGTACCGAGACCACATCACTGAGATTAAGTGGTCTGGGTGACTATAGTGTTTCTTTCATTTGGTTTTCATGTTTTGTCCACAGCATAATTTATCAACCTACAAATGGCAGAACTTGGAGGTTAGTAATACCAATGGCAAATTTAGTTAATAGCTGAACTATTCTCCAAATAAACGATACTCACAGATTGGCTAGGTTTGCCATTCGGCTTAAAGCAACACTACAGCGGTAGGACGACAAACATATTCCTATCACTATAATGTTACCCTACCCATATAGGTGTCCACCCACCTTGCATGGGTTTTAAAAGGTAAGTTTCACTTACTGAACATCTCTCGGCCACTCGGCCTCAAATCAATGTTGATGATCTCATCCAAAGCTTTTCCGTAATGAAGCATGTGGAGGTTAGTGTGCATCAGCAGCATAATGCCACGCTGCGCCAGTCAAATAAACTAAATAAGAGTTGTTTGATCAATAATTGATGTTAACTTTGTTATAGCTGCAGAAGGACCTCGAGTGGCTGTTGTCCTGAGACATAACCTCTCATATGTGCAAAAGGTTAGTATGCAAAATAAATTAGTGTATTTGCATGGAGAGGAGTGAGTGAATTTATCAGTGTTTCTTTGTAGAGGGCTATTGTGTGTGCATGTGTGAATGCAGTGGTATACAGGTACAGAGGGGTATTGTAGGTGCATGCAGTGATATCTAGGTAGGTGAACGGTCAGTATGTGTTAGAATACAGGGGGTGTATGTTACACCCTTTCCCCTACCCATGTCACTTGTTCCCTCCCACTAGATAGGAAATAACATGAGGAGGGATTGTGATTTGAGAAGAGCTAGTAATATTAGGAGGAAGAGGGGTCACTAAGAAGGAAGAGAAATAATGACATGTCACTGATTTCCTTCCCCATTACCTCATGATCTCGAATTCCAAAACAAAGATCAGTCACATTTAGTAAATTTAGATAAAAGTCTCAAGTTGATTGTTTTCTACTTACGTTATCAGGTTTATCGTGGAGTAACTGCTTTATTTTATTTACAGCTGCAGGTGTCTGAAAAACAAAATTAGATCATTTAAAACCATACAATGCATCAATTTTTAATGCCATATTATGATGCTATAAAACACAATGCTAAAATCAAAACTCTACATACAATTGTAACATAGTAATGGGGTAAAGCCTCAGTACGGTGGCTACAGAATACATCAAATTGATGTATAATCTTTAAATGGTGTCAAAACTAATCTTAATCATTTTTGTGTGATTATGTAGGCTCCATTAGTCTTTGGTCTAATCTTGTACTAGACTACTATCACTTCAACAAAAAGACCAGTATGTCACTGAACTTTGCTACTTACATTGTTATCCTAAATCCTTCTCCGTTAAGTGCCCAAGTATGTGCAATAAAACACTGAAAAATACCCTTTAACTTGTTTCATATGATGAAAAATGTTCTTTCACATGTATGTGAAAGAACATCTGATGGGCAGAGTATAGGGATTGCCCCACAAGTGCAGGCTATTATACCAAATGGGGGACCTAGGAAAAATACTGAGACAAAGTGCCACTTTAAAGAAGTAATTTAGAGACAAAAATGCTGCCAAAGCGATGACAAAAGGCTTTGCTTAATACTCTCACAACGTAAGGACATGCAATTACGTCACAACTATACTAGGCATAAACCCATTTAGGATGAATTGACACTTTGTAATGTTTTCTTTGAGTAGGATTAAATCCCTGCTCACTCTAGGGAGTCCAAGGTATCAATCGATACTTGAAGCTCCCCTCAGCCATTTTAAGTAGCCCCAGACCGAGAGATCAGCTGTAAGCAGGGCTCAAATTGAGCGGTGAACACAGCTCTTTAAATGGGGATTAAATTCCCAACGACAACAGTGCTTTTTAAGCAGGGGCAAGTCCCTGCTCACACCAGGAGATGCGTTTATCGATACAAACCTATGGCTGCCATCTCTCATCTGGGGCCACACTCCGTGACCCCAGACTGACAGGGGAGTTGTATGCAGTACTAAAACGGAGTAGTGCATACAGATCTTTAAATAGGTCTATAGCCAAATATGCCGGCGCTCGCCTGCCCTCCTTGCTGACCATCAGAATTTAGGATTCTATCCAATCCTTTCCTATAGGGAAAGCATTGGATTGGCTGACATAGTCAAAGAGACGGGACAGGGCCAAATGCCGGCTTGGCCAATCACTGAATCAATGCAACTCTGTGGAAAATTCAGCGTGCCAATGCAGAGCGTGGAGGCGCTGAACAGTAGTGCAGCACTGCCCATGAAACACCTCCAGTGGCCATCTGAGTGGCCACTGGAGGCGACCCACAGGGGACAATGTAAACACTGCCTTTTTAACCCCTTCAGGACGGAGTCAATAGTGCACGTTCTGATCAAAACAAAACGTAAACAAAAACTGGAATTTGCGCTATATGTCTGTTCAACCGTAATTCCCCGCTGTCACATTAAGTACACACACACTTATTATATATCGTTTTGTTCAGGAGAAACAATTTATCATTAACTATTCATATATGGAACATAATTTATTATGAATAAAATGTAATAAAATGTGAGAAAATATATTTTTTAAAATTTGTATTTCCGTCTGACATTTTAACTGTGAGGTTTTACTGCAAAAAAATGCACATATTTATAATCAGCGATGTCTCACGAGTACAACAGTACCCCCCATTAACAGGTTTTATGGTGGTTTGGAAAGTTAAAGGGTCAAATATAGAACGTTCCATTTTCAAATTGAAATTTGCCAGATTAGTAATGTTACCTTTGAGACGGTGTGGTAGCCTAGGAATGAGAATTACCCCCATAATGGCATACCTTTTGAAAAAGTAGACAATCCAAGGTATTGAAAGTGGGGTATGTTTAGTCTTTTTTAGTAGCCACTTAGTCACAAACACTGGCCAAAGTTAGCGTTCATATTTCTTTTTGTGTGAAAAAAAGCAAAAAAATAATATTTGGCTAGTGTTTGTGACTAAGTGGCTACTAAGAAAGAGTGGACATACCCCACTTGCAATACCTTGGGTTGTCTATTTTTGCAAATGGTATGCCATCATGGGGGTAATTCTTATTCCTGGCTACCATACGCTCTCAAAGGTAACATAACCAATCTGGCAAATTTCAATGTCAAAAAAAATGAAATGCAAGCCTTATAAGTGATTCTCTAAATTTCCAAAACACCATAAAACCTGTACATGGGGGGGTACGGTTATTCTCGGGAGACTTCACTAAACACAAATATTAGTGTTTTAAAACAGTAAAACATATTACAACAATAATATAGTCCATAAAAGTGCCGTTCGTTTGTAAAAAATGCAAAAAACGTCACTTTTACTTAAAATATCATCGTTGTAATTAGTGATGTCCCAAACTGTTCGCCACGGACTCATCATTGAGTAAACTTTGACCCTGTACCTCACAGTCAACATATACATTCCAGCCAATCAGCGTTCGGGACATCACTAGTTGTAATACAATTTACCAGTTTGAAACACTAATATTTGAGTTCAGCGAAGTCTCCTGAGTAAAACAGTACTCCCTATGTACAGGTTTTATGGTGTCTTGGAGAGTTACAGGGTCAAATATAGTGCTTGCGAATTAAATTCTCCGCACTTTCTCCCTGTGTTGTCAGGCATATCAATCAAATTTTAATTAATCAAATCACATAATTATGTTAAAAGATTAAATATACATGTACAATTTTAATATATATGCATTTATAGGTACTTAAATTCTACGTGTATACTAATGTAATTATATGTATTTATCTCTATATCTCATATATAATTTTTTTTTTTTTTAAACATGTTTAATTTTTTATTTTATTTTTATTTTTTTTTACAGCTCCCACCAGCAGGGGGACTGACATTTCAGACAGTCCCCCCTGCTGGCAGATCCACAGTCAGCTATAGGGGGCGATCACATGGCCCTCAGTGGGGCCTCAATTGCCGGGGGAGGGCTGCCTGGGCTGGGCTGTCCTCCTGAAGCGGAGCACTGGTAAGGTAAGTATACCGGGCGCTCCAGGGCTCAAAGCCGTTACGACGTTCTATGCCGCCGCAAGGGTTAATGAAAAGGCAGTGTTTACATGAAAATGCCTCCAGGGACTAATTATACTCACCAGAACAACTACATTAAGCTGTAGTGTACATTGCAATTTCTAGGTTTTGCTTTAGTTCAGAACTTAGACAACTGCCTCCACTCTTAAGGGTTTTGATGGGTGTTTTCTTGCAATAAAAAAAAAAATATAAGGATGACAAACAGTAAAAGGGCAGGGTTTGTGCAAAAAACAAAACACTGCATTTGGACAGGATTTTGAGGCGCAAAAAAAAAAAAAAAACCTACACATAATTCCACGCTGAACTTGGAAAAACATAAAAATTCCTTAATTTTTCTAGATTTTAGAACAGATTAAATTATGGGTCATATACAAATATTTGATGTCAAACGAAAGCTCCATTTGTAACTAACAAAATGGCATAAGTTGCTCTTAATATAAGAGATAAATGATGGCTGGCCAGACATACAGCTCATATGTTAAGGTTTGTTTAAGAGGTTGGAGTATCTCCCAGTGTGAGAGGAGAGCTGGAGCTGCTCTTCCCGCGGTGTCCTTGTTCTCTGAGCCCTTCACACACAGTGACTGAGTCTCTAATACAGGACATCCTCTGTACAGACACTCACCGCCGCTATCGCACACTGTGACCGAGTCTCTATCGCACAATGATACATACACACACTGTGACCGAGTCTCTATCGCACAATGATACACACACACACTGTGACCGATTCTCTATCGCACAATGATACACACACACACTGTGACCGATTCTCTATCGCACAATGATACACACACACACTGTGACCGAGTCTCTATCGCACAATGATACACACACACTGTGACCGAGTCTCTATCGCACAATGATACATACACACACTGTGACCGAGTCTCTATCGCACAATGATACATACACACACTGTGACCGAGTCTCTATCGCACAATGATACATACACACACTGTGACCGATTCTCTATCGCACAATGATACATACACACACTGTGACCGATTCTCTATCGCACAATGATACATACACACAGTGTGACCGAGTCTCTATCGCACAATGATACATACACACACTGTGACCGAGTCTCTATCGCACAATGATACATACACACAGTGTGACCGAGTCTCTATCGCACAATGATACATACACACAGTGTGACCGAGTCTCTATCGCACAATGATACATACACACACTGTGACCGATTCTCTATCGCACAATGATACATACACACAGTGTGACCGAGTCTCTATCGCACAATGATACATACACACACTGTGACCGAGTCTCTATCGCACAATGATACATACACACAGTGTGACCGAGTCTCTATCGCACAATGATACATACACACACTGTGACCGAGTCTCTATCGCACAATGATACACACACACTGTGACGGTCTCCTGCTCGCACAAGCTAATGTATACACTGTGACCCGAGTCTCGCTGTGGTATACACACACTGTGACCGAGTCTCTATCGCACAATGATACATACACAAACTGTGACCGAGTCTCTATCGCACAATGATACACACACACACACACAGTGACCGAGTCTCTATCGCACAATGATACATACACACACTGTGACCGAGTCTATCGCACAATGATACATACACACACTGTGACCGAGTCTCTATCGCACAATGATACATACACACACTGTGACCGAGTCTCTATCGCACAATGATACATACACACATACTGTGACCGATTCTCTATTGCACAATGATACATACACACACACACTGTGACCGAGTCTCTATCGCACAATGATACACACACACTGTGACCGAGTCTCTATCGCACAATGATACATACACACACACTGTGACCGAGTCTCTATCGCACAATGATACATACACACACTGTGACCGAGTCTCTATCGCACAATGATACACACACACTGTGACCGAGTCTCTATCGCACAATGATACATACACACTGTGACCGAGTCTCTATCGCACAATGATACACACACACTGTGACCGAGTCTCTATCGCACAATGATACATACACACATACTGTGACCGATTCTCTATCGCACAATGATACATACACACACTGTGACCGAGTCTCTATCGCACAATGAGACATACACACACTGTGACCGAGTCTCTATCGCACAATGATACATACACACACTGTGACCGAGTCTCTATCGCACAATGATACACACACACACTGTGACCGAGTCTCTATCGCACAATGATACACACACACACGGATTACGCATGTCAGCGCTGTGTTAATGCTGCCGTCAATGAGCCAGTCAGACTCGGGCTGTCCCGGGCTGTCCCATGATAGCAGACACCCCGCTATACACAGATAACAGATAAGCCGCCTGGGCCTCCAGTCACTGCGCTCGGACTCACCAAGGTGAGGGCGGCCCGGGTGGGCTGCAGCTTCCTCTTGCTGACCGCCCTAATGGTCGCTCTCACTAGCGAGGCCGACATGTTGCTGTTGTTGTTGTCACTCTGTTGCCCATTAAGGGCAAGGAAGAGCCTGGTGCCAAGGAGACGGGCGCACTGACGGCTGGACTGGTGACAGCTTCCGGTGTCAGCGGGACAAGAACATTAAACCCCGCCCACTGCAAACAAGCTTATTGGCTGAGAGCTCCTGATAAAGGGGCGGGGTTACCAGAAAGTGATCAACACGACCTGGGTGTCACAGTGTGCCTCCAGCATGGGCTGCTCACTACTGGGATAGAGAAATAAATAAATAAAAACAAAATGTGTGTGTATATATATATAAAAAATAAATAAATAAATGATAATTATATATATATAGAGAGAGAAAAATGCATCCAGAGCTACACCCTGGGACCCCCTTGTTTCAAGGGTTTCCTTTATTTGTACAAAAATAATTTATTTTGGGTTATTCCCTACTGTGTAGTTCTGTGTTTGGCTCAGTTTAGGTCTGACCTTATACCCTCACCTAGAGTGAGTATACAGATCATCTCTACCTTTCTTCCTCTCTTCATTATTATGTTATCATAAGTTTTGTGATGCCTGGGTGTCCCGCTGTTTTGGACCTATGAAACAATGTCATTACTTTTTTCCTGTCCCTTCCCTGTACAAACAATAAACCTGTAGGTGTTTCAGATGGTGCTTGATTTTTTATCCAAAAAGAGGGAAGAGATAACCAGGTGTGTACCTGCAATAATGTTGGCGGAAGGGACGATGGGTTCTGGAGGGGAGGGGTCGACCTCCAGTGGTTCGTGTTGCCTGGATATAGTATTTGCTTTAATGTTACGGTATCCAGGTCTGTATGTTATGGTATACTGGAAGCGAGACTGAAAAAAGGACCACCTAGCTGTCACATCCTGTTCTATTCTGGGGACATGTCTGGCCTTGGCTTCTGGTATCCAGTACTCTTTTTACAAGTCTTGTTTAGTTTTTCTTGGGTTTTCTGGTTCTCTATTCTATGTCTGGTTTTCTTTATGCTGTGTTTTCTGGGTTCATTCCTTTATTCCGTTCCTGGAATTCCCAGTCTCCTGGATTCCTTTATATGTTTATTTTATGTTGCCACACCATTTCCTTTTCCATTAATCCTTTCGTTTCAGTTGGTTCCTGCAAGCAGTTGTTTCATGTTCTCTGCTCCTTTCTTTGTAGGCAAGTACTGTGTGTGTTTTATTGTTGTTTATTTAGTCATGCATATCTAGGCAGTTAGGACCCACCGTAATTGTAGTACTTTGGCGCAGTGGTGGGCTGCATACATCTTGGCCATTTATATATGTCTAAATCTCCGATGTTTTACATATATAGTACTTAGTTATGTCTCCTCTTGTTTTGCCTTGCGTCTCTTGTCTTGTTTTATTTTGTCTTGTATTCCCAGTTCATGTACAGTCCTGTCCTACCCTGTTCATGTTTCCCTCATGTCTTGTGGGCTGGACTGGCCCACCGGGATACCGGGAAATTTCCCGGGTGGCCGTCGGCACCTTGGGCCGGGCAGGCAGCTGGCTCTTCTGGCAGCCGCATAGGGAGCTCTTTGGGCGGCCGCAGGGGGAGCTGGCTGTTCTGTCTCTGCTCCCCCTCCCCAACGCACTGCTTAATGAGACCGGGGCCGGAATATGACGCCATATTCCGGCCCCGGTCTCATTAAGCAGCGCGCTGGGGAGCAGAGACAGAACAGCCAGCTCCCCCATGCGGCCGCCATCAGAGCTCCCCATGCCAGCACACAGGTAGACATTATGTGGGTGTGTGTCTGTGTCATGGTGTGTGTGTGTCAATAAAATCAATAAAATGAGTTTGGCATGATCTCCCTGAAGTAACCCATGTTGTCTCTGATCTTGAAATAACGGGGTTGTGCTTTCTCAACCACGGAAACCCAAGGACTATGGGACATAAAGTGGAACTCAACACGTGAAAGGCAATGCAGTTGCACCTTCTGAGTTTTGTGAGTCACCTTAGGGTTCATAAGTGGCTTGCCATTGAGTGCTTCCATGGCTAGATGTGAGGCCTTGCATGCAAAGGTCATGGCATGGGATTCAGCGAAGGACTGGTCTATAAAGTTGCCAGCTGCACCTGAGTCTAGTAAGGCCTTGTTATGCATGGTCTCACTGTTAAAGGTGATGGTAACCAGTAGAAGCAGTCTAGAATATTAGTTGTGATGGGATAACTCAATAATACCCAAGACCAACCACTCCTGTGGTCTTAGTTGCTGGCATTTCCCTGAAGGTCAGCACATGTTGTCCTTACATGCCCCGTTTTGCTGCAGTAGAGGCATAGGCCTGCTCTCTTTCTGCATTGTTTCTCCTCTTCGGGTAACTTAGTGTTCCTATTTGCATAGGTTCTGGTGGTGGACCATAGGGAGGCAAAGCAGGTAGAGAAGCATAGGGCAAGGTGGGCAAGGTTTGATCCTGCATCCAGTTATAAGACTGTCGCTGAGAGCATCTCTCTAATGCGATTGTCTATAACAATGCAATAGTCGATGTGATAATCTAATAAAACGGGTACCTCTCTGGATGCTCTCTCATCGAGTAGGTAATCAGCTAATCCTACCTGAAAAGCTGTTACCAGAGAGTCGTTATTCCATGCCACTTCCGCCATTAGAGTACGGAATTCTATGGAATAGTCTACCACTGTTCTGGACCTTGTTTGATGGCTTTCCCAGCGGAAGCTATCCTACCAGGCATGTCAAACGTTCTCCGAAAGGACGACAAGAAATCAGCATAGATGATGTTGGGACCAGATTCCCATATAAGATTTGCCCAAGCTAAAGTCCTGCCACAGAGATGGTTAGTGGGAAAGGCTATTTTTGGCCGTCAGTAGGAAAGGAGCTTGGGTTCATAACCATGTGTATATCAACCTGGTTCAGAAACCCACGACAAAGGGCAGGATCACCATTATACCTTTGGGGTGGTGTCATGTGTACTGTAGCGGAGAGGTAGTATAATCCACAGTGTCTCCGCTGGGTAACAGGAACAGCATAAAATAATCCAGTTAAATGAATACAGCATACAATAATCCTTCCCTCCAAGAACTAGACGACACATAGGCTGGGAGTCAACTGAGGTTTTATTCACAGGTCACAGTATTTATGCAAGTCCCCATGCAAGGGGTTTCCCTACTGACATTGCAGGGGTTTTACAGGAGGTGACTACATGGGGGAACAACTTGGACATTTCTCCAATCATGCACTGCTGGACGAGAGGGATAATCCCACTAGAATATACAGTTAAGTGGATTATCCCTCCGTGCAATAGAACCAATATTTCACATTAAAATCTATAACTTTCACATTATTCACTCTATTTAAATGAATGGACGTTCGGTGGATAGCTTGGGTCTGGGCGTACAGTTTGTGAGAATACCGCTCAGATCCCAGCATAACTAACCGAACGCCGCGTGAAACACACATTATATTCAAGTTACATTCAAAGTACCGATTGACATTAGGGGAACAAACTACCGAACGTCCGGGACTCCTGAATGGCCTGGAAGTCTAGCTGGGCTAACAAAGGATTCAAGATGGCCGACCACCGCGACGGCCACCTAGGAAAACACTTAACACATGACCTCCTGTGTGTGGTCGCTCATTCGGTAGTTTATTCGTTTCACGAACAGTGTTGAAATTCACTGTTCGTGAAACTACGGTATGAATGCTGGTGGCTTCCATGCCGCCAGCATACGAATGCTCTTGTTCGCCTGAAATAGAGATATCTGAGTACACTTGGTTCTAATCACCTCAAAGCTATAGAAACACATTTATACAAATACAGTCTTAAGTGGCTAGTTTTGCCACAATGCTCCCCCAGAACCAAGCCGGCATACACAGTCTGATCCCAACGGATCGGCTTGGGGATGTCCGGAGGAGTACTCATAGATCACTGATCAAGGTATGTTTGTCAGGATAACCTGTCAGCGTTGCCATTTTGCTTCCCAGGGCGGTAGTGAATAGTAAAGTCAAAAGGCTGCAGCGCCAAACTCCAGCGCAGCAGCCTGGCATTGTCTCCTGACACCCTGTTCAGCCACACCAGCGGGTTGTGATCTGTGAGTAATGTAAACAGTTGCCCATATAAATAGGGCTGCAGTTTTTTGAGGGCCCACACCACAGCCAGGCACTCCTTTTCGATGGCGGCGTAGCTTACTTCTCTAGGTAAAAGTTTTCGGCTTAGATAAGCTACTGGGTGTTCACCGCCATCCGCTCCGACTTGGCTCAGTACTGCTCCCAATCCAAACATAGAAGCGTCTGTATGGATGAGAAAGCGTTTAGTTGGATCAGGAGCAGAAAGTACAGGTGATTTAACGAGCGCCGTCTTGAGCTGCTGGAATGCCTGTTCACACTCTGGGGCCCATACCACTATCTTAGGAGGTTCTTACGGGTAAAATCAGTGAGGGGTTTGGCTAGGGTGCTGTAGTTGGCCACAAATTCCCGGTAGTACCCTGCGGTACCTAGGAATGCAAGTACTTGCGTTTTGGTGTGAGGGGTTGGCCACTTGGCGACTGCCTCTATTTTAGCGGGTTATGGCTTCTGTTGTCCGCTTCCTACCCTGTGTCTTAGGTACTGAACCTCTGATCCTATATGGCACTTGCTGGGTTTGAGGGTCAGTCCGGCTTCCCTGATCCGGTCGGTGCTCTGGCCAGGAGTAGCTGAAAATGGCGATATCATCTAAATATGTGCACGCGTACTCCTGGAACCCATCCAATAACCGATCCACCATCCTCTGAAAGGTAGCCGGGGCATTTTTCATCCCGAATGGCATGACCTTGAACTGATACAGGCCAAACGGGGTGACAAATGCCGACTTGGGGATAGCGTCCTCGGCTAGCGGAATTTGTCAGTACCCTTTACACAGATCTATCGTGGTGAGGTACCGGCCCCTGGCCTTTTTGTCTAGGAGTTCGTCTATCCGAGGCATAGGGTAGGCGCCCGAAGTCGTTTTATCGTTGAGCCTCCAGTAGGGTACACAGAAACGGGTCGTCCCGTCCCGTTTCGGTACTAGTACTACTGGGGAGGCCCAGGGGCTGTCTGAATGTTCTATCACCCCTAACTGTAGCATTTCCTCAATCTCCTTCCGCATACTTTCTTTGACGGCTTCTGGTATGCGGTAAGGAGTTTGGCGAAGAGGAGTCTTATCTAGGGTTTCTACCTTGTGGGTTGCTAACGGGGTATAGCCGGGTAGATTGGAAAAAGTGGCTCCCTTTTCTGGATTAACCTTTTAACTTGGGTTCACTCCTGGGGGTTTAACCGCTCTCCTAA